GCGACACCTCGGCGCAAAAAACAACGCCGATAGAATGCTTTCCTATAGGTTCTCGGGCATTACTGCATGAAGCGACCTTTTCTGCTTGTGTAACTTGCTCATCCCTTCTAGCTCAGGCACATTCGAAACCTGAAACATCGACCTGCATTCTGATCCTCGATTTTCATCAACGTTCCGATCCTCACATCCCGTTATCCCCATCTATTGGACATTTATTTGATTAACAGTGGGGAAGAACCGCTGGTTGCGGGCCGACAGGGTAGTTGCATATTTACGAGTACAAACGGAACCCTTTCCCTCCCATTTGTGCTCCGACGAGGCTGGGCCACGGCCTTAGACATTGGTGTATGGTATGACTAGACGTTTCCTGAGTCCACGTTACTTCTATGCTTGTTGTTGTGGTTGTAGGCGTACTTCCCGTGGTACGCTAATGCTTGAGGTGTTTGTTGGGTCATAGCGAAGTGAAGATCAGGAGAAAAGAGACACTTCCGCATCAATCAATTTTCAAGTGGAGAACATTTCAACGTGTACGAAGTATATTGCTACAGATTTATATTCAGAAGTGGAAGTATGCATATGAGCTTCTGCCTTGTCTAGAAAATATGAGGAGCTATTTCAATGTAAGTGCATGACAAGATTCTCGTATTGTTCAGCTAGCTTTATTTCCCTGCCGAAAATCTCCCTATGTTAGTCTGAATAGGATTGAATGTAGATCATCTAAAACTTTAATCGGAGTCAAGAAAACGTTTTGTGGCACGTTTCCTAATTCCTGTTTGCTTCCCGGCGTTCTCCCTACTCGCTGGAGACGTTGTCAGATCCCGAGACTCAAGCTGCGCGCAGTACGCTCCCCATCACTTTGGAATGTTCATCGAAATCATCATCCCTGTCATGAAGTGCAAATTCTAGGCCACGAGTATAGTGACAGTTGTGTTCTTACCGATTCGAAGAAATTCGCTCTGAAAGTTTTCATTTCAGAGACGTAGCACACGTTGAACTAATCTTCAACGGAAATTTGATAACGAACTACCAGGTGGAGCACCAGCCAAAACAATACGAGATGTGGATTCGCCCCAGGGTCTGTAGGACCTACATATCAAAAGTATAGAGGACTGCATTCATCGGCAAGATGCATTGCGAACAATTCCCCTTTTTCCACAGTTTCCAATTCTGAGATGAATCCAGTTCAAATGGAAGCGAGATGCTTTGCTCTCACATATAGACCACGCTGCCAGCTGCAGCAACTCCAGTCCTCAACTCATCCAGCTCTTTTCTCTCGAACGCACGCTCTCTTTCATCATTGCACGCCTTATCACCCCTTTCACTTCCAATTACCGTCATGGGTCTCAACCACTTAGGTTCCTTGGCTTTGCTGGGCCTCGGGTATGTTTCAATTTCCGATTCAATCAATTCTTACTAACCTTTCCTTCAGTACAAACCTCGTATCAGCCATCCCTCAATATGGATACGGCTGCTCATCGGTCACCACTGTCACATTTCTTACCTTGGTGTCTAGCACGGTCACCGTCTTCGAGACTGCCTATGGAAGCTCTGTTAGTGATAGTTCCGCGGGCAACATCCCCACATCCACGGTTTCTTCTGCTGAAGACACTACAACTCCCATTGGTGGCACCAGTACACCTTACTTGCCCTCAATCACAGAATCCTCGTCCCTTATTTCGGCCAAGACTTCTTCAGAGCAGGATTCTACAACAACTCTCACGCAGACTCAGACCACAACCCAGTCTACTGAGATCCAACCTTCTCCTTCAAGCTCGGAGGTATCCGTTTCGACGTCAGGGGAGACATCAGGTGCTGCCAGTTCGACGTCTTCTTCAGCAGAGGTAAGAGATATCCTCGTGTTGTGAATATTTCACCCCAGAAAAACTTTACACTCCGAAATGGGATATTACCTTCCCATTTCCTACTACCACATGCCATGCTTAATCGAAAATAATGCTAACTAGGGACATGCATTCAGACTACTCCCTTGACTGGCCTTCCTTCTACCACGAGCAACCAATCAACTCCTGGTGCTGAAAGCTCAACAACATCGGAATACATTCCAAGCCCTCTTACTTCAACTCCTTCAAAGATTTCGGCAAACGGAGGCGAGACTACTACCACAAGTTCAGTCTATATTCCCAGCCTCCTTACTTCGACTCCTGTAGAGAGTGCTGGATATGGAGGTGAGGCAGCTTCGTCCAGCTCCTCAGCTCAGCTCTCTGAAAGCGCAAGCAACGCTGGAGCCACCACAGATTATATTACTTCGTCATACCCATCTTCAAGTCTGGCAGCATCGACCTCAAGCGTGAGCTACGGGGTCAGCAGCATTGCATCGAGCTCTCCACTTTATCCCATTCCTGCTAATGCAACGACCTCTTATTTGATCACAGGCTATTCGGCATCAGGCGTCAGCTCTGCTAGTGGGGCATCAAAGTCTGTGTCTTGTTTATCGAGCAGTGTTATCACGAGCGGTACATTCAACCGTACGAGCTCGGCAGGCACTTCGACATATTTGACATCATCTGAGAGTGTATCCTCGGAAAATGGAGGAGCGACTGGGGCACCATCTACAAGCTCGGAGTATTCTACTTCGTCTGAGTACCCTACTTCATCAGAAAGCTCGTCAACAGATAGCGGAGCAACTGGGGCTTCATCAGCCACTTTGTCATCATACCCCACTACATTTTCAGAAAGCACATACCCCACTTCATATCCTACTTCTTTATATGCAACACAAACACCAGGAACCGCGTCTTCAGATGGTGGAGAAACAGGTGCTGCATCCACCATCTTGTCATCATACCCGACTTCATATTCAGAGTCTTCATTTACAGATAATGGAGAGACACCATCGACTAGTTCTGCGTATGCAACACAAACACCAGAAACCTCATCCACAGACAGTGGGGAGACCATTACATCTTCAACGCCTGCATCTCCTTCCAGCACGACTCCTTTGACTGCAGATTCAACATCTACACCATACGTTGGCTATTCTCATGGCTATCCATCCTCATCAGCAGCTGCTTCCTCTACTGATGAGGGCGTCGCCGCATCTCCAAGCTCTGCCTCGACGGCCTATCCATCTTCCTCTGTCGAGACATCAAGCGATGAATACATTCCAACATCGACCGAGACCACCGCAACAGACAGCTCGGCAGCGTATACAACTTCCTCTGCCGAGACGTCGAGTGCTGACTCGGGCACCACGACAGACAGCTCGGCGGTCTATTCAACTGCCATCGAGACATCAAGTGCTGACTCTGGCGCATTAACATCAATCGAGACCACCCCAACATATACCTCGACGCCCCTAGCAACATATGCAACAGCCCCTTACTACTCAGACCGATCCCATGCATACCAAAAGTTCCCACGCAGGAACCTCTAGAAGACAAAAAAGCCGTGAATTTTCAAGACAAATGAGATCTTCTAGAGGTCAGACGGAGTACAAGATTGGCGTCAGACCCAGAAAAGCAAGCAGCAGATAAGGGGGCAGATTTCTTTCTCCAATGACATGGACGGCAGGCTCAAGGTTCATTTGGAACCCCTACACACACTCCTTTTGATCACTTCACTTCTCTTCTGCATCAAAGCTGAATAGAATATATCAGTCTCTAGGGTACTTCCAAAATAATATAATTTGGTTGAAAGTTTGAAAATTTGCGATGTCCCTTTTTGCGCAAAGTGATCCGAGAGAGAGTGCACGTGGAGCGGGCGAGGCGGGGTGGGTGAGGTGGTTTGGTTCAGGGGCTCGCTAGTGCTGACGACACTTTGTAATTTTCATGCTGACTAATACTCGCTGACTCAACTCTGCGTCTACTGCAATGCCATTGCATTGCCAAGAGCGGAGTGTTAGCAAAATAAATATACTCAAACCATTCTGTAATTTTCCATTTAAAGGTACCTAGTAAAGTAAATGAATCGTTGCAATTTAACAGATTATATCTGCACTTAACAACAACTGATTCACATCAGGGAAAGTTAGAAGAAGGAATACCTTACTAAGCACATATCGCTAAAAAGAAGAAAAGACAACGGGTTGCTGTAAGTCGACTTGAAAAATTAACAAGTCGATTTACGCTAATCAAATCGGAAAGGCATAATAACTTGTGCACAGCACAGACATCCTAACTTGCCAGGTACTTCCATCTCCAAATAAATATAGAGGTAGTTGAGGTACCTGACGAGGCTAGCCTAAATGCATAATCTGCTTTTCTGGCCCTTCCATTACATAATTAATTGATTCTAAGCACTTTAAATTATAATTTGCAACCTAAAAGCATAATATCTAACACTTATAATCCTCTACTACAATAAGTAGGGAGAAATACTTAAATTAATGCATATGAAAAGTTGGGAATAGTTACAAAACGCGACGCGCTGCAGTAGTGGTGCGTGCGTTAACTTATCAAACACTACTAAACTGGTTAGCGTAAGTCGACTTACGGCAACCCAAGACAACTTTGCGCTTACTCCATACCCCCTATAACCTACTTTATAATCTTATAAGGAACTCCGAGTTCACGAACCTCAAATTCCGAAAACTCATATATATCCAGCCCTAAAAGCTTATCCCCGCTTAAACCCCAAAGCATAGATGACCCTGCAGTACTTTGCATACCTGCGTGTAGGCAGCAATGAGGCCGGAGCTGGCCGCTCGCATAATAACGATTCTATTGAAGTCTGCTTCTCGGAGATAGAGTGAAGTGAGTGTGAGTGTGAGTATGAGTATGTATATGAATATATATTCATACTCTCCCTCCCACTCTACTTTCGTTTTTCAATTTAATCTGCATTCTTGCTATCACGTTCTATCTAACTGAATCCAGAACCGGAGTGTCATACTAGAGAGCCACCATCTGTCATTGTTTAAACGGTCAACTACATAATAGAATGGAACAGAACGGAACATACGTTGCAACATAGCTAAATTGAAGATTTACCTACCGATCTTGAAGTAATTGATTGTTCTTCAACCTCGACTTCAAGCAAGAATGCCTTCATTCAACAGATCCACCACAGGAAAAGAAGTCGTCGCCGCATTCCCATCCAGTATCGCCGGCAAAACATGTAATTACATCCCCCCTCCCCCTTCCCATATCCCAAACCCCCAACAATCAATCTCTCTAACCAAACAACCAGTCCTCATCACAGGCCCCAGCAACTCTTCAATCGGCGCCGAAATCGCCCTCTCCCTAGCCCACGGCTCCCCTTCCCACATAATCCTGCTAGGCTGATCATTCGCACGCATCGCACCAGTCATTGCCGCCATACGGGCCATCGACCCCTCCATTCGCACCACGCTCGTGCTCGTCGATCTCGCGTCCCAGAGCTCCGTCCGCTCCGCCGCTCAGAAGATCAACGACGATGTTAGTATTGGGCAGATCGATGCGGTGATTAACTGTGCGGGAATTATGGCGCGGCCGAGCTTCGAGGTCACAGAGGGTATTGAGGCGCAGTTTGGGAGTAATCATATTGGGCATTTCTTGCTGACGAATTTGGTGTTGGGGAAGGTGGTAAAGGCGGGGCAGGAAGGGGGGGGGAATGGCGAGGATCGTTAATGTTAGTAGTACGGGATTTGAGCTGGGGCCGGTTAAGTTTGAGGATTGGAATTTCAAGGTGTGTATTCCATTCCACTATCCCACAAGTGCACGGGAGAGAGTGAGTGAGTGAGTGACGTTGTTAATGTGAGGGGGTGTTTAGGAGGGAAAGGAGTATCATGCGTGGTTGGCATACGCGCAGTCAAAGACTGCAAATGTGCTGTTTACGGCTGCTCTTGCGGAGAAGTTGAAGAACAAGGGTGTTCAATCTTTTGCGCTCCAGCCTGGTCGTACGAAACTCCCTCCGATCTTCATTCTTGACGTACGCAGAAAACCTTTTAACCATCCATATTGTTATCATGGAGACGAACCTCGGGAAACACGCCACGCCAGAATCTTGGCAATCAGTATTGACGATTGCGAACGAGACCTCGGGAGGTAAGAAATTACCCAATTTGGTATTTGATTTGTATACAATTCTGACCTTCTGTATCTAGGCAAAGAGATAAAAATGGAGGAGCCAAAAACTCTCCAACGAGCTTCCACTGCGCTGGTAGCGGCGCTCGATCCATCGATTGCAGGTAAGTGACCCCGCACCAACTAGTCCCACGACAGCAGACTGACACTTGATAGAATTCTCTGGTGGTTTCCTACAGGACTGTGTATTACGTCCCGTGGAACAGGCGTATGCTAAAGGCAAAGAAAATGCGGATAAGCTCTGGGTACTGAGTGAAAAGCTCGTCGGGGAGAAGTTTGATCTGTGACGTATAATACTTTTACATATTAATCTTTAACTTTGAAAAGCACATCCCCAAATGTCCTTAGGACTGTTGGGCCAATATGAATTGAGCTTTGCGTATTTGAGTACGCGTTTCCAAATCAGCTCGGATTTTGCGATTAGACGCCATTCTGGCAGTGCTTGGGGGGGAGGGGGGGGGTTTCTGTAAATCGCCCAGCGACACTTGTGCAGCCGCTTAGCTGCTCTGATGGCAAGGGGCCAAGAGCGGCTCTTGGCGTTACACACTTGTAGTAACTCAGCAAGAGCCGGATTCAAAACGTGTTGGACTATGTAGACAGGTGCAGACCAGCACCATCTCAATGGTCCATGGTTGAGATCAAGGCATATCGAGTATAAATGAACGCATTTGCTCGTAACGCGTGGTCATAAGGCCGGTCTCGAGGGTTCAGTCGAAACGTGTTTCTTTGTGCATGGTGATTTCCTAACCCCAGCGAGGAGAGTTCCCGGACCTTTGCAAGAAGTCAGCACAGTTCCTCATAGAAAAAGCAGCTTCAAAATGGGAACATGTGAGTCGTCTATCAGGGCATTGGTGAAGATTGTCTCATGGCCTGGTCTCCCAGGCTCTGAAGTAGCAAATACTTTATAAGTTGCATAACATCATATTGACTTCGCATGCTCCATTTTGACAGAACGAGAAGGAATTTCCTCACCTTCACAAGCGTGTCTCATTCGCTGCTATAATAACTAGGTTTGGGGAATTTTGGTTGAACCGAGCGCACGAGACCCAGTCGGCGGCGTGTCCCTTCTTGGTTATGGTGAACTTGCAGTCAATTAGAAAGCCCGTGGATATCCTCTGGTAGGGGTACCGTGAGATAGCGAATGCTCGGCCCAGCATGATGATAGTGGAACCAGAAGTTTCCACGATGCTCCGTGTGCAATTTCTTCCCGTATGTGCATGGCTTCATTGCGATGGCGGGTTTCCCTGTCCATGGGCGATTCGATCGTTTGATCGATATATGAGGTCTTGCAGAAGTGCCTTCAATCCCTGCCTCCGTGACCTGGAACTGTGGTGCCCCGCGAAAAGATACCGTGTCTCAAGCAACCCACCTCTTCTTTCCTCGTATATCGCCTTCTTGCTCCTCAATCTCCGATCCCAAACAGGTCGATATTCGAGGTAGAAAGGTGCGGGAGCGAAGGATGTCGACGCGTCGAACTCAATTGTTTTTTGAGCTTTGGCAAGGCTTTTGATCCTCAACCGGCTGACGCCAATCTAGTCGCTCATTTCTCCTCGGCCATTATCCTCATATTTATCTCAAGCTCCCTTATTCATGCCTCGGTGCGTGCTCGGCGTGTGAGATATTCCAGGAGGGTGGAGAAGTTGTCATAGTCGCTGAAGCTCTTCAAGGTGCTAAGTTAAAAGCAGTCAGCACTACCGATACCTAAGAACAAGGGGCTGTGCAGTAGTTTTGGGAATGTTTCGACTGCCTGCGCAGACGATGGTTCAAGAGGTTCCTTGATGATGGAAAAGTCAATGGTAATCAAATACAAATATGTGATGTTCTTTCAGCGTGAGTAAAACAATTTGCAGTATTTGATGGTACGTGCCATAAATCTTCTGGTATTTATGCTGGTTATTGGGTTAGTCAGCCACTAAAATTCCACCAGGATACCACTAGTTTATAATCACCATAAACACATCCCCTCCTTATAATAATCACCCATAGCCCAATGCATTTCAAATCATTATTAGAGTCCTGTTTCGCCAAACAAGCGGGGCCATTGCTTGGGTAACGGTAACCTTGGGCCATCCCATCGCACTTAATCGTGCCCGCGTTGGTCCCATCACTGGCGTAAGTACACTTATGTTTGAACAACGTCATGTCCCACGATCCTTTAGGCCACGGGGGGTTGGGGTTGTCTCGTTTACTGGAATCACCGGGGGCGTGAAGACAGTCCATTTCATATCGTCTGAGGTATCCAAAATATGGAAATATCCAATGCTACCAACACTTGTACTGGCGACTAATGAGGAATCAAACGCCATTTAAGCATAAGGTAGCTGGAGTATATAATGCAGGCATTAGAGAGGATGTCAGCGTACAGCCACATCTCTACAACTTCACCTTCCTATATCTACGAACTTGGTGTTGGGCTTGATTTGCTTGTCTGTGAATTATTTGGTATCATCTTTGGCTGTGAACCTGCGCCATGGGCCATAATCTGCCTGCTTCTTTGTCCTGCTGACACGACCTTTTATGAAATTTCAACGAGAGGTAAGACTTGGCGCAACATTCCTCGACATGAACGACGCACTCTGCTCTATTCTTTGCGGGGAGGACGAGTGGTGTTTTGATGGCGAGCATAAGGCGATGAAATTCAACTCAGATGGTATCGGAGAGGTATGTAGGCTCCTAGGTCTCCTTGCGCTGAATACTAACTACTTGCAAAGTTGTGGGGCTGTAACACTTTCCAGTACTGGATTGTTGTAGATCTGCAGTGGAAGAGCATCAGCGTTGGACGACTAGGCCAGATCAACCTTGAAATTACACTTTTGAACCGTATACCACAAGATCTACAAGACTATCCCATTCCCGTGTTCAACGAGCTTGAAGACGATGCGTTTCAATCCAAGGTATACAGCATTGAAATCGAGAAAGGAAACTTCATATTACCTTGCCTCGCTAGATCTGAGAATGAGCACAGGCCCAATAACCGGTACGCACTCCGTCTACTGTTTGATAAATCGCCATACCCGCCACGAAAGGACTGGATGAAACCGGACTATGGACCTGATGGCTGTGGTTTTTGGGATCGCGAGGAGTTTGTCGGTCGCAGCACGCCAGCGCTGGATGACAAGAGGAGAGCGATGAATGACCCCGCTCCAGCAGGCGGCTGGGATTCCTGTGCGGTCTGCTAGTGCTGCAACTCATTTTTTTGAAGAGCCTCAGAGTCATCCGGGGTGGCTAAGATACGCTCAAGTATAGAAACTGGCAGATTCAGGGTTGACTTTCAAGAGGGAAGTTGAAGCAAAAGAGCCAGTGAGTTTGTAATCGAAGTCAAATATCATTTAGTAACCCTCGTTGACAGGTTTCAGGTTCAAGGACAAATTCTAGCTGCGCCGCTGCATAGCTGCATTATTTGCACTATTAGCCTGCGGTTGAAGTGATTGGATATCCCTCAAAAACCAGATGTTTTATAAATTAACGAACATGCTTTGATCTTTGCGTTCTCATCGAAGTGGAGTAATGTTTGTCTACCTACGCTGCAAATGATGTGCGGCACGAGGCTCATTTGAACTTCTTGGCTGAGCCGGACTTGTCAAGCAAATATTCTTCGGGTGTGCTCAAACCCACGCTCGTTCTGTCAACAACTAAGGTACCTGACGGTTCTTCTTTCGTGGACCTAAACTTGGACCTCTAGCCCGTTTTCTAATCCCAGCCAGAGTTCAAGATCTATCTGCGTCTGGTCTGTTTGTTGAATAGAAAATTGCTGCTTTGTTGACTTTCTCCTGAAGCCTCTTGTGTTTATGTTTAATGAATATCCCTATTTGGTTTCCCGTAACAAAATCTTTCGAATTTTACGATTGAAGATTAGAAAAAACGAGAAGAATTTCACATTCATGATGGAAGCGAGAATATCAGCCGTATTTTCTGGTTATACCGTGTTAGCTCCTACAGTGTTTTACGGCCGTCTCCATTTGCAGCACGTTACGCGAAGCATAGTGGTTACTCAAATTCGAAGGTTTATATTTATATTCACCTTCAAATTTAACAGTTTCAAACGGGTATCTAGGTAGTAAAGCTGCCTTTAGAGACTATCACCTTCTTCATCTTATAAGTTTATTTATTTGGTGCCATCTATTTGCATATCCATGTCTCAATTTCGCGACTTTTAGTGGAGACGGCAGTAAAACACTATAGGAGTTAGGAACCCAAGCATATTAAGCATAGCAGCAGAGACAGTCTACTTCTTCAACCCATATTTACGAATGTCACGGGTCCTCAACATCGCCCAAGCACTTGGCGGCAACACCGCTAGAAAAGGGCAGAAAGAGGCATTGAGAATTTGGGAAATCCATCTACCTTTCTCAAAATTTATCCTAGGGGCCATCTAGCGTAACAGCTAACCTAAATAGCTGTTTACCACGAAGTAACTACCTATTCTGATTCTCACGTGATGTTGTCAGACGAGAATAAAAATGGGTCGCATGATAAAAGTCATCCTCCAGGATTCAATGTGTTTTTCAGCCAACTGTACTGGCTAGAAATACGATATACCTAGGTATGTATGTAATCAACCCGACCTAATGGAAATGACCGGAATCCTGCTACAGTATAGAATCGCTTCGAAAGCATTGTATCCAATCTAGTTCCTCGCAAACGGTGACAAACCATGTCAAAACTTGGCTTTATGGCAACACCGGCAGTCTTCCCTTGCGTTATAGTACAACTGGGTTGTCTATACAAGCTGCCCCCGGCATGGGTGAATTGACGACAGACTGCCATCAGTTTTCATTTTCATTATATATATATGCTTCTTTATGTAGTTCAGTAGTCGATCAGCAATCATTAGCAACCATGAAGCTTCAGGTATCTCTCGTATTTTTCTCTTGTATGTTGGCCGCAGCGGCGCCTCTTAAGGCTCGCGACTCCGTTTCGGATACATACAATGGTATGAACGACATCGTTGCTGGTAATGGATCCTGTGCCCCAGTGGCTGTCATATTTGCCCGCGGAACTTTTGATTCTGGGTACGTCTAATTTATTCTACTTCTACCCCTTCCTCATAAACATATAACCAACTAACAACAACAGCAATGTCGGTGTCTGGGTTGGCCTTCAATTTTTCGAGAGCCTAAATTCAATGATAAATGGTGTCGCCCTACAGGGCGTGGACCCCGATGCCTATCCAGCCAACTTGGATGACTACCTGGCTGAATCGGGCGGCAGCGATGCTGGCGCCGCCTCAATGGCCAAGGCAGTTGAAGACTACGCTTCTAAATGCCCTACATCCACTATTATTCTCTCAGGTTGGAGGTAAATAATATCTTCCCCATTTTGTTCTTGCCCCCAACTAATCCCCCCTCCAGCCAGGGTGCAGTTGTATCCCACAAAGCTCTGGCGATTCTCAGTACAGACTCTGGAAATGTTATGAAGCAAATTGGCGGCTTGGTTACATTCGGTGACCCGAACCACGTCTGGGACAGCATCCCGCTCCCTGACTCCATGCCAGCTTCGTCCTTTTATCCCTATTGCATTACCGGTACCATATTCGATCCCCTATGCGCCGACCTCCCCCAAGATTTCAAACTCCCCACTTCGGCTGAAGACATCACCGGCCCCTTCGACGACCTTCCCAGCCTAGCTGTAGGCACTCAACAAGTTGAAGCTGCTGCACAGATCATTGCGAACTTTCCTGGTCAAATTATCGAAAGTCTCACCGCATTTCTGAAACAGCTACTGCCGACCAGAGCTATACGGTTGCTACTAACCCCGGAGCACTTCACATATGGAAATAATGGCATGGCAGCGCAGGGTGCAAGCTTCGTAGCCAATCTACCGGCCGTCAAGACCGCACTTGCAGAAACTGTCCTTTTGGAAGGTGCGGTTACGTTAGGTAGTATAGCCTAGCAGCAAAGCGGATTCACACGATCCGTCTAAAATACAGTATCCCAATGTCGTATAATTTCTGTCTTTATGACCAACGTGACCTGTCGAGCTCTGTGGATAAGAATGGCGTGTAATTCTTCAGTATACTTAATTCTTGATTCGGTATGTATTGGAAGACTAGAAATAATGTCGATTCATCGATAGTCACGCCGTCATTTTTCAAGATCAACTACATATGATTCACCCCCCAATTTTTAATTCCCAGAAAATATTTAGCTTCCGTAAATTCGCTTGCCCGCCGTCCTTCTAGCTATGCTGTTCATTTGTGGCACTCCCCTCAGAGTCGCACCCATTCCGAAATACGCTCCACAGACTTCCGTTGTGTCTCCGCGTAACCCTTGATAAACTTCTAACTTGGCTCTTGACAATCCACAATGTCTCACGAGGTACCCAAACATGAAGGCAATCCGTCTTACTTGCCAAATTCCGAGAAGACGAAGAACACTTCTTCGACGTCGATTAATAAACTCGGCACATCTACCATGTTGTCGTTAACCGGAGAGAGTCTGGCGATTGCTAATTCAGACATATTCTTTGGTGAGCCGCCGCTGTAACGCCCTTCCTTTAAACACAATAAACAATCTGACATTCCTCGAAAGAAAACCAGCGCCTTCTCCTCAAAATCAAAGAGAATCGAGAGAATCGAGATTTCGGGAAACCTCCACCAAGACCATTTCAGCCTTATGATAAATTCCCCCTCTTCAGCAAGATTCCTTTTGACGTTCGGTTCATGATCTTCTCTCAAGCTGCCTTCGACGTCGACCCTCGAGTTATCGAGATCTTCTACTCCACCAAGGGAAAACAAAACCAGTTTCCATCAAAGACGCTCGTACCTGCCTTGATGTACGCCAGCAGTGAATCCAGAGCCGCCGCCAGTTTAATCTACAAAAGGTTTCCCACGTTTGGCGATGCCCGCTCATTCAAGGACACATTTGTAAACTAGGAGAAAGATATTCTTATGTTCCGCTCCGAGGAACATCTCAAGGCTCTTGTCGATACTAATAGCCATATCATCAAGGAGCGTGCTCTCAACCTTGCGATTATGGAATTACGTAATGACTGGGATCCTAGCGTTTATGTGAACAAGAGTTTGCAGAACTTGGACAAACTGTACCTGATCCGATTTATGCCCGATTCCATCAAGAATAAATCAGGTTCTCTCAGTTTGGAAAAGATAAATTTCTTTGCTTACTTTTCTCGGAAAGAAGAGTCCATAATGAGAGCGTCGGCTGACTATTCCAACATCTGGGGTGGGAATGGGGGTCTGAAGGAATACATAACTTGTGTAGCTCACCGAGATACCAGATTTGTCCTAAAATCGGGAACTGACGAGGAGAGGAAGGAGAAGGAGAGGGTCTATTGGGAGGATATGCTTTTGGCTGCTAAGTTGGTTCACGTCGATCCCAGTCCTGAAGACTTGCTAACCACCGTTTTGGTAGGCTCTCTTGTGAAGATTCGGCAACACGAGGCACGAAGAATGGTCAAAGTCAAGTGGAGGCTGACAGGCACGAAGAATGGGATGGATTTGATGATGATTTGGGGGAACTCGAGAACTTCATGTCAGAAGGAGAGGATTAAAGGGCAAAATATTGTATATCGGGGACTCTGTAGTCCAATATACGGCATGGGGGTTTCTTTTGGAGATGACTCAGCGCGCCATGATCAGCAGTTCCCAGGTCCGATACGAACGATTATTATACGAAATATGTGTCTATGTCTATGCCTGTGTTATCCAGCTCATTAATTCATGCAAGTGGTTAGAGATTGTGAATCATATGTTAAGCTCATGATCAGGCACAAGACCACACTCGGGTCTTGACGCAGAAAGCAATCCTCACCTCAGGGCCTCAACCGGATGCCTGCCTCCAAAGCCTACATTTCCCAATACTTGATTGCCACAAAGCCTCAGTCTCTTTCCAACATCCAACGCATAACGTCTGTCCCTCCTAACTGGGTCTAGGTAGCCGTAGTCGAGCAATCTAATCCGTCCACAAAGGTAGGAATTCAACCACCTTTGCGCATCTATTTCCCAGATAGCATTTGACTTATCTCTAACGCCTTTGAGTCGTATACTGCATATATTGATCATTTTTACAGGGTTCCCAAATGCCTCATTTCATTTGAGGGGGGTGGGGTGGCTGTGGCTTCAGCGGTAGCTAAGCCCGATACAGTTAAAGCAAATGGCACTGTACAGTACCTCTTGCCTTGGTATCAAAAATTCCTATCTTATTCTTTTCATCGCATAACTTGCTACCAGTATTCTATATGTCCCTTCCCGTCATCTCAACCTCCGAAAGGATGCAAACGCGACTTTTCTTGATGGGCCAAATGAGGCAGAGGCACTATCCGGGGCCCAACAGCACAAAACCAAAGTCTGAAACAAACGAATACGTGGCAGATTCATAGAGCTGTACGGATGATGAAACATGCAGCCTTTGCAGTGCATCTGCGTGGCAATGACTATGAGCAAACGGCGCCTATCATCTACACGGCTCTGTCTTGCCATTTCTTGAGCGGTGGCGTGCAGCAAGGCTATGAGAGACGGCGGTTGCGAGCTGACCGATATTTAACCCAGGCAGGTACGGATAGTTGGTTGGAGCCTTTGAGCAATGGCATACCTTAGTTTCTAACTTCTCTCTTTATTTCTCAAAGTTCTTCATTTTCCTTTCATATCTCACAGTCGTAGACCAAATACCACATACCCAACTCATCACTTAGAGTCGAAATTCACCCTGATATTGACTTAGAGTCGAAATTCACCCTGATGTTGACAACAGCATCGACACAAAAGATTGGCAAATTTTTAGTGCTTCCATTTCACAACGCTCTTTCGTCGTCGCAAGAATTGAGGTAACTTTTGCTTTCCAACCACCACGGCAATGGATCGGACCTCGAGCAGGATGTCAACTACCAACGCGCAGAAGAAGGTGGTGTATCTGATTCATCACATATTCCTGCCTCCTCAACTACCCCAGAAGTGTGACTTCAACTTGGAGTACGAGAAATTCCTACTTGATACCACCATTGATGCACTCAGGGCTTTCAAGTCTCACATCAATAACACCCAGTATGGCCAGGGCGCCATAGTCGATTCTGTCGTTGATATGGTCACCAATATGATGAATGTGCACGAATTCGACGGCACTATTGGTGCCATTAGTGAAGAGAATCTTTTAAATGCTCTGGCAGGTCTGTCCAAAACAGGTATGCACATACTCTATAACCTGCTATTTCTCTCCCACTCTGACTCGCCCATAGGTGGAACAATCCCCCTTTACGTACGCGCCCAGAATGCAGGGGTTATGATCAGCAGAGTGGATGATTCCATTCACGTTGAAGCATTCGAGCTGTCTCCTCTGAACGAGGCAGTCATCACTACCAAGGGTAGACTCCGACGCTCTTTTCCAGGACCGGCCAATTCTATCAATTTCGAGGTCTTTGGGGACCCTTCTTTTCAAGCTGCAATGGCACAAACGCTCGCCAAGATGAGCCATCAAGCTGCTATGAAAACTCAGCCCCAAGCGAGAAAGGCAGAGAGAATGCACGATGAGGATCGAGACACAACCCATCCAAAGATGGTCACCGAGCTTTTTACGGCATTTCTGGGAAGTGTTGGCGAACCTGTGAATGTCTCTCGCGTCTGGAAGAATACACGAGAAGAAGTTATGTATTACGACAGTCGGCACCCCTGGCGAAGATCACCCACGTGGTTATTTGTCCGCGTCGCCATGCAGCTTCTTTTCTCTCGAATGACAACCCAACAGCGCTTTTCCGGAAATCTTTACAAGCCTTTTATTGTGTTCCTCATGAGCCACGTTCTAAAGCTATCTCACCAGCATCGCCTCCGCTTCGACTTTTGGTACGCAATGAATGCAAAACTTGGCAGGCGTTTGCTTAAACTCGACCCAGACGTCGAAGTACCTGGTCTTGATTTTGTGCGAAATGCTATGCGCCAATCCAACCAGGTCCTTAATTCAAAATGGTCGAGTATCATGGAAGGAAATAGATCACGCATTGACTTGTCTGGTCTCGCAAACCTAGATTTCAGACGCGATATCTTTAACTCTCTCCCCTCCTTTGACGAATACATCAAGTCGCTATCCCAGCGGAAAGACAGAAGCAACTCCGTTGACTTTGAACCGCAGTCTGACTCCTTGACTTATCAAGCAGAAGAGCTTCCGACCTGCATAAATTTTTCGAAGACTGAGTACAAGTCCTACAACTTGAAGGCGTTCGAGGATTGGGTAACCTCAAATTTGAGTCGGTGGTTAGAATCCCATCAAGCGGACCCTGCCACCTGCAGCAAATTGGGCTACTTGATTCAAAGTTACCACCGCACTGCATCTATTTCTTACTCTGGCAACCCTGAGACACTTTCCCTGATGCTACTCACTATCCTTGAGCTTTGGATTGCCTGCGATAAGTCTGCTGTTCACATATGCCTGCTCCTAAGGGACTACGACCCTGAAATTCCAGGACAACTGCTCCAATCCCTAATCCTACCATTGAGGTCGCAGATGGAAAGACTGCTCCGCGCTGAGGATTATCTTGACCGCCGTCGAGCTAATGTCAGGTCCTCGTCCCCGAGTATTTTTCGGGAATTTGGTAGTCAACACTCATTTTCCGTACGATACTTCGATCAGTCCCTCGAGCATCAAAATTTGATTGAAGAGATCAGAAAACGTGCAACTCAGGCGAAAGAAGAAAAACAGAGTGAATTTCACCAAAAGAGAGAGCGTTACAAGAATCTTATGGAACTCTACCATGAGAGTGAATGCGACTTTAGTGAAGGCGTAATTAACTTCGCCACTGGCGCTCGCGGCCCTCGTCATCATGGGAATTGTACGAGGTGTGGCCACAAGTCCCAAGCCGCCTCCCTGAATATCCTGATACACGAATGGCCACTACCGAAAAATGAGATCGAAGCACGCTCCACGGTTTTCGAGCTCAAAGTACCCCTGTCATTTCGTTGTTGGCGCGACACAACCGTGTTCATCCTGCTCGATGTCTTTAAGACCGAGTTTTTGTCTGAAAAAAAGCCAAGGAAAACGTATCCTCTCCAAAATTACAATGGACTATCGTCTTATTTCACAAGATTCAGCTCAACGCAACGCATTGGTCTTTTGTCCGAAGACAAACCCCACGAGGTTACGCATCGTCGGAACAAATCTATTGCCGCCACCAGCGATATCAACGATGTGTGTCTCGACAACGGTCTTCACTATAAATACTACGATGCTTCGACTAAATGCTTTGTTGATATGTTTCGTATCACGGATAAAGTGCCGATTTTCTGTACCTACAGGATGCCAGCGGAGTCATCATCTCTCCAGAAATTTCTATTCCGCCCTTCTTCAATACCCAACGGCCCATCACCAAACACTCTTGTAGCCAGCCAATCTGATTGTCCTGATCATATGTCACTTGAAGAATATAAAGCACTAAGTGGTACTCCCCTCGGCTATCGAATCCAGTGGCAGAATATACTTCAACTCTCCGTTACATCATCTGTCGATTTCAAAAAAGTAGAGACAAGCCTTACGATTCTTCAGTGTATTCACCAAACTGGACCGCCGAGTAGCGGCGGAGTCCTCAGAGCAGGCCATGAAATTTTGGACGACGATAATCTTGCCCACGCTATCTTGAAAGCCCTCCGTGAGGCGCTTCAGAGAGTCAAGGAGAACTGGGAGTCCTCCCAAGCACTCAGCACCTACATCTCTTTGGCTGCACGACTACTATCATTGACCTCATCAGACCAAATCAAGGAGGGATGCTTGCTTTATCTGGCGAATGTTCGAGTCGTTGCTTTTGAGTGGGTCAATATTCTTAGGGACAAAGCGCAAATGACGATGAGTGATGACCAAAGAACGTATCTATGTTCCAGGGCCCTCGAGGTTGCATTAGTATGTGTTGATTCTTTCAACTTTGATGAACGGTATTTGGAAGATCTTCTGGCTATACCTGAAGATCTGTCTCTCCTCATTCAATGCTCAATCGTCATTCAGGAAGGAGATTATACGCTGGCACATACATCCGATCCCATCGTTTCTTTACTGTACCAGCGATGGAAAGGGCTCACATATCGTTGCTACCCCATTCTTGCGACGAAAATTGTCAAAAGCAGCAGCTCATCATTGGACGTTGCCATAATCAAGTCATGGTCCGCTTATAAAGCAGGATCCGGCTGGCGAAGGATCCCAGAACAAGATGGACATTGGCTTATGACCAGAACAGCACCACAAGAAAACAGCAATGGCTTATGGGTCCATTTCAATCTTCTGACGGGCGAGCTTCTTGTGAATGGTCTCCCACTGGCGCGCCTCCCTTTGCGATACGAACAACATCCAATGTATCGCACCCTTTTCGCAAGCTGTGCTATGGAGGTTCTGCCTACTTCTGTCCCAGGCTTGGAGTTCTCTGGCAAGAAAGAGTATGCTGGATACACACTCCACTTTGGGATCGGCCAATCTTCCGATGAACCCAACTCATTGGAACACGACCTTCTGGTACAAGCTATAAAAGGTGATAAAAAGTACGAACTGGTTCCTTCTCGACATTTGCATGGAAATTTCCCGGTATTCTTCGTCGAAGAGTTTGTTCATTGGTATGATTGTTATGATAACTCGCTTGAGTTCCGCCCTGTCAAAAGCCCTTGGAATTCATCACCCAACAATTGGAGGTTGGCCTGGTCAACATCTACTTCTGGATGGCATATGGCCAAAGATAACGTGTCTCTGGTTGGAATAAAAAGTCAGACTGTAGAAAAGCTGTCCCATATACTGAATCCCCTGGAGGATCCACTCCGAATACATACTTTCTTCCATCAAGCTTCATCGTTATTGGAGATTGAGCTTCCTAGGCTCCAGTTAGGATTTTACCTTGAGCGAGGTGGTCTATCAATTCAATCGAGGCAATTCCGCGGAATGTCCATCGACATGGACCAATCTCTTGGTACCCTGGTTGGCCTTCGCAGCAGGCTCATGTTGAAACATGACAATGGTGGTAACCGCCTTGTCATTTTACCAGAGGGAAATGTGACATGGCAGGCCGAAGGTGGACATATTCACGTCATGGTTGACAAAGACTCGGCTACCAAAGCCCACGCATATCATGTGGATGATAAACTTGGCAGACTAATAGATAATGGGAATCTGCAGAGCAAGCTAACTCTATGTTATCTCCACGCTCTCACCTCGTTCTGCTTGTCAGATCCCCTTACACGTACAACTGGTACGGAACAGGCACTTTCAATCCTGAGCTCTGCTGCGGTCAGGTCGTTTGATCAGCTGGAACAGAAAAACATTGAAGTACTTCATCAAATTGCACAGCTGACCCCAGGGAGAAAGTACTACCCCGCCAATGAACGTGTCATGCAAACAGTCAGCTGGGTTCCGAATCTTGGGTTTCTGGCTCAGCATGGTGGATTTTACAAATCTGTCAAATCAATATTCGACCAAGCAGATAGGGCAAACATATTTTACCCGGACTCGAAGGTCAAGCTGCCACCGCTAGACCAGGTCGAAGTAGACTTATTACAGCGTGATTGTATCCGATCATCCACGTTTCGTGTGTCCGGCTTTGGCGCTGAGGATCATACGGTCAATCATGACAAGGTCTACGGAGCCAGGGATCAGCAGCAGAGTTCATCAAGATACTCCGAAGCTTTTGTGATGTCAAGCATGATATATCATGAACGCACGACTCTGCAATACCGACCCCCATCCCATTTTCGAGATCATCTCTGGAAATATCTATCGCAGACTCAAGTGTCTAGCAAGAAATTATTTGGCTCAAGGTATCCGTTGCAAATCTGCGACATGAAGTATGACGCCAGACTACTTGAAAAGGAACATTCGTCCGACTTTCTCTCGGAGAAATGGTGCGCTCTTCATCAAACGTTCAGTCGGGAACGTTTCCGGGTGGAGAAATTCCACCTCATGCTATGGTTTTCCACGCTCGCCTTCGCCAGCAATGCCGACATGGAGATCATTCAAACACTAGCCTCCTTTTATACGCTGCCATATATGGCTCAACTTTCGCCGCCACAGGTTGATTCTTTTCAGATATCTCAAGGTCGCGATGTAAAAAGACACGAATTGCGCGACTCTATCAAGTCTGCGTGTCTTCCATTATTGCAGTGCCCCGAAGCGCACCTTACTGCTTGGTCTACAGAGACAAAAAACGAATTGCGGCGACGTAAACAAGAAGCGTTTCAGTGCAATCAAAGCAATGCTCTTGACAAGCTGCGTGATGCACTGGCGAAGCAATTCCCCTCTGAGGTTCCTGTTGCCCCCGCTGATGATACTTCCCCCTCTTTTCGCACGTACGTAGACGTGAGAAAGGCTATTGATGGCGCGAAACCAAAATTCAGGACATGGTTCGATAATCTTCAATTCTACAAATATCTCACTCAAATCGAGGACGCTCTCCTGAACCCCATGGTCAAAGCAATGCAAATACCATCATGCTCATTTACTCCTCCAAAATGGAATTTAGAGAGGAGGCATCGATTCATCTCTATTGATGACATTCTGACTTATTCGACGGCTCCGAAATTAGCCTGTGTTACAAATGATTTGAGCGACCTACTATTGACTAGACTTTCTCATGATCCCGAAAAGACGACTCCTCGCCTTGCAGCATTGATCAAGCGCCTCGAGGCTCAGGCCGGCTCCAATTACGAAGAAGACTATGTGAAGGACTTGCGAGAGAGCCTTGCTTGTTTGCAGCACGAGCACGGGAAAGAATATGCTCTTCAAGGGACGGAAACTGAGATCAAGATGATCCTCTCTGGCTATCTGGTGCACTGCCAAAACCACGTCAAGGTGATCTACACAAATATCACCTCCAACTTGAACTGTCCTGTTCGCGTGGACTCAACTTTGTTGCAGTTGAGTAAGTTTTCGGCCCAAGCTGCTAGCGTTATGCAATGGCCAAGATTATCCCCAATATTCCTCCTTCAACAACTCACACGCTGTCGATGGCAAAAGATTACAGGCGAATGGAAACGCTGCATTGTTGAGTATGGGCTCTCTCTCACCGAGCTCCAACGAGCGGAACGGCTCGTGAGCTCTTCTGATAACCATGCGGATCTCATCAAGGAATTGCAGAATTCAGGTCATCAGAGCTGGAGTCCATTGGACTATCCTGAATCTCTGCTCTTGGAGGTCGAGAGTGGTATCATGATCCGGGAGGTCCAGGTGCGCATAGCCGAACAGATGAGAAGTCCCCCATCTGGCTCAAATTTCGTCATGCAGTTAAACATGGGTGAGGGCAAGTCATCTGTTGTTGTCCCTAACGTGGCCGCCTCTCTCGCTGATGGCTCTCGGTTGGTGCGTGTCATTGTGGCCAAGCCCCAATCCAAGCAGATGTTACAAATGATGGTATCTAAGCTCGGGGGCCTGCTAGACCGGCGTGTATATCACATGCCATTCTCTCGCTCCTTGCGCCTTGGGGAAGCAGAAGCAAATGCGATTGGCGACATATATAAGGAATGCATGACAAACGGCGGCGTTCTCCTTTTACAGCCCGAGCATATATTGTCATTCAAATTGATGGGTCTCGAGTGCCTCATCTCAGGTCAAGAAACAGTTGGAAATTCCCTACTGAGCACTCAGCACTTCTTTGACTCTTCCAGTCGCGATATCGTAGACGAGAGTGACGAGAATTTCAGTGTGAAGTTCGAACTGATCTATACTATGGGCATGCAGCGACCAATTGAACTCTGCCCCGAGCGGTGGACTCATGTTCAGCAAGTGCTAAATCTAGTCAAGATATTTGCGCCAAGTGTCAAGAAAAAGCTTCCTCTTTCCATTGAGGTCGATGAGCACACTCGAGGAAATTTCCCCAAGACTCGAGTCCTCCGGCCTGATGCCGGAAAGCAGTTATTTGATCACGTTGCAAAACACATCTGCGAGACTGGGCTCGACGGTTTCCCAATTGCTAGACAACCAGAAAAGATCCGAAACGATGTTTTTAGGTACATCACCGAACCTATACTCACATCAGATGAGATCGAATGCGTTGAAAAAGGAGAATTCTGGACAGACACGACAAGCAGCATTCTGCTCCTCATACGAGGTCTCATCGCTGGAGGAGTATTAGCCTTCACATTCAGCCAAAAACGTTGGAAAGTTAATTACGGACTTGACGCGACTAGGATTCCTAAAACAAGGCTCACGGTGCCCTATCGAGCCAAGGACAACCCCACCCCGCGATCAGAATTCAGTCATCCCGACGTGGTCATTGTCCTAACTTCGCTGTGCTATTACTATGGCGGAATGACCAATGATGACCTGTTCCTGGCTCTTGCGCACCTTCTTAAGTGCGATCAAGCCGACATCGAGTATCAGGAATGGGTCAAAGATGCCCCAGATCTTGCGCTTGCTTTCCATAATCTGGCTGGCGTCAATCCCAAGGATAGACAACAATGCATTAATCAAGTCTTCCCTCACTTTCGTTACGCCAAGGGCGCTGTGGACTACTTTTTGGCCCATGTCGTCTTCCCGAAAGAAATGAAAGAGTTTCCGGAGAAGCTATCCGCCTCCGGGTGGGACATTGGTCAGATCAAAGCCCACCCCACAACCGGCTTCAGTGGTACAAATGACTCGAGAAAGGTTCTCCCACTTAGTGTAAAACACCTTGATCTTCCGGAGCAAAAAGACACCAATGCCTTGGTCCTTGAATACCTCCTCCAAAGCGAGAATTCCGTTGCGCTTATACCATCAGGAAGTGAAACTTTGCGCTCAGATGCAGAAGTCTTACTAGCTATGGTGACGAAGATGAAACCAGCAGTACAAGTTATCCTTGATGTAGGGGCCCAAATCCTTGAGCTTGGGAATCTGGGGTTCGCAAGGGAGTGGCTAAGGATGTCTGATCTGGAGCGAGCACAGGCTGTAGTCTTTTTTGGCGACAATGATGAGCTTTCTATTCTCGATAGGAAGGGAAACATTGAGCCCTTTCAAACGTCTTCATTTGCAAAGCAACTCGACGTTTGTGTCATATTCCTGGACGAAGCTCACACGAGAGGGACTGACTTGATATTACCGCCGGACTACCGGGCAGCCGTCACTCTGGGACCAAATTTAACCAAGGATAGACTAGTGCAGGGTAAGTCTCCAAGCTCGTGTGATTACAACCACTGACGGTCAATGCAGCATGCATGAGGATGAGAAAACTTGGCAAGGGACAGTCGGTCGTCTTTTGTGTTCCGGAAGAAATAAAGACCAAGATTCTAGAACGAACATCCAAGCCTGACGATGCGGATATTGAATTGCCAGATGTTCTCATATGGGCTATTTCAGAGACCTGCGTTGACATCCGACGGAGCATGCCCCTGTGGGCGGCACAAGGCCGTCGCTTTGAACAACAGCGTGAGATCTGGGCTGAGGCTAGAACTGACAATGGCATAACGCTGTCAAAGGCTCAAGCCGAAAAGTTTCTCGAGGATGAATCCCGAACCCTAGATGCTCGATATCGACCACGTTCCGGGACTAATACAGTTTTCTCTGAGCAAGAAAGCGAAAACGCTAATCTCAACCTGATCATGGAGCGTTGTCGTGAGTTCAAGGACCTGGATCTCAATTCCGCCACTCTGCAGGAAGAGCAAGAGCGCGAGCTTTCCCCCGAGATTGAACAGGAGCGACAAATCGAGAAGCCAGCACCTGCTCAACCCGCAGAATACCATATCCACCCCGATTTGATCAAATTCATATCTACAGGTATCCCTATTAGGGGCTCCACAGGATACAGCCCAGCTTTCGAAACTCTACGCAATACCAGCGCAGGCAAATATATCGACGTCTCTCAGTTTCCCAAGGATCTCCTAGTAACTTCCGACTTCGCCAACACCATACTAACCCGCGGTACTTCATATATCTCAGACTCATACCAGCGGTCGGTACAGTGGGTGCTCACAAGCACTGGTGGCAAAGATACTGTGCAGCATATGATGGTTATCAGCCCACACGAAGCACAGGAGCTACTACCGCGCATCAAAGCATCAAAGACCACAACGCTGCACCTCTACGGACCGCGTCAGAACCTAGGTTTCCGCTCGTTAGACGCCTTGGATTTATACAACGTCCCCGCGCGGCCAGGAACGCTGCATCTGAATCTTCCGCGCCATCTCATCATACAATTGAGCCTATTCGCAGGACAGCTGTACCTTGCCTCGTATGATGAATATAAGGAAGTGTGCAACTTCCTAGGACTGGCGTGGACTAATGATTGTCCTACATTTCCTGATGGTTTTATCGTGCGGAATCGTGGGGACTTGAAATCGGCGGCTGGGTGTACATTTAGCGATAGTCCGGTGATGTTCATGAAGGTGCTGACGACGAAGATCCGGAGGCATTGTGAGGGGGTGGATAAGACGCATATGGGGAAGATATTGGATAGTATAGTGCTACAGTCGTCTGACTTTGAGGGGGAGCATGGAGTATGAGTGGTGCATACAAAATTGGTTTCAACCCGGAGTTGAAATTGAGGATGAGAAGTCTAGCTAGCACTCGCTCTTTAGAATGACGCGTTATTTGAATGTTGGAGATGATCAGAACACACAAGTCTTAGAGGAATTCCCATTAATTCAGGCACTCCAGAGAACCTTCCATGTGATTTTCACAATATTTTATCTATCTCTACTCCTCCAACTGAAATACATATTATATACAGCATACAAATCTCCTTCCATTCCATTCCAAGCCGTAGATCCTTATCCCCACCCGATTTTCTCCCAAGCTTAACACAAAACGGCTACCCAAGACGCGCACCTTTCTCGACTTCAGCAAAAGCCAACGGTACATCAACACCATGCGCTCTAAGCTTCTCTTCTCCATGACAAAAGGACTCCCGTTATCATGTTGGCATGGATTCTGGCTACATCCGCTTTGGAGAATTCTAGAACCCAGCATGTAAGCTTACGATATATCATCGTGAGATAGATAGATACCATTCTTTCGTGATGTGCAACTATGTTTCGTGAGACTTGAAGCGAGATGGATTACGTTATCTGCATCTCCATTTCAACATCCCATCATCACCTCACCCAGAAGTTTTTAGTTGGATGATGATTAGATTATTGTATATTCGACTTTACTCTATCAGCAGTAAATAAACATAAATCAATCAATCAATCAGATCTTGAATTTCTTCCCCGCATGGCTCAATTTACCCTGAAGCCCCCTCTTCCCCTCCGAAGCCCTCTTCGCCGGCCTCCCCGTCGTAGTGTTATAAATAGCACTCGTCGGCAGCACATCCCAGACAATCGTGCCGTTGCCCTCCCTATACGTACTCTCCGCCGTCCCATTGGTCAAATACCCACTCCCACTCACCTTGCACTCGCCCGTGGCAATATCAAGGCCCTTTATGGCGCGCTCGAAGATCTCGAGCGAGGCCAGCGGTTGGTAGAACGGCACTTCGTGCCCGCTCTCGTAGATGCGCGCGAAGGCAAAGGAGGACGCTTGTTTTACCTGGCCGTGCACGGTGGCGTCGCTGGTGGAGATGTTGGTGTAGCCGGCTGAGGAGAAGCCCGGGGGGTCTATCTCGTGGGCGACGACTTGGCCGCCGAGCCAGTTGCAGCTGAAGGATGGTCAGTGGTGTGTTTGGGGGGGGAGAGAGGGGGAGTTACTTGTAATCGGCGTCTCCGGCGTATAGGAGGACGTAGATGCCCTGCTCGAGAAGCTTCCTTAAAGCTTCTATGGTGCCGACTTCGCGGTTATCGTCGCCAGTTGCCGAGAACGCGTTGCTTACTGTGTTTGAGCTTTCGGAAAAGTTCTGGTACGCGCCTGTTTACCGGTTAGTGGGAGGGACATTGCTTAATTTGAAAGATATGTTTTGGGAGATGGGATTCGACGGTGGCTTGTGAGTGAGTAATCGACTCTCAGAGTAATGTATGTGAGTCTAGAGAGCATTCGATTCACGTCTCACAAGCGACTATGGAGTAGACGCTGGAGAAAGTAAAGGAATGCGAGATTCGACTTACCAATGGCCTGTTGAACCTCGGGTGTATTGAGGTAGTCAACGTAGAACGAGTATGGGAAAGGATCAGGTTGCAGCTCTCTGATATCGTATTCGTCGCGATCAGTATTATCAGGCAGTACCTCTTCCACAAGATAATAGCAGAAATTATCCGCCGACTCGCAGATGTCATTGAGTCCTCTCGCTGCGCAGTCCTTGATCTGGTCAACGCAGTTGCCTGGCCCGTACAGTTGGTTGTAGAACTGGTCTTGAACACTAGCGTTGAACGGCGAGTAATCGTACGTGTTCCCCGGGAATACGGTGTAGTTGTAGTATGCTTGGTATTGGATTAGAGGATCGTACCATCCGTTTCTGGAACACGTAAGCACAAAGCAGCGCAGGCATAGGGGGTAATGCATACCCGATCAAGACAGACTCGAGGGATATTTTATGGGCGCCTGATATATTCTTTGCGTTTTGCTCTTCGATGTATTCGTTGAAGATCGGGCCATAATGACCACCATAGGATTCCGTGGAAAAATGGAACCCATTTCTAGAGTACTGGGGAAAAGCTCCCATGAACCCCTGGAGGGTTTTCCAAAAATTGGGGGCTGCATTAACGGTAGAGTTTGCCGTCAAAGAATAATTCCCGTAACTGTACGTCCCGCAAGTATCGCCGGCGTAGTCTGGACATTCGTCGCCGGGCAACGTAACGATATCTCCGCTACCGGCTGGTCAGAAAGACCTGCTACTATATTTCAAGTGAGATCACATACCTGGACGAATCAACGTATCCATTGACAGGAATGCTATAAGAAAACCCTACCTGTGAGATGTTAGAGCTGGTGTGTTACTGGTGGGTGGGGAGTGAGACGTACTTGGGTAGGCTGGTCGATGACTGGATAGTGCAAGAGTCAGCATGTCTGGAGTCTACAAGGCATGACAAGAGCAGGCAATGGGGCATCTCCGCACAACGACTACACCGAGTCACAGAGACTACCCTATTTGGAGCATTTTCACGATAACTGACTCCCTCCACGTCACTCGCCTAACTTGAAATATCGAGTAATCCAAGAGCGTTTCCAACACTTATCCCGAGGACATTCTTATATATGAAAGACCCAATTCAGAAACCGGAATGTTCCAAACGCAATACACAATATAGAAATACTGCTGAGATAAGAAGAGGAGTGAAAGAAAGAAAATTCATCCTCACATATCATATTACTGGCATTTGACCATGAGTACGGGTTAGAATACACATTTCCGTCGATGTCAACACGGCAAGGACCATTCTCTTCTATCAAGGGGTTAGTAAGTACTTTGATTTCCGCAGAGCCAGCAAGAGCCGAGAAGATGAAACGCTGTTCGGGAGCGCCAATAAACACAGCTTGAGTCTGACGAATAAAGGAAGGGAGGAGGGAGGAATTACGGAATAAACCAATCATAGAAGATGACCCTGGGCCGCCGTTGATCCAGACCTGTTCAACGTCAGCATGATTGACCTTCGCGAACATAATAACGGTAGATGGGAAGATAGATAGCATTCCATAGAAGACTGTGGGATCCATGGCCCATTTCCTCCTTCATAGAAGATTCGGATATTCGGGGTCGTTGAGGGGAGCTGGCTAGAATCATCTACACCCTAGGAGATTTGATACTCTATCTTATTAAAAGAAGATGCGAGCAGCATCGTCCTTCCACCACAACCAAGATCTCATCTCTATCAAAATCCCCAAACAAAAAAAAAACATCATAACTCACAGTAAGCGGCGCAGTCTCCGGATCGATGCCCCTCGCTTCAAAAAACCAAAAGAAGATATGCTGATCCACATCCACATCCGCGTATCCCGAGTAACTCTTCACATCAGGATCCAGCTCGCAGATACCGGTCGGGACTTCTTTATAGCGCACCGGAATGCCCGCATAGCCCGTGGCATTGATGAGGTCTGTTGGGGCGGGGACGAACTGTGCCAGTGCGCAGGGAGCAAGGGCGAGGGCGAGGAGGGTAGAAGCGGGGGAGGGGAGAGGGGGACGCATTGTGGAGTAAATTGGATTGGGAGGAGAAAGAAAGGGAGGGGGAGAGAAAGAGGATGGGGAGAGAGAAAAGAGGACGAGAGAGAAGACTTACATGCCTGCGTACACAGGAACCTTATATATCATCGTATAGAGTAAGGCAAGGTAAGGTAGGTAAGATACAGGTAATCGGAACCCATCTCATCCCAGTCCATGCCATTCATCGCGGGGAGCTCCAGCTAATCCATGCCCATGCTCCCCTCCGGTTCCTGCTTACCTGCCTGCATGCGCATGGAGCCATACTCGAACAGGAAGCTTGAGCTCCCTGGCCTGGGATCGCCCCTCGCGCCCTTACCTAGCATAGCTATTGCGGACCCAAGTATACGCGTGGTCAGGATAAGAGATACCTAGCATACCGTATGTACAGTACAGTAGCTTGGCCGTCGTTCATATTGTTATTAGATAGATAGAGGAGGTAATTTTATTATTGATTGTCGTCAGGCCAGGGGGTGATGGTTTTTATATCAGGGTACCAGTAGTGGGGTCGGAGGTGGGCGCGCGCACGCAGAGTCACCTGCTTTTCTGAGCGGCGCTTCGGGAAAGCCGTTTGGTCGATGGGACGGCTGGCCTGGGAGACCGGGGCCGGTTGGCGCTAGGTGTCTGCAGATGCAAAGAAGCTTTTAATATCTCGTATAGAAGCAAGCAAGCAAGTAGTTTCGTTGGCATTTGCAGAAACACTTTATTTATTTCTGCCTCTTTGAGCTGTACCGAGAGAGAGAGAGAGAATTGAGTTTGATTAAAGTACCTACCTACTACCCATGCGTACTACCATGTATGCTTGGCTCGACGAGAATACCGGTAAAGCCTAGCCCGCCTGCTTCCTTTGTCTATAGCATCGAAAGGGAAGAATCTCTGCCAGCCTTGTTCTGATGGTTCGTGCGTTCCATTTGTTATCATCATCTATTCAATATCATCTATCGTCAGGCCACCTGGTGACCTGGCAGGACTGACGCTTCAATGCACGCTAATAAACCAAACCACACCAGAATGCAGGTACCTATCCTTTGCCGCCCTATTTATCCCATCTATCTTTTAAATTCCATCCGTACGCCATCCAAGAGGATTCAATGTTTTCCATTGGCCTTGCCGTTCCCGTTCATCTTCCCGCCGTTCGCCAAGCCACCGTTGAAACTCCTCTCGACTCCCTTCACAGCATCTATTCCCGCCTTCTCTACATTTCCAGAAGCATGGCTAGTCATCTTATCGCTACGTCGGAGATAGCTCTTGACGAAAAATCGCCCAAAGAGGAATGTCAATGGCGCGAGATAGAAAACGTTCAGCCAGATGGCAAAAGTCTGACCGTTTGTGTCAATGCACGGTACCGTTTGGTATTCCGTGCGATACTGGGCCGTACCAGCCAAGGAATTTGTTTGTTCTATGATCCCAGGCGTATGTGCAGCATTGACATTCTCGGCTACCCCTTCTCCACCTACGGCGCGAAAAAGAAGCTTCTTGATTATGTCCATGACACTTGCTGCCGTGGCTGTTGCGGCGGCTGATGAAGTTGCGTTGGCCGTGACAGATATTGCATCCTTCAGATAGGGTACTCGGACGGGGATGCTATATGAGACAAAGGAGTGGAAGGCAGCATAGGCTACTCCAACAAGAAACTGAATGATTTGCATTGTCGTCAGACTTCGCTTGAGTGTATTTGGGATCGGCACTGAGAAAGCGGTCAAAGTGTAGTAAGTATACTGTTGCAACGTTAGCCAGCTTACTTTGTATAGTGGAGTAGTGGAAAGACAGTTGCATACCATCAGGGTGTGAATTGCAGAATTCACAAAGACGAACATCCATATCGGAGGCGACATGTAACGAATACCAGCCCACATGCACATCATAGCGCCAGCATGGTGGTAGGTCTGAAGTGTGGAACTTCTCTTCCCCTTTGCTAAGATAATTGCCGTGTCCAGAACCTCATAGAACTTGCTCAGGTAGAAAAACCAGCCATAGAATGCAAGACCCTCATTCCACAATCTTCCCACATCGGTCGAATCCGGTGCTCCCGCCCCGGTAAGCAGAATTGTCGAGGGTGACTGAGAGATCCATTTTGATTCCGAGCCATTGTATGCGATGGCATTCCCTAGGCCAGAGACACCATGAATCTTGCACAGACTGTCCACCGTGCCTGCGAACCCAGCAGGTCCAGATGGCCGCTGGACAGTTGTCCGAAGAGCACCCAGCATGCCGACAAAGGTCCAAGCCGAATATACAGCCAAAAACACATTGTGCAGTACGACGAAGCAAAAGAAAGCTCTGGTCTTGCTGATCCGCCATGGCTTGTTTCCTCCGGATCTGTTATATGCGTTCAAGGATACTACGGTAACTGCATAAATGCTGGCGATTGTGATTGGGACTTTAACGTTGAGGGCGCTGATGTATAGCGAGGAAGGAATGGAGAATGGCGGCGCAGACAGTGTTGAGCCAGCTTGCTGAGGTGGAAGGACTCGGGGATCATTGCTGGGAGGGAATCGGAAGAGCGACGACGAGGGCCACGACAGAGAGACTGTTGGAGACGACATGTTGGTTGGGTGGTTGATTGGATTGGGTCGATGGGTGTCGGTTTGGGTTCCCCGCCAGAAATGGAATGGAATCTAAATCTAGGTATGCGACAACAATGCTTCAACTCTCCGATCTCGATCTTGGACCTTGGATGTATCTTGATCGAGGTAGGTGAATGTAAAGAAGGGGCGTTGAATTATCTTGTACCAGGAATTGGCAGGCAGGTGAGGTAAAACTTTGTTGAAGGCAGGCTGACAAACAAACAAACAAACAGCAAAAGGAATGGGGAAAGCTACGAAAGTTGCCGAGGTACAAAGAAAAAAGAATTGGTTGGATATGAACATGGCAGGCATGTGAGGCCATTCCAAGGTTTCTCTCTGTTGGCAAACTCTCCCCTCTCTCACACCCTTTTTCTCCATCTTTTTGCTCCATCATCTTGAAATTGTTGAGCTCACAATCGACCATCTAGTGCATGACGTGTGATCCCTGCGATCTCGTAATACTGTGGACCAATCGTTTAAAGGCGTCCCTGCATTAGCGCTTCGCTAGGCTATTCATCCGCCACTCATGGCTTGATCCTGGATCTTAGTCACCGTCGCACTCACTGACATACGGTGGGTGGATGATATGACGGCTTTCGTCTTTGGCACCGTACCATGTCTAGTCCGTCATCATCAGGACCCAAGGGAGATTCTTCGTATTATCATCATTATAACTATAACTATGACTATTGTTGTAAATTATAAATCCTCCTTGGTAAACCCTCTCCTATTCCTTACAGAAGAGGCTCGTTCATATTTACCGTATGTGTGGCCCTCGGACTTTCATTCATGCGTATTTACCGACCGTACTTTACCTTATAGCGTCGTCCTCCGATCCCAACAATTTGCGACAATTCATCCATTCTATTCAACCCCAACCACCAACTTGTCCATCATATGCACGTACCCAGTACCGATCTGAGCCGAGGCCCTTCCAAACACATAGGTAGATATGGTATTCCACAGTCACGGGACGGACATTGGTTCACGAGACTCTCGTACGAGAGCGAGAGCGAGAGCGAGATCAGATCTCGACGTCTACATAACATCACGTTCCCCTTCTGCTAAATAACTTCACTCGCGCTCACTATTGCATTCCATCGCGTAGACACCAGAAGCGCGCCGCATTTACTGGTACGCATACATGCAAGAAATCTCAATTTTCGCCTATGCTACGGATAGCTGGCCTCCCTCCATCCGTCCATTCTTCACAACTTGAATTCCACCATGGTCTTCTATCCGCGCAGAAACTCAAATGCATATGCAGTCGAGGTGTCTGTCTGATAAATAGGAAACGTGACACTGTTTCCAGAATACGTGTGCTCGTACCAGCCTAAATCCGTTGGCCCATCCACTTCGCCGAAATGTCCTCCAGTGGCGGGAAAGCTCCAGGTATGTATATTCAGCGTTCCTGAAGTTGCCAGCCCCACGGCTGAGAGATCGTCGATTTCAACTTGCCATGTTCCGGTGGTGATACGAACTCCAGTGAGAACCTTGACTGTATCTGAACCAACAGTGGCATACGTGTCTAGTTTCAGGTCCGTGGAAGGGGAGCTGCCAACACGATAGCCCGTCATGTTCAGATTGTAGTATTTGTACACCTGGTAGTCGCCATTTGGGAAATAGCCACCTGCCGTTGCGCTGTAAGACGAGGTGGTAGCATTGGGTTTGGAGAGCAGCGACGCAAGGAAGTCATGAAGCTGGGTCCCACTCAGCCAGTTACCACGTAGGCCGATTGCATTTACTCTCTCGAGTTGAGAGATCCACCAAGCTGAACCAGCGGGAACTTGTTCGTCGTATATTCCGTATTCATCGATGTTTATGGGGTGGTTTGGGAGACTGTAGGTTTCCAGAAGGTTGAATAAAGCCCCATATGCTCCCTCCACTAGATGGGGAGTCAGTATTTCCTGTCATACGTTTCCCAAGTCCAATTTTCGAGAAAGAAAGAAAGAAAGAGGCCTCGGGGATGATTAGAGGATTGCATGTCCGGATCTCGAGATTCAGGATAAAGTGCGAGATTGGTGGCACTCACTATCTCCACCACCACCTTCCATATGCCACACCCATTCATCCGGCACACTCGCATTACTCGCAACGAAGCTCAAGAACCCCGTCCACCCTATAATTATCAGTTCAGTTGTGTACAATTGCTCAGTCAAACCCTCTCACTTACAGTTGTTAGAAGCATCAGGCTGTCCAGCAAAAGCCGGGCCAATGAGTTTGACGCTCGGAAGTTCAGTTCTGTCATGTCATGATTGTTGTTAGCCTACCGTACTCTTCACTTCATTTATTTTCTTTCTTTGTGTCTGGAGGGAAATAGGTAGGTATGTTTACCGAAGGCGATGATACGTACGACCCCACATCTGGAAGTACTGTGCTTGTGGCGCGTTCCAAAAATACGTCAGGTCTGGTTCGTTCCAGATATCGATTGAGAGGCCGTCTGTAGCATCGTTTGCTTTCATATCGGAGATCCAGCGGGTTAAATAGGCATCCCAACTCGACCCTAGAGAAAGCTGCAGTGTTAGCATATTTCATCTTTCTCGTGGCTTCAAGGTAGGGCTGTAGGTAGGTATTGTTTGGCAAGGAGCGGACAGGCACTTGTTTGTATAAGTCCCAGAGGGAACAAGTACTCTGGAAGTCATGGCTTTGCACTCAGGAGTAACTTACAATCCCCATCATCCCCCGGATACGGCGCAGTAGAATTTTGCGTCCCATCAGCACCCCACAGATCATGAATCAGAAAAATAAAATTCGCATCGTATGTACGCGCGGTTTTGTAATTCGACAGCGCTGACGCAAAGCGGTTCTAAGAGCGACCCACCAGAACCATTTCAGCAATCGTTCATTCCACATATGTCAAACATTCCAGATACGCCCATTACAGCCATTACAACAACGATATACTCGAGTATGGACATACCGTATACTCCGCTACTCCCCAAATCCACCCCCGTCCCGGCGCCGCCACCTGAGCCCCACCTGCTCGCGCATAGTTGAATCCCATATCCTCATACAGAAACCCTGGGATCTGACCCGGCGTGTCTGGGATGCCGTAGAGGATGCCGGAGGCGAGGTGCGAGGGGGTGCCGGTGTTGTTCCCTAGGTTTACGATGGAGGTTCCTGATACGCGTTTTTGGTGATGGGGGGCGAGGGGATTGCTGAGGGCTGAGGTAGCTAGGAGGAGAAGAGGGAGGAAGGGTCGCATCTTTGCGTACGTATGCGGGTAGTTCACGGGATGGATGTCTTGAGTTCAGATCTCAGGTAGGGAGGGAAGGAGGGAGGGAGTCGGTGGACAAGATTAATGAAGGAAAGAAAACACCACTCACTCACTCACTTACTGGGTCTTGTTCTTATACATATAGATCCATCCTCTCCCCACGGGGTAATTCCACATGTCTACCGGGCGAGGCAAAAGAAAAGAGCAGAAAAAAAAAGCTAGAGGCAGTTCTCCGCACTCACTCACTCAAAGTCTACCGGGTAGAAAGAACCATGATCTCTGCGAGTCCCAAAATCGAATTCTAATTCTCCGTTACGCCTTGCCATTGCCCCCGACCCCGCCCCCGCATTTGGCGGACGACGTGATTCATTCCCCCCATGTAGGTAATGCAGGATACTGTCTGTACACGTTGGGGCGTGACCCGGCCCAGACCTGGAAAGCATAGGCATATGCATACTAGGTAAGGTAGGAGCCCAGCCCCAGCCCCCACCGGAGCGGAGCTAGCCCCGGACCCTCCACCGGAGCCGCTCTTGCACATCACACACATCGCATCTCAGAGCCGGGTGGTGGGGACGGGGAAGGGACTGGACTGGACTGGAGTCTGTAAAGCGAGGTTGGCAATTGGAGCGCGTAGCGTATGCTATGCTCTCTCGAGGAATCTTGTTCACTAGGTAGGTAGGTACTTGTCGTGTGATTGAGCGTCCAGCGCACGCGAAGCGAACAATATCAAGTACAGTGTGATGCAAGCGCAGATACGCAGTCTTTGTATCTTACGTGGATATCAGGCTAGTGCGAAATGGACCTGTCATTCGAGTATTCGAATATTCGAGACATGGTGTGATTGGGCGGGGATACTGATCAAGCTTGAAGGAAGGGGTGGATGAGATGAGATGAATGAATGACTTCTGGGGTGTCTGTCTGTCTGGCTGGGCTAGGCTTCTCATCTACGGTCTACAATTACAGTTTCCTCCTGATTCCCACGCGCATGTGTCCCTTGCCCCCTCGATTATCCCGCAGCGCGTAGGGTATGAAATGCAGTTGCTCCATACCAGGTCGCTGTTGCTGTTGCTGTGTCTGCGGAGTGGAAGAAGAATCAGAAGCATGTACAAGCGGTATATGGTGTGGTGCTAGCTGTTCATGTTCATCATTTTCGTCTTCAAGCATTTGGACAGCGGCATTATGGGCTGTTAAGCCTACATACGACTCTGCCTCTGTCTCTCCCTCTCCCACTTTCGGCGTAGAGCTCAGCATTGTTACTGTGTTTTCTGCCACGCGGGATGAGGGATCGAGGACCAGAGATTTGAAATGGTCGTCTACCCACGGGTTGTCGAAATCTTCAACGCAGTATACGATGGGTCCGCGGGCTAGTGCGATGATGGGCTGGTTCGTGTATGGGTGCGGTGAGATGAAGCGTGCGAGGAGGGGGATTTCTAGGTGGAAGGTTGGGTGGGCGTTTAGATAGGCGGGGGTGAGGGAAATGTAGCCTTTGCTGGTGTGGGCGTTTGGGAGAGGTGGGGAGAGCTGGATGGGGATGTGTTAGTGGAGTTTGAAAGGAAGGTGTTGTATGAATGAATCTTGGGGATGAATGGATTGTCATACCTGCCAAGTGGTAGCCCAGGCCGGGATTCGCAGTTTGATGGTCATTGCTACGTCCGTAGGGTTACGGATTGTAAACTCAATCTTTCCTTCCCATGGCCAGTTGGAGTCTTGCTCGATTTCCACCACGCTGTCATTTATTGGTATCGAGAGGGTGGCAGAGGAGTACATGTGGATATCTACAGCGACGGATTGGGATTTCTCGTTCTCGTCTACGCGGAACGACCAGAGGTATCCACCAATGTACCCCAAGAGTCTTGTGACGTTTGGAGGGCAGCACGCGCAAGTGAACCACTCCGCTCGTCTGGACAAGTCGGAATCGCTGGATGCGAGCTGGTTGATGTAGGTGAATTGCTTTCCGTTGGATGCCATACCGGTCATGACCGCGTTGTAGAAGCAGAGCTCCATGATATCCGCATATTTTCCATCCAAGTCCAGCTAGCAACTCGTGTTAGAAAAGTACTGTAGCCCGCAGGCGGATGATCCAACTCACTTGAAGAAGTCTTTCAGCGAGCATCATGACCCCAATAGCTGCACAGGTCTCTGCGTAACACCCCCCTTCATCAGTGCTAGATGGTAGGAAATAGTCGATCCCGAAACCTTCCCACTGTTTCTGCGCGCCAATGCCTCCGGTCAGGTACATTTTCTTTTCTGTCATGTTTCGCCAGAGGCGCTGCAGAGCATTCGTTCTATCTGCAGATTTTGGGCTCGAGGGGCCCTGGATACGGACCAAGTCCGCTACAGCCGTGAGGAGATACATGGCTCGCACTGAATGTCCCTCGATGGTTTGTTGGTTTACAATGGGTTCGTGTGCTTGTTGATACCTGCAAAGCCCCGTTGATTAATGATATTCCGTTTTCACCAGGTGTCTCTCCCCACACCCCTTCATTTCGAACTTACCAGTACGATCTACTTTTAGGATAGTAAACGGGTCGTTCGTGTTCTCTGTCCCCCCTGGCTTCTGTCTCTACATCATAGTAATGGCGCCCATCCTGCCCCGTCGGGTTTCCTCTCTCAGCTATAAAGTACTCGGCCAAAGCCAAGTGCTTAGGATTCTTCCTTTCTCCGTACAGACGAAGCAATGCCAGCTCGATCTCTGGGTGGCCCGGGTACCCATGTTTCTGCTCTGGCCCCGGCCCAAAAGTTGCGCATAGCAGATCCACGTATTTGAGAACGGGTTCCATCAGCAAGTCATTTCCATAACATTGGGTGTGGGCTAGCGCCGCTTCGATCAAGTGACCGGCATTGTACCTGAGATTGCCTTCTGTCAGCAAAAGGTCTCAAGTGACAAGTGAAGTAAATGAGAGTGAGATTTTCTTTACAGTTCATGAAGATCTCTCAGATTCGTAAACCGCTTAGTAGGTTCAACGACGGTAAAATGGATATTCAGATACCCATCCGCTTGCTGAGCAGACCGGATCATAGCAACCAACTCCTTCACCGCACCATTGATGGTGGGATTTTCCTCGCACAGGAGGAAATAACAGGCGCCTTCTATCCATTTAGCAACATCTGAATCCCAGAAGAGATGGTTGGGGACAGGCCACACGTCGGGTTTATCGCGGTAGCACGGATGCCATTCTAATTTGAAGGCATGATAGCGACCAGTCGACTTTAGAACATTCAGCTGGTACAGCAAAGTGGTCGAATATACCACCTCACGCCGCCGGCTGATGAAAGTGGGCGAGGAAAAGCTCGTATGGGAAAAGGTCGTTTGAGGATACGCCATGGCTGCTCGCGAGGTACCGAGGTACATAAGAGAGGATTGAAGACGAATGAAAAAACCGACGTTTTATGGCGTGGCATGGCACGAGACATCTTTCTATAATTCAATCATAGGGAATAATGGGTATCATGCAGGATAGCTGCAGATCAAGCCATAGCTCGAGGCTGAACTACCTAGCTACCCCTCCGGGATTCCATCCCCACCGGACGCACCCCGCATCCCCCCACCGGAATACAACCTTGGTGGGCTGAAGACTTCGAATCAACTCCACCTATTGCCAGGGTCTATATATCCGGGGTCCCCAAGGGAATATATGAAACGATCAGCGGCATGGGAATACTTGGCTTTCCTCGGATAAGTTCAAGCTCAAGTTTCTTTCGCACTCTTTCAAAATTAACTTACATTTGAAATTCATCTGCGTGGCACAATGGGACTCTTACAGAAGTTCATCCCTCCCCATGACCGCTATGCGGCGCTCATGCTCTATGGCATGGTGTTTTCCACCTGTTTCAATGGATATGATGCCGGTATTATGACCGTTATCCTGGCGGATAAACAATTCAAGCATTATTACAATATCGACTCTACCAGGAGTGGTGTCATTGCCACTATTCCCTGGGCTGCAACGGGTGAGTACAGCACAGCACCAATGATGATATCAATATCTTTATATCGTACAGAGTACTAATAAGATACATCCCTCAGGTTTGGCACAGCTTTTTGTAGGAGGAACCTTGGCTAGCTTTGTAGGCAGACTCTGGGCTCTGCGGATATCCATCTGTGTAATGATTATTGGGGTGTAAGTTGAGTGCTCACAGGGACGGGGACGAGATTCTTACAACCAATAGTGTCATTCAAGTTGTCCCAAACACATATGCAGTTCTCATCGTGGGCCGTCTCGTCACCGGTCTCGGCTTTGGGTGTGTCTATATAGCAACGAACCTTTACGTCGCCGAATGCGCCCCACGGAGTCTGCGTGGATCTTTCGTTGGCACTGTTTCTCAATTCGGATACCGTAACGAGCCTGTTCCTTTGTTCTTCCCCGGTTTTGCTATATCTGAGCTCCTGAGGAGTGCTTCATCGTCTCAGCTCTTGCTCTCCCTCAGTACGATACTAATTTGTTGTAGAACTAGGAACACTAATAGCATTTTGGGCTGGATATGGAATGAGTTACCACCAATCTCCGTACAACATTGCCTGGAGAGTCTCCAACTTGATCCAAATCCCCATTGGTGTAGCCTTCGTCGTCGTGTCGTTCTGGTATATAGAATCGCCTCGTTGGTTGATGGAGAAATACCCAGACAGCCCGGAAGTCTGTCTCAAAGCGCTCGCCAAACTTCGCTCAGGTAGTCCCAATGATGGCCACGTGCGTCTCGAGTTTCATGAACTGGTCTCCTCGCACGAATATCGAAAGAGATTCAAGACCGGATACATTGGTCTCTTGTCTAGTGCCGGTATGCGGAAGCGTCTCGCATACGGCGTGTATGCTATGGCCCTTCAGCAATTTGGCGGTATAGCGGCTTTGACAATGTACGCGGCCTTGATCTACGAATCCCTTGGCTGGAACGCAGGCCACCAAGCTTTGGCCATCAACGGTATCCAGGCAGCTTTGCAGCTGGTTATTGTTTTGGTCAATACCTTCACAGTAGACAAGTTTGGCCGGAGGTCCCTGCTTATCGCTGGGTTCTTGATTCAGAGCATCGCACTCCTCATTCTGTCATCGTTGACCACGACCTACCCGGATAATACGAACAAAGCCGCTGCGATCGCCGAAGTGGCCATGCTCTTCATTGTCGGTTTAACGTACTGTTGGTCAAACGGTCCTGTTACTCCAGCAATCGCCTCGGAGATCTTCCCTCAGGAGGTGCGAGATAAAGCGTTTGGTCTCTCGCTTCTAGGACAAACTGTTTGTTTGCTGGCGTTGACGCAGCCGTGGCCCAGGTCAGCAAGTCTCTTCTTTTCCCCACGAGGCAGCTCTAGGAGCATGCCCCGGGGGCTTTCGTGCCACCTTTCGATATTCAGCCATGCTAATTTGCTTGGGTAGGTTCAACCAGGAAGTCGGGGCCAAAAGCTATTGGTTGCTCTTTAGTTTGAATGTCGTTGCGCTGGTAAGTTTTGGTCCAAAGTTAGAGGCCAGGAAGCAACTAACAGGAAAGGTATCGGTGATTGTTATCCTTCCCGAAACTAAGGGTATCTCGCTCGAGCGTATGGACAAGTTGTTTGGAGAGCTTGATGCCGTTGATGAGGGTGAGAAGGAGACTTCGGCGAACAAGCTTGAAGCTATTACTTATAGTGGGGGATTGCCAGATGGTGAGAAGGCGCATGCGATCTCGCACGTCGAGGAACACCTGAAGGAATAAGTAGGGGATGAGGTAACGGATGTCTCTACTATATTTATCCTGCATGATTTTACATCCCAGAGACAATGATGTATGACCAAGGCATCCTAGACGTTGAAGAGATGCTGGATAGGTTTAAAATCACAACAGTATTGCTCGTAGACAAGTGATTTTTTACTTTAGCACACGTGTGACCCCTTCCCATTATATAAATACTGGTCTAGATGAACCAGTGGCGGTGCGCAGATACGAAAAAGCGAGAAGCTCAACTGAGAATCCTTCCACATCAACATACGGACCAGAAGATGATTGAGCAGTAAATTGGATTACATGGCGAGGTGATATGAGGGGATTCATACACAGCGCAGGCGTGGGATTCCAATTTCAATGGATTGGGAAACGCACGCAAACCTGCCTCGTCGAAGGCTCAATGGATGGATGTCAAGATAGTTTAGAGCACTGCTGCTGATCATGCTTTCGCGACAGGCATCTTGCATATTGTACGGCAACAGGCTACCTACTGCACTTGCATTATTTATGATATGGCAAGGAACTCTTGTGTTCTTGGTCGAGTTGAACGGGAACGGGCACATGAATGCGGTCGTCTGTAACCTCAGCTGATTCCCGTGTTCTCAAGAAAGTCGAAACGACCTCTCGAATACAGGCGCCCAGCAACGGGTCGATAAATGGTTACTCTTCGCACAGCGCGAAAACAGCAGGCTTTAGGGGTAAAACAGCAGCTGTCGTTAAGTAATGTTTTTGGAACTGGCGATGTTATAAAAATCAAGGGAAAGAAAAGGCCGCACGTCCTCGAAGTTTTTATCTTGCTTCCATCGCTAAAGTGAGTCTACTCTACTTTAGGTCTAGCGTGGCTGCCTTGCTTGTTGTTGATGCCTGGATACAGGGCCATCGCAATAATCGCCATCTGGCTTCAGTTGAGAGCCACCACAAGTTGACGGGACTACTGAAGAGAACACCTTCTGCCCGAGACTGCACCTGCATCTGCATACATCTTGACACACTACTAATTCTACATTGTCATGGAATCTTGAACACCGCCACTTTGCATTCTCCCATTCCAATTCCCCGCCCCAGCAGGAGACCGTCCCCACGCAAAACCATTGTATCCAGGACGGAGCTCGCCCAAGTGTAGAACGCCATTTGATTTCTCCCCACCAAGCATTCAGCCATGGATATCGACTCCTTGAAGGAACAGGTAATTGTCATCCCCGCTAGCTTCTTGGGATGCCTCAATTCTGACTGGATTTGCAGTGGTCGGAGGTCGAGGATCGAGATGGACTCCGTCTTAGTTGGAACGTCTTTCCTAGCTCTCGCATGGTTAGTCAAGGCCATAGGCAAAAAAGAGAAACATACATACTGAATCCCCATAGGAAGCCTCGCGCCTCGTTGTACCTATCGGTGCATTATATACACCTCTGAAAGAGAAGCCCGACACTCCTGTGTTGCAGTTCGAACCCGTCATCTGCAAGCAACCATGCAGATCCGTACTGAATCCCTTCTGGTAAGTTTTTGGGAGGACTGAAAATATGGCTGTATGCTAAGTTTTCATAGCCAAGTAGATGTCCGAGCACGCCTCTGGATTTGCCCCTTCTGCCTGTCTCGAAACCCCCTTCCACCGCACTACAAGGACATCACTGCAAATGCGATCCCCCCCGAGCTCCACCCAACAAATACCACCATTGAGTATCGGCTTTCGAGACCTGCGCCTAGTCCGCCTATTTTCTTATATGTCGTGGATACCTGCCAGGAGGAGGACAGTTTGGCAGCTCTAAAGGAATCTCTGGTTATGAGTCTGAGTCTCCTACCAGAGAACGCTTTAGTAGGACTGGTAACATATGGGACTATGGTATATCACACCAACGTTGGGCTGTAATTCTCAGTGGGCTGACAGATCCTCAGGCACAAGTTCATGAAATTGGCTATACGGAATGCCCCAAATCATACGTATTCAGAGGTAGTAAGGACTATTCAGCGAAGCAGGTGCAGGAGATGCTGGGCCTGTTAGCACCTGGTTTAAGACCTGGCATGCAACAGCAGCAACCTGGCCGTCCAATGCCGCCGATGGGACCAGCAGCTCGATTCCTCCTTCCCGTACAACAATGCGAATTCCAGCTCACCAAAGCTCTGGAACAACTCCAAAAAGACCCCTGGCCAGTCGCTAGTGATCGGAGGAATCTCAGATGCACAGGAGTTGCTCTTAGTGTTGCTGTGGGGTTGTTGGAATCTTCATTTCAAAATGCCGGTGGTAGAATTATGCTGTTCACTGGTGGGCCTGCAACAGAAGGACCAGGTTTGGTGGTTGGCCCTGAACTAAGAGAGCCCATCAGATCACATCATGATATTGACAGGGATAACATCAAATACTACAAGAAGGCTTTGAAGGTAGGAAATGCTACAAATAGACCCCTATTTCGGTTTCTGACGAGAATAGTTTTACGACAACCTTGCCAAGAGAACTGCCCACAATGGTCACATCATCGATATATTTGCTGGCTGTCTGGATCAAGTTGGGTTATTGGAAATGAAAGGGCTTGCAAATTCCACTGGTGGCCATATGGTCTTGACAGATAGTTTCACCTCATCAATGTTCAAGCAGTCGTTTGTTCGCGTTTTCGAGAAGGATGGCAACGACAACCTTCTCATGGGATTCAACGCGTCTCTCGAAGTCCTCACGACAAAAGAGCTGAAGGTCACCGGCTTAATCGGACATGCGGTATCTATGAATAAAAAGTCGACATCGGTAGGCGAAACGGAGTGTGGTATTGGCAATACCTGTTCCTGGAAGATGTGCGGCATTGACCCCAATGCTAGCTACGGAATATACTTCGAGATTGCTAGTCAGGGAGGACCAGCCCAGCACCAGCAAACACCACAAAAAGGCATGATGCAATTCCTGACATACTACCAGCACTCCTCAGGCCAGTTCCATCTCCGCGTTACCACTGTATCACGGAACCTTAGTGGGCCAGCTGGAGACCCAGCCATTGCCCAATCTTTTGACCAGGAAGCTGCCGCTGTCCTTATGTCCAGAATTGCTGTCTTCAAAGCAGAAGTTGATGATGGCCCAGACGTCTTGCGATGGGTGGACCGGATGTTGATTCGACTCTGTTCTCGGTTTGCCGACTACCGAAAAGATGATCCATCTTCATTCCGCCTGGAAAAGAACTTTACTCTCTATCCTCAGTTCATGTTCCATCTGCGGAGAAGTCAGTTTCTTCAAGTTTTCAACAACTCACCCGATGAAACTGCATTCTACAGACATGTTCTCAACCACGAGGATGTTAGCAACTCTCTGATCATGATCCAACCTACACTGGATTCCTACACTTTCGATCAGGATGGTAGCCAACCGGTTCTGCTCGACTCTACTTCTATCCAGCCCACCCATATCCTGCTGCTTGATACATTCTTCCACATCTTGATCTTCCACGGCGAGACTGTCGCAGAATGGAGAAAAGCTGGCTATCAAGATCAGGAAGGATACGAGAACTTCGCTTCTCTTTTGGAGCAGCCAAAGGAGGATGCTAGAGTAAGTAGTACTTTCAAGTACAGTCTACTTTGCTAACATTACCTAGGAACTTATCACTGACCGATTCCCACTGCCGCGTTTCATTGTCTGTGATGCCGGTGGCTCGCAAGCTCGATTCCTGTTATCAAAGCTTAACCCATCTACCACTCACACAACAGGTGCCTATGGAGGAGTCGGCGCTCAAACAGCACAGACCATCTTTACTGACGACGTTTCCCTTCAGACTTTTATGGACCATCTTATGAAGTAAGTCATGGCGATCTCGGAATTGTATAATTCTGACTAACCTTTTGTACAGACTTGCGGTGAGCGGGACAAACTGAGCAGCGAATTGAGGCGCCAAGGCATCAGCAGGCTTGGTAGGGGGGCCAGGTAAGGAAGGCTGGCATAAGAAAATCATATGTAATACCTAGCTAGACGTAGGACAAAATCAAAAGCCTAAGTGAAGGCGTTGAATGCATATGTGGCTTTGAGCTTGATCTGACCGAATCTTACGCACGCCGTGGTGTCAACTATAATAACGTGATGCTCTGTTCTATCGCTGGAGATCGGTGTGTCAACTATTACGGTTATCGTAGCAGTATGTTTCAATTCACGGGATTTCTTGTGATCTCTAGGGTATTCTATTTTAGTACTCTTTTTTATTCTGTTCTGTTGCATGAAGCAGGTGATTGTGGTGAGATTTGAGATGGGGACGATAAGGTACGGTACCTAGCCTCGTCTGTCAGCCTCGACCTCGATGTGACCCATTTTTCACTAGCGTGCACTCGCTTAACTTCTGCACACTGCTTTTTGCAATTACTAGAATCTCGAAAATCTTCCACTGAACTTCACGACATCGCGATCAATCATCCGCCATCATGCGTAAGTCTCCCTGCATAGGCCTGCACCTGTTCTCTAATACACGGGCTAATTTTATGTTTCAACAGCTCCAAAGATCGACCCCACAGAGATCAAGATCATGTATGCTCACCATCCTATTCCTCTTCCCCTCCTCCAAGGCACCGCGATTGCCTTCAACAACAAAGTCCCAGTCTCAACCCCCTTGCCGCGATCTTCGAAGACCGATATCAGCGTTGAGAGCAGGATATTTGCTAACTGAAACATTTTAGCCACCTTCGAGCCACAGGTGGTGAAATCGGTGCTTCGTCCGCGCTCGCCCCAAAGATTGGTCCTCTCGGTCTGTCACCAAAGAAGGTCGGAGAAGACATTGCAAAGGCAACTGGCGATTGGGTAAGCTCGAGCTTTGGAAGATCGAAAGATCTGTGGCGCAAGGGTCTGACGGTGTTATAGAAAGGTCTCCGGGTCACCGTAAGGCTCACCATCCAGAACCGACAAGCCGCCGTATCAGTCGTCCCATCCGCGTCTTCCCTGGTCATCAAGGCACTCAAGGAGCCACCTCGTGATCGCAAGAAGGAGAAGAACATCAAACACTCCAAGTCTATTCCCCTTGATGAGATCATCGAGATTGCTCGCACAATGCGATTTAAGTCACTGGCAAAGGAATTGAAGGGTACCGTGAAGGAGATTTTGGGAACGGCTTATAGCGTTGGTTGCCAGGTAGATGGAAGAAGCCCGAAGGATATCAGCGATGATATCGAGAGCGGAGAGATCGAGAGTAAGCATCTCCCCCAGCCTTGAGAGCAATCGTATACTGACTGGAATGCAGTCCCGGAAGAATGAAAAATTTGGCTTCTGTTTCTTTCGCGGGGTATTATGGGATTGACTTTGCACAATAAGCAAGCAGCAAATGGCATGAAACTTCCACCAAGTCGCCCAAGATGCTTATCGATCGTGACCCCCCAATACATTCCCCCATATGCGTGCACTTCACTTGACAAACACTCTGGCCTCTACCCCCAGTCCCTCGAGGACTGGCTCATCTGTGGTATTGGCCTATTTTTGGTTCAAGAAGATTGATTTTGTCCGATTACTCACCGCGATATCCCTCTTCCTTTTGGTTGGGCGTGGATATAGTGGTCCATATCTTTCTGGGAAACATTCTAATTCGTACAGAGCCTAGTGAAGTTTTAACTCTTTAATTGACTGGATGATACTGATTAATAGCAACTGGCTTGGAAAGTAGAAGTAAGCTTAGGCTCTGCTAATACGCGGGATGACGGACGTCCTAGAAAAATGTAAATGCTTCGGAACGCAGTATTGAAAAAACTGCAATATGACAATTTAAAACAAATATATGCACATCTCAAGAATCCCAGCTAAAGTGTTGATTTATTGCAAGTATCCAACTACACGAGATCACAAGAATACTTACAGTACCTACCTGCATGTATGTGGTCCACTAGACGCGCGCTTAGCTGCGTCTGAGCCTTGAAATCCCATGTCAGCACCGAACGTCAGATAGGCTCCATCAACACGAACAAGTATCCTCAGAACAGATTTTCAACATCTCAAAAAGTCGCACTCAACACCCCCACCTGCGTCATTCGTCTGAAGAGGTGGGCATATCTCAAGACGCCCACCTGGGCTGCGACGCATCACGGCAGAGATGATCAACAGATCAGACTCTCCCCTCCTTCGTGCAGGTATTGGCACTCCTTGGAACTAATGACCTGACAAGACTCTTAAAGGTCTTGTTACTTTAGTCCAGCAGTTACATGCCCCAACTTTGCATCTCCTCTTTTACTCTCCATCGAGCTGCTGCCGCTAGCAAATATAAATATGATTCCTCAGATTGCTCAACACCCCCGACTATCTCAGCAATTCGGCAGCTATGGCTTTGCTGTCCCTCCCTTTGAGCCCCTTCCAAGCCCAAGAAGATTTGACCAGCCTGCCGCACCTTTGCCCTTTCGAAGCCCGCGAGAATATGGGCCATCTGCGCCTGCTCAACCTCACCGTACATATCCCCTCGACAACCACGCCCCTCGTCGAACCGGGCTTGCCCGGGGAAGCTCTTCGGAGCAGGGTTTTGGGTCACAATACAACGACCCCTCGGAGCATATGCTTCGTAGGAAAACGCCAAATGGCACACTTGCGGCAGGCTACGATGCCGGCATACCTGTGCAATGGTCAAGCAAAGCGCCGGCGCTGAAGCATGTCATACTCCCTTTTTCGGATAGTTCTGCAAATCGTGGTGATATATATTCACCAGCCATCTTGAATGGCCAGAACTCACGGCGCAGGTCTGGACATTCAGGGTGGAGCCATCCGCAACCAAATCAATATGGTAGGGTCAACGGAGGTAGTATGGAACAGCGCATGACAGGTGAGATGGAGAGTTGGACACACCATCCTCCAGTGCCGGACGCGTCTCACAATGTTTGGGATAATATAGCAACACATCAACCTGCCACTTATTACCCTAATACTGGCACTCAAATTCCTACTGTACTTCAGCCACCTTATCAACCATCCCCTGGCCCTACGGCATCTAATGATGGCGGGCTGTATGGCCCATATTGGCCTGATGGCAAATTTGTTCCATATCGGCCAGCCGCATTTCGTGGCCATGGGAATCACTATTCTATGCGAGAGTCTTATTTGGAGGGAACCCCTCAGAACCACCCACAAACCCCTGCTGATCTCTTGACCGGGTTCCGACAGCCAACTGCCAATCTTGAAGTTGACCCTTCAGTGCGCATTGGACATCCTGCTTTTCAATTCCAGGAAAACGGTGCCTCCGTACTGGGTCAACGCTTTGAGACGTCAACGCAGCCACAGCCTTTTCGCATTGATAGCGCAGCATACTTACAGGGCTCGGAGGGGTCCAGAACCCCAACCGCAGAATCCGTAAACAAGGCCAGTAGTCATCGATTCAAAGAGAAGACACTTTCTTGGGCCCACAGCATATACGTTGACCTACTGGCATTCCTTCATCAGTCAAAGAAAGACAGCAGAATTTCAGGCCAGTCTACTGGCTCTAGAACCTATTCGAAGACTAGTATATATCCAAAGCCGCCTCGCCAACCGGCATCTTACCTAGGTACTTCGCAATGGGCTGGTCTGCACTCGGGGCCAAGTGATATCAGCAGTGCAAGACACGTCGGCTCTATGCTGAGGCCAACAAATCAGAGAGGCGCAAGTGGCGACTATAACGCTTGGCAAGGAGGCGGCATCCGTGATACGAGACGTCCACGAATTTCTACTGCTGATGGGCGGCAATATATGTCACCATTTCAAGCGCCTCAATATCCTGCAACAAATGCGCTTCACAAGGCAAAGGAAGCCCTTGAGCTTCTCACCAGCCTTTGCGAACAAAGTGGCTGGTGCTGGATTGATGGGATGTTGCTGGGAGGCTGTCTGGCATATGGGCTAGAGCAGTATCACAATTCCCTCGAATGGTATTCAAAGATCATTTCTATCGATCCAAAGTAAGTTATCAGCATATTTTCTACAGTTACCGGCTCCCTAACTCTGCGAGCAGACATGTTGAAGCAATATCGAATCTCGCGGCCACTCTCCTCTGTCTCAATAGGCGTGAAGAGGCGGAGCAGCATTGGCTGCAATCCGTTAAACTTCGCCCCAGCTACTTTGAAGCAGTCGAGCACCTTATTGGACTCCTTTGTGGGGACCATCGAGGAAACGAAGCTGTCGCTATTATTGATTTTGTAGAACGCTCACTTCGACTCCCTAAGTCTGAAGACTCCCAGGACTACTTCAGCGAAACATCAAGTAATGCGGATCGTGAGTCTTGTGGGTCAGTGGGTACGTCCTCAGAGCACATCGCACTTGACTACGATGGTGATGGTGAGAACCTGATTCGGTCACCCTCAACACGAGATGGCGAAGACAGCTTCATGCAGCCTGGCTTTGGCTCCAGTGGCTTCTCAGTCCCGGGATCTGAAAACGGGCGAATATTGGCTCTCGTCCACGCGAAAGGCAACATGTTGTATGCCCTTGGTGACGTCAACGGTGCCTCGAAAGCTTTCGAAGACGCTGTTCTCATTAGTGCTGGAAGGGGCTTGCCTGGGATACAGGGCTTGATTCGAAGAATCGTCAATGTTCTTACTCTAGATGGGGTTGCTGCATTGCGTTCAGATCTCAGACCCTCAAACACAGAAGATGGGCCATCCCCGCTTCTCCTCACTCCAGATAAGGCATTACAAACTGCCAAGCTGGTATTTGCGAAAGATGGTGATTTGCCGGGTCTAAGTCATGTTCCTCATGGTCTTGCAAAAAAGGCAGCAATATCGACCACTAGCAACTCTCTCTTGTCTCTAGCAAAGATATTCCAAGACGCAATGTCGAATAGTAGCTCACAACAAAGGATAACAAGAATGCCAACAGGTGTCGGTGACATTTTGGCGCTCTACTATCTGTCGCTGTCACTCCAGCCGAGTCCATCAACAGCCAACAATGTGGGTATCTTGTTAGCAAGTGTCCAGCAACCAGCGTCTCATCGTCCAATCGTGCAGAGAGATGCTCCTAATCTTCCAGCTGGCATTGTTCCCGGCAGCGGGATTGCTTTGGCCCTGGCATATTACAATTATGGACTGCTTTTAGACGCGAGGCATGCTCACATCTATACCAATCTTGGGAGTCTTCTCAAAGACATTGGGCAACTATCTTCCGCAATAACAATGTATGAAAAGGCAGTTGCCTGCGACAGCTCATTTGATATTGCCCTGGCAAATCTCGCCAATGCGGTCAAGGACCAGGGCCGAACGAGTGATGCGATTGAGTACTACAGGCGTGCAGTTGCATCTAGCCCGGACTTTGCTGAAGCAGTATGCGGGCTTGCCAACGCCCTGAATTCTGTTTGCGATTGGGCTGGAAGAGGGGGTGTCATTCTTGATGGAGGGAGACACGATCGCTGGCATGTCGACGAGACAGGAATGATTACCGAGGCCAGGACAAATGCTGTCGGCGGAGGCTGGATGAAGCGAGTCGTCGATATAGTTGCCAAGCAACTGAAAGAAGGCTCAGCGTGGGGTCGTGGGACTCTTCAGGATCAAGTTTTACTTCAACTTCTCCAGCACCTGGAGGCAGCAGATACTGGGGGCAGATGGGCACCAGAAAAGCGAGCAAAGTTACATGCAACCCTTAGTGCTTGGGCCGGACACCGCTGGGAGGGGTCACGTATTGTCGGACTGATTGAACGAGCTATGAAAAGATCCATGCACAGATGGTACCACGACAAGCACGTCAAGAAAAAATCACTCCCATCCTCTAGTTATCCAAGACCACAACTGCCAGGGAGCCTATCAGTTCCGACTGCGCCAACTGTTCTACCCTTCCATACATTTACGTGTCCGTTATCCGCCAAGGACATCCGTATGATCTCTCAACGTAATGCACTCAGAATTTCCTGTTCGACGCTTCGAGCACCATGGATGCCTACGTCTGTCTTCTCACCACCATCACCGCCAACACCACACCTCAATGTTGGATATGTATCATCTGATTTTAATAACCACCCCTTGGCTCATTTGTAGGTGCCACTATTTGGAAGTGCAAGGTCTATAACTAACTCCGATTCTAGAATGCAATCGGTCTTCGGTTTCCATAACCCAGCTCGAGCGCGAGCATTTTGTTATGCTACAACAGCTAGTGACAACTCTGTGCACAGGCAACAAATCGAGCGAGAGGCACCAGTATTTCGCGATGCAAGCACTTGGTCCGCAGACCGCCTGGTCCATCAAATTGTCCAGGATGAAATCCACATACTCGTCAATTTAAATGGCTATACCCGGGGAGCACGAAATGAAGTGTTTGCCGCTCGGCCCGCTCCTATTCAAATGTCTTTCATGGGATTTGCGGGAACCCTAGGAGCAGAGTGGTGTGACTATATACTTGCAGATAAAACCGCCATCCCACCGGACACACTGCGGCCGTCGAGACAAAACCTTGGCCTCGAAGATCAATTGTTGGACCAACAGTCGCATGATGACGAAGACTGGGTATATTCTGAAAATATAATTTTCTGCAAGGAGACATTTTTCTGCTGTGATCACGCGCAGTCTGAATCTCGCGAAAGCCAGTCAAGTTGGGAGGATGAGCAATCCAAGAGATGGAAAATGCGGAAAAATCTATTTCCAAGCCTATCTGATGATGCAATCATTCTTGGGAATTTCAACCAGTTATATAAGGTTTGCAACCATCAATCATTCGGGGTGAACGATCAGTGCTAACTTGAGAGTAGATTGAGCCTACGACGTTTCGTACTTGGTTAAGGATACTAGACAAAGTTCCAAAAGCAATTCTCTGGCTTCTACGCTTCCCCGACTTGGGCGAAAGTAATCTGAAACGAACAGCACAAGAGTGGGCAGGAGACAGCGTTGCATCACGAATCTGGTTCACAGATGTAGCCCCGAAGCACCAGCATATATCTCGAGCGAGAGTTTGCGATCTTTTTCTCGACACCCCAGAATGTAACGCCCATACGACTGCTGCTGATGTTTTATGGTCAAGCACTCCTCTGTTGACGCTTCCTCGATATAAATACAAAATGTGCTCTCGAATGGCAGCGTCTATCCTAAAGGGCGCGTTGCCGAATAGTGAAGAAGGGCGGCAGGCGGCTAGAGAGCTCATTGCGGAAGATGACGACCAGTACGAGAAGTTTGCAATTGAACTTGCTCGTAATTTTCACTACCAGATACAGCCCTCTGGCCATGGGGAGGGGATTGGCAGGCTCAGTGAGCTACGCAAAATCCTCTTCGATAGCCGTTGGACTTGTGCCCTATTTGATACGCGTAGATGGGTCTCGGATCTGGAATCTGCATATGATGAGGCTTGGCGCCGGTGGGTGTCGAATGAAGGAGGTGACATCTATCTATAGAATTTAGGAGTCAAATCTAGGCATGCATTAGAACGGCGTTGCGTTATTGTACATCTTTGCAGCGGAGGAGTCTTTAGGGATATGATATCATCTTGGGCGAAATGAATCCAGAGGGCAACTTCTTCGGATTTTTGGAATGGAGTATGGAAGGAAGTATGGATGGATGGCATTTGCTCGTGATATAATGTGTTACTAGATACCCATTACACGCGAAAGGACATTTTTCTTTTTCTTTTCCGCTTTCGCTTTCGCTTTCGCTTTCGATTTGCGATTTGCGATTTGCGATTTATATGATAGATATTTTCGTGGACGAGAATCATTATATCAAATATATTTCGGTACGGAGCACTCGATGCTATTCTATCTATAGACTGACTGTCCCTTTTTGCTTTTGAAATGTGTTGATATCATGATGCAGAGAGAAGTAGGTTAGGTTAATTAATGCCTGCGCAGTGCGTGCGTACTTTGCTTTGATTTGATGCCAATGAATGAATGAATATATTAGGTTGGCAGCGCGTCTAGCCTAGCGAAAACCATCTCAGATCCGGACCCATCAGATCTCAGATATGACTGACTATTATGATTGAGATTGATCTGCCGATCCGATCTGATCTGCACGCACGCAATGCATTACCGGCATTAAATTAGAAGTTCCCTCGAGATCGACTGGAAAGTACGGTACGGTACGGTACGTTGGATAGGTGGGAAAAGAAAGGGAAAAAGCAAATTTGTGGCGGGGCGCTAAATGTAAGATAAGGTAGGGAGGTAGGATCCGGTACGGTACTACAGTAGGGGTAGGCTAGTGATGTGATGTGGTATGGGTATGGGTATGGGTATGGGTATGTATGATATTCGATCGAGAGGAAGACGAGATGGCATGGCCATCTTGCAGATGTACATGTAGATATAGATGTGGGTAGGTAATTCACGGGGTATGCTTCTCCGGGAGAATTGCGGGAGAGAGCGAGAATTGCTTTTTGCGTTTCTGTGGACTTGGCTGGTTAGTGTTACATGTGCTTGATTGATCAACTGACTGGCCCCCTTTCTTCATGGCATATGTAGGTCTACCTTAGGTATAAATCACTTTGCATAGCCTAATATATTCGCGAAAAGAACAGCATAAAACGGATGTGTATGATATAATGTAATGTACTAAACTGTACTGTACTGTAAAAGTCCGTTGGTGTAAAGAGCAGTCCTTAAAGGTACAAGGAATGCTCAGACACGACGGCTATGGTAAAGGATGGGTATCTAGATGAACAAATGTACATGGTATTAGAAAATTTTGCTGCAGCATGAGGCTGGCTGGCTGATGTCCGCGAGAGTAAGGGAAAACGTTGTTCATGATGGATGACCCTATCCTATCCTATCCCCCTCCCATTCCCAATTCCCTGAATCCGGACCACCGATAAAGACCCTTTGGTGGTAATATGACGAAGTAAGCCCCCAAGACACGCATTATACAAAAACTAAACATGGATAACCAGCTAAACGCTTTTTTGTACCCGCGTGTCCGTCCCTAGATATATATGAAAGTTTGAACTGAACAAGGAGCCCGACTAACTTCAACCAAGCAGGGAAGATAGATGCATCCTGGAATCGCGCTCTGCTGTCTGCTGTCGGGGCTGAGCTGGGTGGCCGGGCCTTTGAAGAGGCGGGAGCTGCATAGGCGTAGACGGCGCTGTCATGACCTGTATTCGACAATCATGCTGATATTCTCGGGGTGAAGAGGCTATCATGTACTGCTCGGGTTTGGGTGGGTGGCGGCAGGTTGAAGAAGGAAGCGTATGTCCTGTTGACTCAGCAGGCTGGGCATGGAAGCGTGAGGGAAAGGCATGGGCGTGGTTGTCGGCATCTGAGCGGAAGGGTTTGGGTGGGAAGTATAGCATAGGGAGGCTCAGTCTTCTGTTGTCGTTTACTGCGTACCCGTTGATGGGGCGGAGATCGACAGGTGAGGTGTTCAAGCGGGGGGACAGTGAAAAGGTGGATCCGCAGTCTGAGACAAGTGACGGAGGACCGTCTACGGATTCTGCTCTCGAGGCTTCTGAAGCTGCTGGAGATGGGAGAGGGCCTTCAACAGCTCGCTGGTGGTAAGAAGAAGCGTTGATGGTGAGTGGCCGGTTTGCCGGTGGCCTGGCAAAGGAAAGAGGCATAGATTGTTCGTCGAAGGAGTTGGGACATTGTGTAGATGTCCTACGGCGGAGAACCAGACGTCGGCGTCGATTCATGCTGCCATTCCACCAGTTCTTGACTGCATTGTCGCTCCTGCCATGAAGCCTCCGGGCAATCTCAGCCCAACGCTTTCCCATCTCAGACACCAGACGCTCGATTTGAATTCCTTCTTCAGGACTAATCGGCTCGTGGTTGAGTGACGATTTCAGATTCTGGTGGTATCGCTCACGGCATTGTTTTGGAGAGCGCGAGCCAATGAGGTGAGCGATTCTAACCCAATTTAAGGCTCCCTGGGTATGCACAAGTTGGACTAGATATGCATCCTCGCCTTGGGACCAAGGACCTCTCCGGTGTGATGCCATCGTGGACATTTCTTTTGATTCCTGAAGACGAGTTCCGAACGAAACTGGACGGACCGAAAATCCAGATATAGAAGGAAAGCGGAGGGGAACGCGCCTCTTATATCCAGGTATGTGAATCCACACGCCCGGCGGGATCTATAAGCACGGATCTCCAATAGGGCCAAGTCAACTCCAGTGCAGTGGCCGCCGTGTAGCCCCGGAAGCGGGTAATATCAACCGTAAATTGAATAGTGGAAGGTTGAATAGGCTGTAGCAATTTCTTTGAGACCTAGAACAGTTGGCAATGCCTCTATTGTAGTTGGGCCTTTTCTAAAAGTGATCGATGGCAGCGATCAACGAAGGGCTCGTTCCTATCGATGGGATCATTCAAGTAATATCAGAATGACAAGTAGGCGTATGGTCGTTGCTAGCAGGTGAGAAATTGTCAATCGTCCTCGAATCAGAGAGTTGTGGTTGATCAAACTTTCAAGTGTATGAAGACCAGCGTATCAAGTTGAACGAGGCTCTCTTGCAGAACCAAAGTTGAGTAGAGGTAAACCTAAGAACAAGCAGGTGAAGAGAAGAGTTCGTGATGTTTTCGTCGATGTATTTGAGAGACGTTTGATGGGGTTCAGAGTAACGTTTGTGGAGTAGTGAAAGAGAACGGAGTAGGCTGATACTAAAGATGATGAAGATCGGATGCCTGTAGGACCATATACGTTATTATGGGGACATCAGCACGAGCCGTACTCTTGGCGCCAGAGGGGGGGGTTAAAGCGGTTACGGTTGAGGCCAGCACGCGAACGCAGCGATCAAGCCTAGGGCTGGGATTGCCAGCAGGGTCTTCTTTTTGTGGCGTAGAGGGGGTGGTGGTCCTAGCTCCGGATCCTGGCCTGGGCAATGGGTATTGACAGGATCGAGAGGCACATACATGTACATACCTGGTGCTCGAGAAATTGAAGCGGCAGAAACAGAAACAGAGGACGAGTCTCGCCTGTTAGTTGGGTGGACTCGTCTCGTGAGCTTCTCTTCCAACGAAAACTTCCCAGCTGGCCGGGTCCTGTCCTGTCCGTCGCTCTCGCTCGCCGTGAGCCCGGGCTTCTCAAGGTAGGTCTGACACCGGCGGCCACTGGGCGCAAGAGGAGGACTTGGTAAACGGTGCCGCTGGGCGCATTGGCTGCTAGCTGTAGTGGAAGGCAGCAAAGAGAAGAATTTGTACCATAATAATCGGTCAATAAGACAAAGACAGGTACAAAGTGATGAAGGCTTGATGTGTGCCCTGAGTGATCCTCATGGGACGCGGGTGGCTTGCCCACTCAGCTGGGTCGAAACGCCTGAGCCTGTGCTACAACTCTGCCACGACATGGCCGATACTGTCACTTGCAGCGCCTTGTCCCCGTTGGAAGCTGGAAAGGGGGAGAACTACAACAACAACTAACTAACAAACTAGTCCTGATGAGGCAACAGCTAGCAGCATGAGGCGGGACAACGATATTTAGTTAGGGAAGATCGAGAACGAGTGAGCCGCCGCTAGAACTACCTGGGAGCTGGCCAGTACAGTATTGTACAAGTATGGAGTAGGGCTAGTCCACCTGTCCACCTGTTCTATCCAGCAGCCAGCTACAGTACAGTAGTAGCGGGCCCAGCCCAGCTCGATCTGACACACACCCCATCATGCCATGTGGGGACAAGATACTGCATGAATTCTACAGCAATGATCCATGAACACCGTCCATGACCCCATGCCGCTTTCGTAGCTTTTTGACGGCCCTGGCCTGGTCCGACGAGGCATGAGCCGTCCCGTCTTGAGTAAGTACACCGGACCGGTCAGTCTTCAGCGTGCGCCAGACGTCTAAAGCTGAGTCCTAGCTCTAGCCTAGTCTGAACCGTTTGAACTACTGGAACTGTATCTCACTCCTTATAGGTTCAGGCTACCTTAGTCAGGTTCAAGACACGTGTAGCGGAACATCATTCTTGAGCGCGATTGCCAACCGGAGAAAGAGTGGAGAAAACGATCTCTGCTTCACAGTTACGACTAGTCCTGTCCGTACCGTATCGTATCTGTTGACGGGCGGCTGAGGCTCAACAGGACCACGTTTTATTGCTTGCTTGCTTGCGTTATTGCCAAGAGAGAGAGAGAAAGAGAGCCCAAGGCGGCGGGAAACAGGAGTAACAACTGCATAGCATTAACGAGATACGATTGGATGAGCCAGATGCACGCGCCACTCGGGCTGCTTCACATGCACCCGCTGGTATCGATTCTCGTTGGAGGAGAGGCAATTGTGGTGGCGGTGGGTAATAAATGCGGTGTTCCTGATCTTCTGCCCCTGACCATGCCATCTACATGTACTGTACTATCCTGGTGCAAATGATTACGAGTACTTATTGAGTACGAGGACAGTACAGTAGTGCAGCACGTACCATGCTATACTCTGCTTATACTCCTCCTCAACTATACCTCATACCTATGCGTCGGGTCGCCGACGTCGTTAAAGAAAGGGAAAAAGAAAGGAAAGCGAGAAAATATCCCAAGTCAGGGGTCACTGTCACCGCAGGGTCTCCACGTTGGCGAAATTGGCGAGATCTGGATGCATCAAAGGGGTCCGTCCGCCGTCCCCAAAAGCATTAAAGTTACGAACAGGAACGGAACCCGTTGTCCCAGCTTTTTGGGTTCTACAGCATTTTCATATGGGTCTTGACTTCTGAGAAGTTGTGTGAGGCTTGGCAACGGATGATGGGGCGTGGGACTGATAATATACCTGAATAGTAGATGTCGTATAATAATAATTAATACAACGCATAGAGTAGGCCACTGCCACCCATAGTGAGGTATCAAATTTCTATTACTACTACTAGATTAATAGGTGTTATAACTTTGGCTGAAAAATAGACAGTTCCCTGTTTTCGTCAGCTGCACTGCACCTCGAATCATAAGGACGATACAACTGCTGTACCGTATTGTTTTGTAGCGCACCAGACCCAGAACCAGAACCGCGGATCCTCGTTACCAACATACCATATCCATGTCTGTGTCCATGTCTGTGTCTACAGCGTTGCAATTTGAATTTACATGTAACCCCGTGAGGGGGCTTGCTGATCGGTTTCAGCCTCGGGTTCGGAGGAACCCTAGAGATCAGACGAGACAAGACAAGACAAGATTTTCTCCAGCATCATCACTCAATGTTTGCCATCACTCGTACAGTACTATATGGTAATATACATGATCTGCGATACCAATCTTGAATCTCAGTCACTTTACAATTGTGATGAAATATAAATATTCCTGGCGTTGATCTATCTCTCGCTTCGAATTTCTTGGTCCGGGCTAGACCCAACCCAACAACTGCTGGGGTACTGACTCAGATATTTTATCTTCAGACGCAGGAGAAATAAGACAACCTCAACGGTCGACGGGTGTGTCTTGGATTCTACATCATCTGATACCCTCCCGGCAAACATTACCATTATTGTATAAGTCAGTTTCGCCGTTCGACGGCTTTTGGTGCAACATTCGTTCGACTTTACTACTTGAACTTTACTATTATTAAAGTATGCATATATGGCTATATGGCTATATGGTATGGCTACCTCGAAGAAAACTCGCAAGAGCATTCTATTCTAATCCCGATTCAGAAACCATCAATCTAAAACCAATGTAAGGTTAAATATCCATCTGCAGGGAACCCCTGTATATGCATGATTGATGTCGTGCTGTTCGAGGTTTACGTCGGCGAGGTGGAATGAATCCCACGTCCATATCGTCCAATAAAACGTCCCTCCATGCGCTCTGTCTGAGGACCTTGTAACAAATGGTTACTGGATTCATCATGTGAGGTATGCATGCCATGCCATGCCATCCCATCTTCCCTCCTACATGCCATGCTTCCACAGCCGGCAATACCCATTGCATTTTTGCTTTCTTTTTCTCATCTGCATACATACATAACACATTGTCCCTTTCTGCTCTAATTGTTCTATTCTAGACAAGCGGCTTCTGTGTGCATACGTGCGGGAATACTGCGGAAATACTGCGGAAGAGAACAGCAACCGTTGGGCAGCATGAGCCCGGCGATGCAATAGTCATGTCCCAGCAGCGGGCGCTCGCAGGACTGCAAGAAGGTCTTGGCCTTGGCTTGGTTTAGCATTATTTGGGCGGCTAAGAAAAGGAAATCTGGGGTTGTTATTTGGAATTGATTCCGGTTGCGAGAAGATCCTTGTTCCATGTACAATAAAGGTCTGACCTCAAGAAGGCCGGGATCTTACACCCGTGTTCGGCGGTTTTACAACGTTTAGATCTGCTGCTTGCTGCTTGGCTACTTGTCAGCATATTGCTAAATGATCTAAATAAATAACCTCCCGGGAAATTCAAGATAATTGGAAGAGTGGATGGTGCATGGTCTACTGCATTGATTGTTCTCCACCATGTAGAGCTGCCTCTTTTTCCTGTATGGACTCCGTCCCTCTTGCTCGATTCCCATCCATAAGGATCATCCTTACTCTGGTGAAGAAAGAACTTCTGATCGGCTTAGAGGAATCCCTGTCCGGGCTGAGGCTTCTTCTCCACCAGACGAGCAATAACTCGTGGCATGGACAAGGTTCTACTTGTACAGAACCCTGTGGTCATCATATCTATTGCACAATAAATGCCACCGCACTGTCATTTCCTGTTTCTCGGGACATCTGCAACTTGGCAGTGACTCTGTCCTGTTTCAAAATGCGACATGGCTGGCACTGCCAAAATTGTTTTTTTTTTCAGAGTAGAGTTCGCAGCCTCAGCTGCAAATCCCGCAAACCCCTGTACTGTAGAATTCTAGATGCGTCTCTCGAGTCTCGAGTCTCGCCCAGGTGGACGATGAAAAGATGTCCGCTCAATTATAACATACGATAGTTGTTGATAACGCATGGCAGGGTTATTGTTAATGTTAAGTGATTGGCAGTCATGAAGACTTGTTTTATGAGACCTACAGATTGAAGCTGCCCCTGGGCCAATTGACAGGAATTTCCCAATCCCGAGCAATGAGCGAATACTGCAATGCTGCATATCTTAAACGCAAGAGGGCAATGGTGCCCCTGCGGGAACACCGTTGTCCTTTGGGATACGCTATACGCGTAGTATGATTGGCCGCGTGCGTGCCGCGGATGGGAGACGACTCGGTAATCATCTACCAATCTTCATTTGGCCATTTTTAACGACATTTCTCAATCAAGGCATGACTCGCTACCGTGTGGCTTGCTGAGGAAACGGCGGCAAGGCCTAGAAGGGCGATGATGGGCTCCCAACCTTGAAGCACCCCGTCTATTGCCTACAAAGACCGGATATGTAGGTTTCTCAGCACGGATATAGGCAGATTCTCGGAAGGAGAGGATAATCGTGCGGCTGGAGATGGGGATGGGATGGTGGGGTGGGATGGAAACATGGGAATTTGAGAATAGGAAGGGGGGATCGATCGGTGGAAAATAGGCAAAAAATAGGTCGGTGCGCTCCGTACATGGACTATGAACCCTGCTCAGATTGGCGAGAGAAGATCTTATAACGGCTGCCCCCCGGGATTAACGGAAATGCTGCCCAAAAGGGTTAACGTAGATCAAGCCCTGTGGACCCCGAATTCAACGCTCAGCCAAGCCACTTGTCCAAGAGGCCGGGCCATCAGACTGTCCGCTGCCTGCTCTGCCCTGGTGTCCGCCGGAGTTGCCCCTAAAGCTTGGAACCACGCGGCGTCCGCTCGCTCCCGTCAGAGCCACAACTCAATACTTGCGTACTATAGAAGCTAAAAGTAGAGCTAACAAGAGCTACGGGCGAATGGCTACTCCGTAGCTCATGAGCATATCCGTATCTGATTCCCCATAATCCTATTTTGGACAGTAGCAACCAAGAGACAAATTCTTGATGATTGGCTCTGACTTGTCCGGATACGAGCTTTACAAGTGCCAGAAGTCCACGCAAACCTCGAGGGTCAAGAAGTGAGAATCGAGAGTCGAGACCCATGTTTATAGTATTTCATTCGCATGAGCTGAACACCCAGACCGTCAAGGCCAGAAGCCCAGTACAGTTTAGAGTATGTTTATTAGCTTGCATTTTTTGACGATTGTTGAGGCCGTTACAAACCCGTCCACCCCAATTCAGATCTTGGTTGAATCTGACCTTGGCCAGAAGTGGCCAATGCTGTCCGCCGTAGGACATTGATTATGCAATCAACTCGTAGAATCCCGCCCTGCTATAGTGCCCTGCTACTTCAATCACTCTTTGGATTGAAGTAGGTTTGCTGGAAAATCGCTCCTTTGTACAAAAGCTTGCCTGGTGGAAAGAAAGAGAATGGTGACAGAAGTATAGGCTCTAGTCTGGGGAGATGTTTGCCACAAAATTCTGTTGGCGCTTGAAAGCGGAGATATGGAGGAGCTCATAAACTTTGTAGATCGGGTTTATGACCCAGAAGGAGGGAATAGACTTTCGAAATATCGTCGCAATTGGTGCAGTGCTGCCTAGCTTGTGAAAGATGTTATTGCTGTCTCTCGATCTCCCGCCTTCCTCCGCTGTTTTGAAACTCAGGAGAAACAAAAGATACGATTCGTCTCTGCAATTTCTTTGTGATCCTCCACATAGCAGCATATTTGAGACTGATCATAGACGTGTCCATCGAATTTCTCCGGCTTGGCCAATTAATGTTTGACTTCAATATCCCCAAAGCAACCCGCAAATCATTCTTGTCTTCATTCTCTAGGAGAATGTCAAGGTCAGGCCAACGTTTGTGGCGGCGAATTGAGGATTCGTTGTTGATCGACAGTCGTCTACTTTGTGAACACTCAGTGATAGACGCTGAATGTCTTCACAAGAGCCGTCTCACTTCAACATCGTTGAAAGTATTTCTCCTCTTATCACAAGCCTGAATGATGAAGGACCTGCTTCCTCTGGAGAGTGGGGGTATTACATAAGGCAGCAGCCCCTTTCTGTACTCCCATACAATAGATGCCAACCCGTTTCTCGCATAGCTTGAACAATCGATGGGCGAAGACAGTTGCAGCCACCTTTCGAAAGTCGGTTGAATGATGTTCCCACCATTCAAAGTTTTGACGAAATGAATGGATTGGAGCTTTTGATCTGAGTATCTGCTTCGAGATGTACTCCGTATCTAGATGAGGTTAGTCAGGGGTTTTTGATACTAGGTCAGGTCAGGTTAAAAAACTTACCTGGATGAAGAGCTGGGGGAGATTTGGAGGATAATTTGGGGATTGAGTCATTGGACTGGACCTGATGCGACGGTTTCGTAGCTAGGGCGTCAATACAGCACGATGAAGTATCATCAGTTTTCACGTAGTATGTCTAGACAGCTGGATATCAGACAAAGTCCGAAATATGGGTTTTCCGATAGTGCTTGAGTGCTCTTTTTGAGTGAAAGTGTGCCGTCGGGCCATTTGAGTCTGTACAAATACTAAGATTGACTGGAGGATATGAGCCCATAATAATTCATTCACTCCTTGCTTGAAACAAGAGCTCTGCCTAGGTATCCGTTGAAACAACCCTAGGAGATATTGAAAGCAGATCCGGTAAGTGCCAACTATTCGATCGTATAACTTGTCTTTGACTTGTTCCCTGGTAGACCCAGCAGCTGTATCCGGTGCTGTCTGAGCAGATCGGATCATTATCCAGATGAACCACCATGGCAGGACGACACAAGAGGGTCACAAGAAGTAGATTGATAAAGATACGATATTGACAAAGTACAACGCAGTTTTCGATCTAAGTGCGAAGACCCGGGGGTTTTTCTTTTTCTTTTTCTGCAGAAGGGGCAGGTGTGAGCTTTCGAAAAGAGAAGCACGCTTGATGTGGGAGTTGCGGGAGAACCACAGGAACGGAAATTTGGGCGGTAGGTGACAGAATTGTGAATTGAACGTCTCAGAGCCTCCAGAGTCCCCGATTTTGATCAGAAGCAGGAACCGCCACCTGAAGTTGATCAATTCGTCCCCTCCCTATTTCCACCTCTTGGCAATCTTCAATACCAACTCCATTTGCAAACTGGACTACCACAAAAGCGATGGGGTATTTCCCTATAGCAACCATCGGGGCATGCCTGTTGAGTGTTAGCATGTGCCTTGAGTACTGATAATCGACAATAGAAAAGTGTGATGAACAACTTGTTGACGGAGATAGAAGATCATCCAAGGGGGGCAATATAACATGTGAAAGGCGATAGCTGCTTACCAAGTACCAGCTCCATACGTGACTGCTTGTGAGCCATTTGCAATGAAAGCTTTGATCCTCATGAGGTCGGGCAGACCTCTCCCTGGCAGCGGATCGCCATTGGTAGTAATAGACGGAACCGGGAAACACTCGTCTTTTGGTGAGGGTGGGAAACTTGGAGCAACAATGACAAGATATCTGCTCTGTTTGGCTTCTGCCCGCGAAAGACCCAGAGGAATAAACGTTTGGGTGGTATAAGGGTGGCGTTCTAAAATATTGACGGGAAAGAGGCCTTCGACCTGGGGCGTGTCTGAGGGAAGAAGGACCCTGGGCGCACAAACGAACATATTCATGACTGCTTTGGCGGCTTTCTTACTCGGAGTACCTGAAGCATAGAGATCTCTCATATGGGTAACATCCAAATACTTCAACGCACTCCCTTGGTTCGCTTGCACGGCATTTGGCGGCGCTTCACAGGTTTGCGAAGGAACGAGAGACGGTGCCGGATTCTCGATGACTGTTCCGAACTCTGAAAACAAGTCTTGACTCAGTGGGTGAGCCTCGAGGATGGGCTCTCGCTGAGGTGCGTCGATTTCTACTGGCATGGTGCTTGTTGGATGGCCTCCCGATCCTCCCGACTCATATGCAGTGCATCCGAAAATACAAACACAAGGTGGCAAGGCAAGGCCGGTAAAGGTAGAGGTGCAGCTCCACCTTGTCACGCCTTTAGTTGTCTCTTGTTGTTTCTCCCCGGACCGTTCGTATTTGATGTTAGCTTCTACTGCGTAATATTGTGTCGTTCTCAGAGTGGGGAGAGCTTGATAGGAATTTGGACCGGAATCACGTGGTCAACATTCACATTTATTTCACTTTTGCGTTCAATATTTCTTCACTTCGACTCGATTGTCTACTTGTATCACATTCACTTGGCTTTTTGCTGTTGCTATTGTTGTCATCGCTAGTCTCGAGGACAATAGGACGCCAACTTCATCAGACCGGCAATAGTATCAACACAATAGCATCAACAACCAGCTGTTCCTATTCGAAATGGATCATCTATTCGAAATGGCTCATATTATCACAAACATTATTGCTTATATCGGCTCTACTTCTACTTCTTCCCCCTTCCTGAATTCTTTGAGTTTGATAGTAAGCTATACACAATATCATCTGAATGCGATACTGCCCTATCTCGAGACAAGACTCCAGTTCTTCTTCACCCGAGGGCTCAATTGCCTCTAAGATGTCTTCCGCAAGAAACGTGTCCCAGGTACCATTCATCCTCCTCAATCAGCCCAACCCCCCCCCAAGGGATCCGAGATCCAATCCCAGCTGGATACCGCCGTGGCAGCGCCCAATCCCGTGAGTACTGTGTAGACCCTATTTCTGAAGTTATACCCTTGGAAGTCATACCCTTGGATAGCCCATGACCCCAATTGCCAGTACTCAATTTGCTAACTCGTTGAGTAGGCACATCATGTTGCATCATCTGGCTTTTCAACTTGCTCGTCCACCTCCGAATCCGCATAACCTTCCGCAGTGGGCACTACGTCCTAGGGGTCTCGATGCGGGGCTCCTTGACCACTTGGGTCTCGGGATCGACAAGGATTGGCAATACGTGGTTGACAAAATGATTAATGGATCAACTTCTCCTCTTTTCGATCAAACTACCACAACAGAAGATGACGAACATAATGCTTATAACCAGCTTATCCAAGATGAGAACAACGAAGAAGAGGACCTCATTGAAGACAGTCATGCTGCAGGAGATAGGTATGGGGACGGAATCATATCTCTCAACGATGAGGAACAGTCGGATGAAGACGAGGGGGATGAAGAGATATCTAAAGGATTTGAATCCGAGGACGTGTATCAACCCCAAGGATATGAATTGGAGGAATATGGTCTCGAAGCCGAGAGAAAACGAGGCGGGGCACTAAGCCCGCCTTCATCCAAAAGTCTGTCTATCTCGGGAGAAAAAAAGCTACTGGAAACGAGGGAAAAGATTTGGCCAGGTAAGACAATCGCGGCTCCATCGATTTCCTAATTCTAGCATGTTGCGGGAATCTGCAGAACACCATTGCTCAGAGAATCTCCTACGACTCCAGACTGATTACTGCGCTCCTCATAATTCATTGTAAAGCTAACTTCCTGTTCTTCACAGACATAACCAGCCAGACCCTATCGCCTCCACTTCCCAGAAATGAAGTAAAACGACCGGCAAAGGAAACTCCCAGGGATGAAGTGCTCGACGAGGTACTTTTGGCCCTGACAGATGAGATGGGAACGAGAGGAGGCCAGCGCAACAATAGAAACTCGAGATTTTTGAAAGAACAAGAACGGCTGCTTGCACAATTCCAGTCCCGAGATGCCACGCATCCGGATTCTAAAACTTCTATTCCAACATCGATAAAGAGATCACGTAGCGACGACGAATCGTTCAGACGGTCATCTCGCCCATCAAAAAGACAGAAGACCGAACTCACTGCAAGCCCCGGCCACAAGAACGAAGAGCGGACTGCTGTCTCCAAGAGATCCAGGCTTATCAACATCTCGAATTCACCCGAACTGGCTATTCAATACGTTTTCGAGGCCCCGCCAGCAAAGAGAAGGATTGCAGTCGAAGAGAACAAATTTCGAGCCAACACCGAAGACGATAACCTCGATGACTTCGTTTACAGGGACGAGCAAGCCGAAGAAACGAGCCCACCAGCTCGAAAACAGTCCATGGGACCAAGCAAGGCAACAGCTCGCGGCAAAGAAGGTACTTCACAAGGTGGCATTAAAAAGGGGAAATGGGAAGAAGATGAGGAACAAGTCTTGATTGACCTCATGATTGCGCAGCGAATGTGGGAAGTGGCGAACAATATGCCACCAAAGACATGGCTCAAGGACGTGAAGTTATATGAGAAGATATCTAGGCAACTCGGGGACATAGGAATTGCGAGATCCAGCGCTGCTTGCAAGAACCAGTGGAATCGGAGTGCCAGAGAAAAGAGCGGGTTTGATGAGCGCCCTGATAATGGCGGCACTCGTTCTTTAATATGCTCCGAGCAAAAGCCAAGAAAAGAGAAAGAGAAGTCTGGATGGGAATAAGGATGTATATATACTGAAAGGAATGATGGAGGTATGGAGCAGAGGCTGGCTGGCGGCCGTTTCATCCTCCGGTGGTGGAGCTGCAGTTTATGAAATTTAGTTTCTTTAAATCCACTCGTGCATGTTTTTTGGTGTATGCGTATAATAAGACGACGCCAGATAATGGCAATGATAATAACAATAACGAGGTGGAAGGAGATGTTCATAAGAAGTGAAAAAAGGGAAAGGAAGGGAAGTGTTTTGAATTGAGTGACAGCGAGCGGAGCCGCCTCATTCACTCTTGGCGCTAGCCCTCTTGTACGAGCGAGTACCTATCTACAAGCGCAAACTCCACCACCTTTCCTTCAACATTTATTTACAATTTTTATTCCCCCACCAAGAAAGTCCGTCCGTCGTCTTCAACTTGTAGATTTCCATCAATACCTTATAGTCGCATCTTAGTCTTGCGGAAGGATCCCTAAACTAGTCCTGAATTTGATCTTCCAATTACCGGTATCTACTTGCGACCTCACAACACGCAGCCTCGTCCTCGTCCTGGTTGCCGACTGGTCTGGAGCATACTGCGCATCACATTCTGCGGCACTGTTTCCATTATACCTTCGGCGTCGCGTTCATCGCGTCCCTACCCTCCAGTCCACCCAGTACTTGCTAGCTATTTTCTCGCCTCATCTTCAATTATAATGGCCGCCGATATGGATATAGAGATGGACATTGATATGGGTCTTGCAGAGGGGGATTTTGCCATTACGGAGATTGACATCGTCCCTGGTACCCAAACATCAGTAAGAATCCGCGACAGACCCTTCCTCACAGATCAAGATAGCTGACTTCCACTTTTAGTCATACCAGCAAGAGTCAAAGCCAATCCTGACTGCTCCGAATGATAGCAGCGACTCGAATGCCCACGAATTCACCCCAGAGAAGGTACACCTTCGCGGCCTCGACAACTTGACCACCAAAGACATTAAAGCATTTGCTGCAGAACACTTTGATGAACACAGCCCTCTGCGTGTTGAATGGATCAACGATACTTCAGCGAATCTGGTTTTCGAGTCTGTCGATATTGCAGCAGATGCTCTGAGGGCTTTAGCTGCCGTGGATATTGGAGACGTATCGCAGATCCCGGTTATGCAAGCTTTCCCAACTAAACCCTTCTCCTTACACCCGAATACCAATTTGGAGGTCCGAGCTGCCGTGGTTGGGGATCGCAAGCAGGCTGGCGCACGTGAGAGTAGCCGGTTCTATCTCATGAACCCTAAGTATGATCCTACGGAGCGACGCAAGCGTGGAGGTCAGAGAGGTGGCAACAGGTACAGAGATCGAGACGACGGCGGATATCGAAGTCGGCGTTATGACGACCGCGAGCAGCAGAATCGCCAGGATGGAGATAGACTTTCAGGTTTTGACTCAAGCTTATACGATGATGATGAAGCTGCCCTAGCTCAAAGAGCGGCAAGAGGCGGCGAAAGGCAGGATTCTTCATCCGGCGGAGAGTTTAGAGGTCCGGCTTCAGAAAGATCACGCTATCGAGGAGCAGCTGGCAAAGAGCTATTCCCTGAACGAAATGGAGATAGGGCGAGCGGCAGATTGAGAGACCGCAGTGCCTCCCCTATGAACGAGGATCGCGCCGAGACACCAAGACGGAGAAGGCGGGACTCCGCAGCTTCTGCCAACAGACTAAAGGCACAGATGCTAAAAAACCAGTTGAGAGAGGCTAGCGTATCGAAAGAACTGTTCCCACAGAAAGTTGGCATCAACCATCGCCGTTCTGATGCATTCGATGCTGCGGACGAAACGGCCGACTTATTCTCCGGCAAGATGGCAGTGCCTTTCACTGATGGGAGCGGAGACAACCGTCACGAGAAAGTTGATTTGCTAGCTCCTAGGATATCCAGAAAGAATTGGGACAACGACACCGGCTTTACCATTCGAGGCGCTGCAAAAGCCGTCCAGGTTCAGAAGGGCTTCAATATCAAAGGGGCTGCATCCGGCGGCCAGGTTAAGGAGCTATTCCCTTCGCATTTCGGGGACAATTCAGGAAAGGAGCTGTTCTCGGAGAACTTGGAAGGCAGAGGGAGACGGAGACAAAAGGCCGAAGATTTGTTCTCCTGAATGGGTTGCGAAGTGGGAAGTATGGCTTCCAAACGGACGGTTGGAATCTGCAACATTAAATCCTTCTCTCCAGAAAGTTGGAGGAGTGTTTGTGGAAGGGCGGGTTGCCCGTCTTGGACGGTTCATGAAAGGCAACATACGGGGATGGCTTATCTGGGTATTTACCAGGTCCTGGGCTAGGAAGTCCTCAGGAAGAAGTCTTTAACACGTTCGTATAAAAGTCTGGGTGTTTCATAGCATTGAGAACCGCACTGAATCAGACTCAGAACCTCATCTCAAGATAAGATAGCCTCTTTTCAAACCTATCGCTGCGTTTACATACATTATCTTAAAAGTCACAGATACATCATATCTTATTTAACATGGCCTCACTGTGCAGTTCGAAGAGGGAGAGTTACCATTTCAATTATAATGGTTTGATAGTTCGGCTCCCCCTGCGAGTACTCGAAAGGGAAATCGCAGAGAGCGGTTTCCCCCCTCTCCCTCACGGTATCTGTATTATTAGCACCCCCTCTACCCGCCACACCGCTGCGCTCCTTCTTCTCTGTTCCGTGCTCCATATCAACGTCGATGGGAATACATAGGAAGAGAGGGTTGAGAGTGTATTGTTTCCATGAAATCAAACTCTCAATTGTGCACTAACGCCGTGGTACAAAGTCGGCATTCGAGATAGCTTGGCTTTCGAAGTCAGGAATTACGGATTAATCGAATGGAATCGACTGGCCCCACAAACCTGCTCAATCAATCTTCACAAATGACCACTTCGCCTGGACTTTACACGTGGGGGTGGGGTTTTGTGTTTGGGGAATGGAATGGTGATGAAGAAGGGAGGAGGGGAGGGATGGGATGGGATGTTGTGCAATGTTGAACGGAAATGGCGTTTGATAATCACGTGCCCACACCATATCGGACCGGCATCTGGTTATCGTCCTGTACTGCACTGTAGCACATCATTCTGGTGATTCGTACAGTCAGTTTACGTCATGGAAGATGTTCCTCTACCTTACCTTACCTTGTGTCCTGAGTGTCGCTGCTCGAATCATGTCTCCTGCAAAAGCCTCGAGCGCTATTGCTCGTACATGAATATCGTCTGGCGCGCGGGTGTCTGAGTAGGTAATTATAAAGCTCTGGGCTTGAGAGTGATAAGTGTTCCTGATGTAACGTGTTTTTGTACTGCATGTGGTTGTGCATTTACTCGATGAAGAGGACCATCTCGCGTGTTGGACATGTCGACTTTACCAGAGAACCTCGCGTCATTTCCTTGGCTTCACATTGCGAGATAAGGTGGTTCCCCCCCCCCCCAAGAATCGCAGCTTCTTGCCCATGCAAACATGGCCGGTTTCCCCCTTCCTGCCCCGTTCGGCATGCAGCCCAGAGGGTCTAGTATTCCGATGTAGTCCATATTTCCGCCACATATATCCAAGTACTTGGACTTCCTGTACTGTACTGCACCGGACATACAGTGGCAATGTTGATGAAATATCAGGTGCGTATCACGAATCTCTTGGAATTGCTAGCAAATAACCCCATCTTGCAATCACAATGCCAGTCCCGAGGCTGTGGTTGCGGGTCTGAAGGCTTGGTCTTTCGTATGCGTTTCCTACAAGTAGCCCTAGAGCCCATCTAGTGTTACCCAGAAGCAGAGAGCCGACGATTGAGCAAATCAGCCTGAACATTGACGTGGTGTACTGTAATTGTAATTGCAATCATGTCTACAGTCCTCGCTAAAGACATCGACCTGCACGCCCCCGTTGGCGATGTCCTCCTCAGAGGAACCCCTTCAGAGGGCTCTTCTTCGAACGGATCCTCTGATGATCTGAGCGACGTGACTAAAACCCCCAAAGTCAAGACAACCGCGACAGGCTACGAGACGGCGTCACCGCTTGGAGCCCCCTCCGCAGAAAAGAGATTCTGGTGGCAGCGTAACAAGACCTACGACCCGAATGCTATTGCCACTCAACCATCAGTATTCGATGACCCGGACACCGCGAAACAGTATCAACCTCCAGCAGACTGGGAGAATATCGGCCGGTTCGATCCGTTGGCACGATGGACCTGGGGAGAGGAGCACAAGTTGATCAGGAAGATCGACTTCAAGATTATGGTTCGGCAATCTTCGTATCTATCACTTAATCTGCGTGACACTGATTAGTACAGATCTGGGCTTGCGTTATGTTTATGGCTCTTGAACTTGATCGTGCAAATATCAACCAAGCGGTCACAGACAACTTTCTCAAAGACCTACACATGAATACAAATGGTACTCCTACCCCGCCATTCAGAATTCCCGGGTAACTAACAGTCTTTAGATTACAATCTTGGAAACACTGTATTCAAGTTATCATTCTTATGCGCAGAACTTCCATCCCAGCTTGTATCAAAATGGATGGGTCCAGATCGGTGGATCCCCACTCAAATGATGTTATGGTCAATCGTCGCTACTTGCCAATTCTGGCTGAGTGGCCGCCGAAGTTTCTTGGTCTGCAGAGCCTTGCTAGGTATAATTCAGGGCGGCTTTATTCCAGATGTGAGTTGTCCTCAAGTTCCAACATATTTACAATGGCTAATGCGCACGTTATTAGATCATCCTATATCTATCTTATTTTTACAAACATCATGAACTTTCACTGCGGCTGGGGTTTTTCTGGACAGCCATGTCGATAGCCGATGTCGTCGCAGCATTTTTAGCTTTCGGCATACTTCATCTTAGGGGTGTGCATGGTCATGCGGGGTGGCGATGGCTTTTTTTGATCGAGGTACGTCTCCATTCAACGCTTCTCTATGTTCGATTAATAACAAGTCATGTAGGGGCTCTTCACACTCGTGGTCGGTGCTACTGCTTTCGTTCTTATGCCGCCCAGTCCTACACAAACAGCGAGCAGATTGCGAGGCAAGAAAGGCTGGTTCACCGCAAGGTATGTCTGTCTGGTACAGAACAGCTCAAACTCAGCACTTACGATTGCCACAGAGAAGAAACTATCATAATCAATAGGGTGATCCGAGAAGACCCTACAAAATCTGGAATGCACAACAGACAACCCATTACTCCAAAGCTCCTCTGGAAAAGCATGTGCGATTTTGACCTATGGCCGCTTTACATCATCGGTCTCACTTTTCAGATTCCCGAGACTACTCCAAATCAGTATCTCACTCTCACACTCAAGGGTCTTGGATTCGGTACCTTCAAGACGAACCTGCTTGTGATTCCGTCTACAGTGTTCCATATGATTACTATGATGGCTTTAACCTATGCGGCTGAGATATGGGGCGAACTGACCCTCACATCCATGCTAGGGCAAGTCTGGGCGCTCCCATTCCTGACATTCATCTACGCCAAAGACATCACCAGAATCAACAAATGGACCGCTTTCAGCATCATGAGTTTGCTTCTGAGTTACCCATCTGGTAAGTATTCATAGCATTTATATCCACCCAACCAGCTCTATAGAAGTGCCTGCTAACCAAACCGCCCCGCCCCGCAGCCCATCCAATCCAAGTAGCCTGGAACTCGCGCAACTCCAACGCAGTGCGCTCGCGCACGGTCTCGGCCGCACTGTATAACATGTTCGTGCAAGCCTCTGGCATCATCGCATCCAACATCTACCGCGCAGATGACAAGCCCCGCTACAAGCGCGGGAACCGTGCTCTGCTGTCCCTATGCATCATGAATATCGGTCTCTACATCTTGACCAAGATCTACTATGTCTGGAGGAATAAGACGAGAGCGGCCAAATGGGATGTGATGACCGAGGAAGAGAGGGTGCACTACCTGGCCACGACTATGGATGAGGGCAATAAGAGGTTGGATTTCAGGTTCGCGCATTAGAGCGCGCAACTACGGTATTCATTTTCATGACATGTGAACGAGGCTGAAAGGCTATATATACATAAATATCGTGGAACGAGTCTCGGTATATTTAAAATCAAAAATCCTAGAGGATCATCAGAGGGATTCAAACCTGGACAATCTTTCTTCCAAGCCGAAACAATCGCTGAAGATAGCTTCCTGCTCACGTGATGCAATCAATCATTCCCCTTTTCACAAGCTGGTCTGGTGCAAGCAAGCGAGCCTTTCTTTCTTTCTTCTGGTAAGCTAAACCACCACTACCTATTTACCCAGTCCTCACTAGGTACCACAAAAAACACGAACCATAACACTAAACCACCTACCTGCTTGCACTTTGTAAGATTACCTGATAATTTGCTATAAAGACAAACCAAAAAGAATTTGCACACTTCTATTTAGTGTAACTAGTGACCTAGCCTAGCGCCTTCTATAAAAGAGTCCCTCCCCCCCTTTCCCCCTAGAAACAGAGTTCCGCGTTAGACCCCTGCGATATCCTCCGAGGACCAAGTGCAAGCAAGTTACGATGAAAAAACTCTCCTGCAAGTTTGGCGCTGGAGAGAGAGAGAGAGAAGATAGATAGTAGAGCAGCACGCACGCACAACTTACAGTACCTCTCGTGATACGATAGTGGAAACGGAGGAGAGACAAACAACGAGAATACACTTGCACCTAGCTAGACACACTCATTACCCTCCCACGATCCCCTTCGTCGTCCCACTTTGTATCATTCATTCATGAATGGAGTTCCTGAAATCCCACGATGCTTCTTGCGGCTTCGCCAGACTTTTCTTTTCTTTGTCCCACTCGAGACCAGCAGGCCAGAAATATCTGTGTCGCAGATACTCTTCCTCGAGCAGAAAGCCCGGTAGCTGGATACGGTGTGGTGTGATGGTATCGATTCGAGGGATTTGAGTTGTTGGACTTTCGATTGAGATCCCGACTGCCAAGTGGCTCTAGACAGTTGATTGCATAAAAAAAAAAAAAAAAAAAACACGGTAAACTGCCTGCCTTATCGTCTCTGCCTATAGAGCCTCTTCCATGTCTAAACGTGTGCGTTTGTGCACGAGGGAGCGTCTACAAAGACACAGCCGTCTCTTCTCCAGAAACAGAATCCGAAAATTCACAGCCCAAGTCTTTAACGGCTTCATACCACGACCGTGTTCCGCAACACTGCCAAAGAACATCTTGCCCATATACATTTCCCTGAAACCTTCGCATAGCGCCGCGCCGCAATCAGAAACCAGAAGAGGGCGCGAAGCACTAGAGGAAAAAGGAGGCATTTTAGACCATGCCATGCCATGTCCCAAAGCCTAGAGGAATGGAAGGCAGTGCCGATAGAAAACCGAAAATAAAAAACCACGTACGCGACCACCTACCAACGCTCCTGTGAGACCATTTCAGACCGACCGACGCTCCCAAGAGAATAAGGAAAAAGAACCTCAGACTCGAAGGGCTTCTGAACGGAAATACAAGGTCTCAAAGTCACTGACATGCCTGACGACTTTCACAAAGGAGCAAGAGAACACGAAAAGTATCTATCTACATCAGAACCATCTATCACCACGACCCTCTAACCCGAAGAATACAATACAATACAGCTTCGGAAGAAAAAGGCACTCACTCTCGCCAATTCCAAATCCCAGCCCCATTCAGCCGGAAAGCAAGAACGTAGAAAAAGAAAGAAAAAGAGTCCCTCTCAGCCTCACAATCATCAAGGCATAACGGCGCAAAAGAAGAGTCCGACGAGTCTGGTTTTATACTTTATACTAAGACCCCCCCCAAGCCCCCATCTCTAGAGACGCAATGGAGAAGAACTCAACTCAAAGCCCACCCACCGCAAGGAAAAGAAAACCAAGAATCCTATGCAAGAGTGGTAGGACTCCAACACCAGCGACCCTTTCATTCCAACGACGCCCCTCCCTCAATTTCAGATTCCCACCCGATCGTCGATAGCCCTAGCGACCAAAAAGCCGGCCCCAAAACCCAGGAACCCCAAGGAGCCGAGCCCACGCGACCGACCCTACAGCAGAAGAGGTTCTAAAGAACGAAAAGCACGAGGAGAGCCGCAGGAGCAAAGGCGCGGTAACAAGAGAGAGAGAGAGCGCGACAAGAGCGACAACGCGCACAAGCCAGAGCGCAGGAACAAGAAGACGACGACGACGCGGAGCGCAACGCAGGCGCAGGCGCTCAGAATGGGTACGGATTGAAGAGTGAGCGCGATGACCGCGCCCAGCTGCATCTCCAGCCCAGCACCAGAACGCGCATTGGCATACAGCCGCGCAGGACTTCCTAGACGACGACGACGACACAGGCACCCTGCCCTTCCCGACGCCCTTCACGCTCGGCTGTGCGAGAGTAGACGCGTGCGTGCGTGCGTGCGGGGTGACAAGTTCAACGTGTGCCAGGACGATGTAGAGCGTGATTTAAAACAGGTCGTGACTGGTGATTACGGCGATGCGTATTTGAAGAGGGAGAGGGGGAGGTTGAGGTGGCATCCGGATCGGTTCTCGGCGACGGGGTGATGTGCACGTGGAGCTGTTTCCGAAGATTCAGAGGCTTATTGAAGGTCCGAGGATGCTGAGACGAGCGTGAAGTTGTAGTATTCTGGTTCGCAGGCCTAGGAAAGGACTAGATTATATAAACATGCAGATTTGTCAATGATACTCTGTAAAGAACGGTGTAAAAGGTACCTACGTATGCAACTTTTTCATACTTGTTTCCAGTCATATAATCAGAACGTTCGCGGAGACGGCAAATAAAAAGGGTGACAGAGAACTTCTCTTGTGGGATTCATCCATGTCGACGATGAAAAATCCGCTATGAATGAAGACATCTTGAATAGACAATTATTTACTACATACCCCACATTCCATACATATACTTGGTGTCTTGGCTGGTCCAGTTCTAACCAGAACTGCACAAATACTGTACTCACTTAAGCATCAAGAATGGATATGGAGATGTACCGCGAAGTATGAATCCCACGACGCGCACCACTCGAGAACTCACAAACACCAACTTAAAAGAGGATCAAAAGCAGCACTTGCCCAAGGATTCATTCAAAATTATATCACATTCAAACAAAGCTGATGCCAACCAAGTTTGAAAAACAAATAATCGAGGTCTTATCGTCGTACTACTTCATGAGCTCCCATATACTCGGCTCTCCTCTCCGAACGCCTTCTCTCAAGCAAGAAACCCGGGCTGTGAAGCACGCCATGTGATACCCTGCGCTATAACCCCCTAACCGCAGATAGGCCGTAATCAATCATCACTGCGAGTGGCGCACCTAAGAAATATCTGGCAACACTGCAGGCCATCCTTGAAAGTGCATTCAAGGGTATGTTTCCGTCAAAAATAAGTCCTACACAGGTGTAAAACAGCTAGCTGACTTCTAGATTATAATCTCGCTATGGGTTGCCGATCGGTTGCGGGGCCACTTCAAGTGGCCATGCCTCCGAATGGCCCGGTGTTGTCGCCATCTTCCAATTCCTCGTCTCCATCTGCATCGCCATCTTCTTCGTCTGCGGCATTCAGAGCTGCGGCACCCATCATACCCGTCATTGTTTGGTCGTCATCCATATCTCCCAGAGCGTTTGGAATGCTATTCAGGTGGCGACGCAACCCGGTCACACCAACGCCAGAGAATACACAGAATACGTTCCGCTGGTGTTCGGTAAATTCTACACATTGGAGTTAGTACAGCGCAATATAACAGCAGTCAAATGGAGGATATATACCTGCAGGGGCTTCGCGGCAGTAGGGTTCTAAATCAGGGCGAAGGAAGGCCACCACACCAGTCAAACTCAGATGTGTGAGCTTCAGGCAGTTATTGAGGAGTATGACAATGCTCTAGAGAGAATTGATTAGCTTCCATCTGGTTGAGGAGTAGGTTCTCTTACATCGAGAGTCAAGTTTGTGCAGTAACTGAGATGTACTCGCTCCAGACTACTGACAGGGTGGTGTGGAAAGCGATCACCAGGTCTGACGTTCTGGTCATGGGCTCGCGCACGGCTCTGTGCTAAAGCATACACACTAGCATCGGTGATTTGAGAGCATTTGACAAGTCCAATACGGCGAAGTTTTGGCAGAGATGCCAGTTTGGTGACAGAGCGATCAGTGAGATGGGTACAGCATCCCAAATCGATATACCGGATCCTATTGCAGGACGCAACCAGCTTGATGACAGCATCATCGGTGATTTGGCCACAGTGTCCAAGGTGAAGATAATGAAGGTTCTTGCCAAGCTTGCTGATAGCATTAACAGCAACGTCTGTAAGGTTTTTGCACTTTGCAAAAACCAAATTTCTCAACCGGGGGGCAACATCAATGATCATCTCGATAGCCCTGTCCGTAAGGCGCGAACAGCTCGTGAGGTCCAATATCCGCAGGTGTTCGTATGTCTGATGAAGGGGGAGATTGAGGAAGGCAGCATCAGTAATCAAATCGCAATTTGCAAGACGAAGCTCCCGTAATGTCAAGCCGTTGACGAGCAATTCAGTCACCGGCTGATCCCTGATCATTTGGCACTGATGTAAGTCGATCTCGAGTATGTTGCGGCAGTTTTTGGCAAAGGCGAGGATTGAGGAGTCATCAAGCTGTTTGCAATTGTTGAGTTTGAGCTGAATATAGTCAGTATACTGGCGGTAGCAGGTGTTGGTGATGTAGCTTACCCTCTTGATGTACCTGCAGTTCTCAGCAACAGCTATCATAGCCTCGTTCGAGATATTTTCACAGCTCGAAATGTTGAGACCTTGCAGCCGCGGGCAATTTTCTGCTAGAACAATCATCGAAGCGGCTGTGATTTGTTTATCCCCAGATATATCTAAAGCAAGCAAATGACTGCTGTCTGTCAGGAGGCCAATAAGCCCAGAGTCCGTAATGCCTTTGCAGCTTGTCAAAGTCAGACGCTCAATCCTTGTACAAACAGAAAGAGGGATAACGCTGCCATCATTGACAGTGTCTGCCAGAGTCGCCAGATTAAGCCGCTTTATGAAGTCTCGGTAGGCGAAGTAAGGGTTCGGGCTAGAAAGGGTTCTGCAAATAAAGCCGTGCTTGTTCCAGTTCGTACATGCTGGGCGGTGCCAGAGTAGATCAACGCTATTTCGTGCCCAGGCTTTGGAAACGGACATACAGTTCAGCAGATCTAATGGGGCGCTGAGTTTGGAGAGTATGCTAATAAGGACTTCGGGTGGTAATCTATTCGCGGGGGGTTCGCAGACTTCTCTCGAAACGGCCATATCCTGGAAGGTGGGCACACCGATTGATGACTGGGAATCGTTGTTGCCAGTGTAGAAGTCGGACTCTTCATAGTCCTGACGAGCCGGAGAATTGCTCGACGACGATTGTGAGTCTCCCTCTGGGTCCGGACTGGCGCGATAAGGCGCGTTAGCAGTACTGATGGCGGCCATTCTTGGAACTAGGCCCCTCATGGCGGTTCAACGCAAAGATATCTGGGGGGGTAGCAGTAGCCAGGCGAGTTTGATCACTCTGTGAGAGGAAGATGTGTTGGATGCGGTAGGTGCGTTCTTCGTAACTGCTAGGAAACCACGACTCTGAGGGGGAATACTGCGTGGGTCAGCCTCGCGCTAGGAAAGGTCCGCAGATCCCATTCAAGGAGATTTCGGGACCGGGTGTTGGTAAGGAATGATGTCTCCGGGCTTGCGTAAATAGAATGGCATCAGGGTGGTAAAGATGTGATTGCGGATGGGGGGCGTGTATTGCTTGGTGATCATGAAGATGGATGTTTGAGCTGGCTGTGCCATGCGCTCAATGAGCAAGGATCCGTTGTTGGGTCGCTTAAGTAGGTTAGTCCTGATCTGAAGTATTTCCCACTCCACGTGATTATTATGTTATAAGTTGATAAGAGACTGTCTTGATGTTATTGGAATCATGTATTGAGTGACTGGTTGTGTTTTTGAATCTAAAGTCACAATACTGCACTGTATCTGATATCTCGCTGCGACCGGGGAATTTCGGGGTCTCACACCACTCTGGAGGACTCTACGTCGTATAATACTGAGTGATTTGTAATAAGCATATACAGTTTCTACTCGGATTTCATTGTATAAAGGGCCGGCAAAAATATAAAGCCATCAAGGTATATACCATTCCAAGTCCTCACTAATACCAACAGCCATGGTCGACACCAAGCCAATCTAAAGCACAAGTAGTAATAAAACGCGCTGACTATTTTAGCAAATTATGTAATAAACCATTTTTTATATTTAGGTCTCACTCGTCAAAGCCAACAATCCAGCCGATTTCTGGATAGGATTTATTGCGGGAATCATAAAAGACTTCATTATTGCAGTACGAACTGTGTCATAAATTGACATTGTTCAAATTTCACTTAATGACTGAAGGTGCTTGGGATACGGCTGGCGTGTTTATACTGTACCAGATCATATATTTATACTTCGTAGACTAGCATGCGTGCCAGCTTTGGCAGATTCGTAATAAGCGTCTGAGGGCGGTTTGTCTCCTGGGCCTCTTCAATTATGTGATTTCGGCTTGTGTGCTCGGGAACTCCTCATTTTGCGTATTACTTTAGTGGTGTTGGAGTTTATAGAATTGTGTGTGATGAGAATGAGTGACTGCTGTAATGTGTGGAAGAGTAGCATGTATATAGATCATAACAACATCTTGGCGAATAGCGTTAAGAGTGAACTACTTGACGGAAAATGGAGAAAGACAAGCTAACTTAGGAATCAGACTACTTGCCTTGCCTATGAGCGACTTCTTGATAGACTTTCTTGAATCAATGAAGCATTGCCGCAGCTTATTGAAGTCATGTTGAGAGAATCTTTAGAGCATCGACTTCGCACTGTGCTGTGTGATATTGAGAAGAGTAATCCTAAGGTCCAAGCTACATTTAGGGTTCTAAAATATTTTGACGCATTAAGGGTGCACGACAAGACATTTAGCTAGCAGATGTCGTTCCAAGCTCGGCAGGCTTCCCCAGATTTTGTGATCCGACATTGACATCAGCCCACCATCCAGTTCTTGGCCTTGGAGCTTCGTTCTTAAATTCGATCCGGAGACAGAACTACACAAACCAAAAATGCCTCTCCATACACCCTCAGCGCGCGTACTACGCCTCCTTCCTCGACGTCTCATAAAACCGCATTCACTCCGACCCGGATCTCAATTCTCCATCCCATGCCGCACCTTGGCCTCCAAACCGCCTCCAAACAAAAACGAATATGAACGGCTCGATCCTATTTCTATGCACAGACTCGAACATGAGCGCCGAGAGTACTACAAGCGACGGTCATACTACTCGGGTGCGGGTTTCGTCCTGGGCATGATTGCGATATGGTTCACTGCCACTTCCATCGAACTCCCTCCTTCGAACAAACCGGCGCAGGCTGATTCAGGAAGACGGCCTGATGATCCCATGGTAGTGTTGGGTCGGGAGCGAAAGATTGTCATACAGAAGTTGGGCGAGGAGCCGGAGGAAGTGCCAGACGTTGTTGCGACTGGTACCAGCACCGTGCCCACGTTCCCCAGGGTATTGGATTTCTACGACGACGAGAGAGAGGGCGTGGATAACGGCATTGGGCCCGGGCAGAACGATGATCGGTTGGTCGAGTACCAATTGATGGGATTGGGTATCCGGACGGTCAGCTTCTTGGGCATCCAAGTATATGTTGTTGGAATGTATGTTGCGACCGACGACATTGCGGCCTTGCAAGAAGCTCTCATCAAGAAGATCGCCCCTTCGGCTTCGACCCTCGTTGCAGGCGAAAAGGACGAGCTAAAGGCGAAGCTTTATGACCCCCAAGCGAGCGTGGAAATTTGGAGTGATGTGCTGAAGAAGAGTGGCGCGAAGACTTTGGTCAGGATTGTACCAACGCGGAATACGGACTTCCATCATTTAAGAGATGCATGGGTTAGATCCCTGACTGCCAGAGCGCAGGCTGACAAGGAGGAATTTGGGGATGAGCAGTTCGGCGCTTCCCTCAGTGAATTCAAGATGTTGTTCAATAGAGGCAGCGTCCCCAAGGGAAAGGAGCTGTTGCTAAGCCGAGACAAGGAGGGAAAGTTCGCCGCATGGTATGATGACGGGAAGAACGGGGCTCAAAGACTGGGACAGGTTCTTGATGAGAGGATATCAAGAGGTCTATGGTTGAACTACCTTGGCGGCAAAACCGTTGCTAGTGAAGGGGCTCGGAAATCTATCATCGATGGGGTTATGCAGTTTGTCGAGCGTCCAGTGGGAACCGTGGCAACTCAAGTTGTATGATATTTGTACTTTATTAAAATCACCCAAAGCCCGCTTATTTGTATCAAATCCGAATTGATTCGTGAAGTATCATTATCTCAGTAATTGTCTAGTTCAAACCCCCCCCTTCAAGTCTTGTTCCCCTCTTCCGTGCTTTACACAGCACCAGCCTCCTTCAACAGCGTGGGCAGCTTACCCTTGATGGCCTGGAGATCCGAGTTGCCACCAATGTGCTTCTTGTTGATATAGATGTTGGGAACGGAGGTCTGGCCATTGATATCCTTCAACGCAGCTTGGAGATCAGAGCCATCATCTATCAAGCGCATTAGCATCTATCTCACTCCTATCCGGACGGGTGTTACATACCAACTTGATCAAGTTCAATAGTGTAGTAGTTTGCGCCAAGGTCGCTCAAGAGAGTCTTGGTGGCCTTGCAATACGGGCAGTAAGATTTGCTGAAGACGGCTAGAGATAGATGTGTTAGCGACTTGTCCAGGGAGGCTGGAATGTTACAGCTACATACCGACAGCATTCTCATCAATGATGTTTTGGGCTTTGGTCTTGGCGGCAGACATATTGATGGGGCTGACGGACGACGAGAAGAATCTGCGTAGGAACGAAATGATGGGCAACGATTGTGTAGGTGGCTGGGAGAAGGCGAAGGAAGGGTGGTGTTTTATAATGTTGATATTGGAGTCGTGATGTTTGGAAATTTGGAATGATTAGGAATCGTGGTCAAACAGTCTTATTGCGGACCCTCAAATGACGCAATACAGGGCCGAGAATCTGTAAAAGGCCACAGAGGAGACTAATAAGGTCAGGTGGCGGCGGGGTAGATGTGTAAGCTTGTGCATGGCGATAAGATCTCGAACGCGGGCGCGGGACGTCGACGGCTATATCACGATCGATAAACATACCGTACCGTACTTGTACCTTATAAGTAACCTAGGCACCTACTCTCAAAAGGCATTCCATTGACATTTCTCTGATTGTTTGCCGTAGACTAGATATTGTAAGTAATGCCTGCGGAATCCCGTCGGGAAATAGCGAGATGATGATTGGAAGAATGACCAAAGTATCTTTTATCTTCGTATGCCCTTTCAATTGCTTTCTCATTGTATAATCTATCTAGGCACGTCTACTCGTAAACTGATTGAGCCTCGGATATCTTCTACTCCGCTTCAATCGATAAAACGTTATTATAACCGCCAATATGATATCCACTCAGTACTTCTGGCACATACCCGTGGGAAAGCGTATACGGTTATTCCGAATTTCCTGGAATGGCAATTTTCCTACGAGGCAGGTTCGTACATTCGTATGCTTCTGCTCTGGCAGAACACTCATTAGATCCCACCTTGCCTACCCCCTTGTGAAATCGCGAACCGGTCCTCACTGTGGACGCGAGAGACAAATCTACATGCCAATTATAAGGGACCACAAACAGCATCTTACGAGCGTAGATTACTCCGCATACCACAACGAGAAAATAAAGAATAGTTTAAGAAAAAAGGGATAAAGGCAAATTATCGGTCGTCGCCACGCCGGATTGGTCACACATCTGGAAGATCCCAAAACATGTTCCATCTCAGAGATGATGTCCAAAGCCTGTAGAAAGAGCCTCCGATTCTAGATGACCAAGGCTGCTGGCGACTAATGGTCCACCAAGTCGAGGTTTCGTGCGAAATCGGAAGTACAAATGGCTAAACGAACGAAAACGGGTTGTTTATATAAGCATTGAAGAGTGCAAGAAGTTTACAAGAAGTAGAAGAGCGCAAAGCCATAGTCCGGCTGGAGAAGATCTAGCAGAAAACATTCCTGTGCCGGGAAGAGTTCGTCTTCTTTTGTCTACGGGACGGTTAGGGCTAGGTACCTAGGCTTTAACCTTTTAGCCCCTTCTTAGCTCCTGATGACTAAGCAAAGCCCTACTCCAGAGTCGACCCAAGATCGTAGTCAGCATCTGGAATATTGAATAGCCAACAAAAGTCCAGATCATTCCGGCTGTGCATAACATATAGAGGTTTCATACTTCAAGACGATTTTATTGATTTTATTGGATAATTCATAATCTAAAATTCTACAATGTACAATAGGTATCTGATCTGGTCATCCGAGACGCGCCGCGCTTAGCGTTAAACCCAGTGCAGCCCGGTGCCATTATTTTGGTCAGAAAACCAACAGCCCATTTAATCAATCGCTCTCCAAGTCAGTCTGCACAGTCATTCCTCTTACAACACCACGCAACTAAGGCACAGATAAGTCCTGCAGCAGGGCTATAAGGATATTAGGCAAGGTGGCTTCCAGCGCAGTGGCATCGCAAGGTGCCACCCTGTCTTCATTCATCCACCGCCTTCCTGACCCTCTTCAGACATACGTCGATATCTCCCTTGAACGCCTTTCCGCCGCCTACTCGCAGCTTCCCCCCTCCACGCAGAACTACATTGCTAGTGCTGCCAAATATACGCATCTCGACAGCCTTCCACCAACAGCGATTGCGGGTAGTATCGTTCTCGTTCTTACCACTGCAGCGATTTCAATGAGTAGCTGGGGCCGCTCTTTCTGGGGTGGGCAAGGTCATCGATTATCTCCCTTTGGAAGCAGAGCATACCCTCCTAACGTCACGGACGATGACTTCTCTTATATCACATCCGAGGATCTGCAGCGTCCGGGTGCGTCATACGATCCTCACCGAGCCCAGCAGCCACCGTCAATGTCCCCAGAGGAGGATGTTCTGTTGATCAAGAACAAGGGCGTCATATACCCCATAAAGTTTCCTGCATACAGCATTGGAGATGGAAAGTTGCAGGTTCGAGATATCAAGGAGCGGGCAGCCGCCGTTATGGACTTGCCGGATGGAAGGCAATTGAAGCTGCTGTACAAGGGCCAGAACCTGAAGGATGATTACAGACCTTGCAGAGATTACAATCTCAAGAATCAAAGCGAAATCCTCTGCATGGTTGGCGATGCCCCAGAAGTGGAAGACGATTCCGATGAGGGGAGTGAGTCTGTTCACGAGGGAGGCGGCAAGAAGAAGCGAATTCGCAAGAGCAAGAAGAAGAGCAAAAAGAAGGGTGACCCAAATATGTCACCGGGAGATGGACCCAGTTCCACGAATTTAGGAACGGCATCTCCTGCTCCTGCAACACCACAAACAGCCCTTGCAAAGCTACAGGCTATATCTTCACATTTTCACGTCAAAATTCTACCACTTTGCGTCCAATATACCGCCGCACCACCATCTGATCCCAAGAAGAGAGATTTCGAGCACAAGAAATTGACGGAGACAATTATGAATGAGGTGTTGTTGAAGCTTGATGCTGTGGAGACGGAGGGCGACAGCGAAGCTAGGGAAAAGAGGAGAGCTTTGGTGAAGGAGACGCAGGGTGTGTTGAATGGACTGGACGCCAAGGCGGCGGAATAAGTTGCCTCTGTTACTGGGGTATTTAACGAATTCTCTTGGGTTGTTGGGTCGATTGTATTGCATAAGGGATGGTATGATAACCTCCCTTCAGATTGGCAGCCTTTAGATGGTGTCCTAGCATGGCGTTTTGCAGATGTCGTTAGGAAGAGGAATTGGGAGGTTTGTTCATGTGTTTATCTCCTTTAGGAACTCCTTGAACCTCTTACCACCCACTACTTCAGTGATTCGATTTTAGATCTACTTAAGTGCCGAAGCGCTACATTCTAATGTCCCAATAAAACGAAGTATTAATTCATCGATTTACGCGAGTAGGCGGGCCACAAATTCCCATTCAAATTAATAATTAGTTGCAAAATGGCTACAGGCAAAAAGATCAGAAAGAAGCCCTCAAAATTCCCCGAGGTCTAATCTTTAAATCGTCGTAAGAAATGTTGCCGTTCAGCTTTCATGGTTGATATCAAAACCAATTAATTAATCTATGAGGAGCTTTAGTTACGTAGGCTCATTATACAAACTCTCACCAGGCATTATAGCTTCACGTTTACTTTAATTACCTTGATGAACCAAAAACAGGTACTACCTATGCTGCAAGAATAATCCACATGCAAAATGAAATTAAAGTCTCCAAGTAAGATAGGTGCGCAAATCACGTGAAACTTGAGTGCCTCAGGCATTAAGCTAGGCATCAACGCTAAAGTCCTCGCTTCAAATCGCACAACTTTGTCACGAACTTGAGAATTTGAAGACAACGCCAAACCGACAATACGCCTCCACCCACCAACACGACGGTAGAGGATCCCAACCCCTTCGACATTTGTCTTCTCATTTCGCCGTGAAGACACCATGTCCAGTTTCGAGCAGCAGGTAAATACATCTCCAAGCAATCTATCCGCCAACTTGCGATGATCCAACTCGTGGAGTATTTTCGCATCGTGGGTATATCAATTTGGACGATAGAAGCTGATCAGACTGTTTCTTGTAGATCGTCATCGATGGCAAGGGCCATTTGCTCGGTCGCCTTGCCAGCACCGTGGCTAAGCAACTCCTTGAAGGCCAGAAGATCGTTGTTGTGCGATGTGAAGCCCTCAACATCTCTGGAGAGTTCTTCCGTGCGAAGCGTACGTTATACACCTAAATCAACACCTGTGATCGAATTGGAGGAAGAAGACAGCATTGGCGTATTTGGAATGAGAACTGACTTGGGTTCCATTATAGTAAAGTACCACGCCTACCTGAGGAAGATGACTAGATACAACCCAACCCGAGGAGGTAAGCTATAGTCCTCTCAAAAATCTGCGAGCCTGCGGTGCCAACGCAATTTGAATAATGTCTGACCTCTCACAGGTCCCTTCCATTTCCGCGCTCCTTCAAGAATCTTCTACAAGACCGTCCGTGGCATGATTCCTCACAAGACCGCCCGTGGTGCCGCTGCTATGGAGAGACTCAAGGTCTTCGAGGGTGTCCCACCACCATACGACAAAACCAAGCGCGTTGTCGTTCCCCAGGCCCTGAGAGTGTTGAGATTGAAGCCAGGCCGCAAGTACTGCACTGTCGGCAGATTGAGCCACGAGGTCGGCTGGAAGTACAAGGATGTCGTTGAGAGGTCAGTTATAAGCGGGAAGGAGTTGAGATGTGCGAATTGATGCTAATTGTGTTGCAGACTTGAGGAGAGACGAAAGGTCAAGGGTGCCGCATACTACGCACGCAAGAAGGCTGCGCGAAGACAACTATCAGATGCCACAAAGAGCGCGAAGGTTGACGATGCGACCAAGAAGCAGTTGGCTGAGTACGGCTACTAGACATATCGGAGTTTATTTTCGGGACGTCTGGGTGGTTGGGAATCTCTGGGCTGTTTTCTTTTCCTTTTTGCGCAACAATTTGTCAATGCTTTGTTCGACCCGCACGGGAAGATATCTCAGAGCCGGTTCTACATCAACATGCACGGTTTGGAGGATTGCTATCATCGAAAAAAAGAGCGTTGATGGACCAAGGGCCTCTGCTGTGTATAAGCGTGCATCTTGCAAGCAGCTCATAGAGAATGAAGCCTCAATATGAACAAAGTAATGCGTGGCTGAGCATCTGATCTTGATGTGATTGGACCAACTACTAATATCTTGGGTGGATTTCCGCTGTATAGCGATGGAAGGACTGGTTCATATTCCTCGGCAAATCTGCTCCAAAGATAGTCCTCGCGTAGAGACCGTTCAAAGAGAGCGTGTTTCGAGTCTTCCCACACACCCCTTTTAGTGACATATACACGAGCTATGAAATCAACTCGACGCCCCTTTCACCACACTACTTCATTCAGCCTTGCAAGTATCAAGATCAGACTTACCTTTCCAGATATTCAAACAAGCATCCCGATGCCAACAAGTCTGTGACAAAGGTATCTCTTCATCCTTAATATTTACATATCCCTCCATCCCTTGTGCCGAGTAGCATAACCGTAGATGCCGGAACCGGATGGCGAATACTTGTAGACAAGCGAGTTTTGGTGCCTTATTCGCCAGTTTCCACATCCGCGGAGAGGAACCGGGTCCGCTCTAGCTGCTTTCCCCACACAACACTAACTGAAGCCGGCAACAACAGAATCAGATCAGATCTCCTCTTCATCTTTAACTACGAGTACATAGCCGGACCCCCACTGTATATATATATAAAAGCAGGAGGCTGCACCTCTCAAGTAAAAGCCAAGACAGGACAAGACTGCATCGTTCTAAAACGCTTCGAGTCCCGCCGTTTGAAACAAGAAGCTATCTTAAACTCGCCGATGCCGAGGTGAGGTGTAGTACTTACTGTATTACCCCACACTGTCACTCACTCATCGGATCTCGTCTCTACTCCGTACATCTTCACTCTCAACTCTCAATTGAGCCCCCAGAACAACCTCAACATGTCACCCCCAACTGCCCGTCTCCTCTCCCTGGCATCCCACCTCCTCCCCTCCACCTCCCCCTCCTACCCACCACATATCCACACCCTCTCCCCTACATCCTTCCTGCCGCGTGCCGCAGCAATCGAGCCCTCGGCCCCCGCCATCTTCCACGTAACAGCCAACAACAAGATCCTACGGCGCGACTACGCCGAATTCGCCGACCGGTCACGTGGTCTGGCGTACTTTTTGAAGAAGCATGGTTTCAAGAGAGTAGGAATTTTAGCACCGAATACGCCTGCATTCTTGGAGGCTATTTTTGGCATTGCGGCTAGTGGCGGCGTGAATGTTGCTGTTAATTATCGGTTGAAGGTGGAGGATGTTACTTATATTTTTGAATTTGCCGAGGTGAGTTGTGGCTTGCGTATTGCTGTTCTTTCATTTGGATGTGGGGAAAAGTGTCAAGTGTCAAGTGTCAAGTGGCTACTCCGAAAAGAATATGAGGGGTCCTGATCTGAAGCGAACCGAAGCGAACCGAAAGAAGCTGATGATTTGAATAGGTGGAGGTAATAATCGTCGATGAAGAATACATTCATCTCCTCGATGATTTCCGGTCAAAGAACCCATCAATACCTTTCATCATTGACACGGACACGGATGCCACTGAAGGACAGCTGTCAGGCCCATTCGATGAAGCAGTCTTGGAAGGTCTGAACTACGATATCCAGCTCGGGTCGAAAGGATGGGAGGGTTTGAACGCCCAGGCTGATGATGAAGATGACACTATTGCTATTCCTTTTACCAGTGGGACTACGGCTAAACCAAAAGGTGTGGTTTATACGCACCGTGGTGCGTATCTTGCTGCTCTTGGGAATGTGATTGAGAGCGGGTTGAACTACCATACGGGACGATGTGGGTATCTATGGACGTTGCCCATGTTTCATGCAATGGGATGGAGTAAGTCCATTTGTGTGGTTTTTTACAGCTTGATGGTTGAAAAAGGGGAGGCAGACTTTTCCCCACTCGTAGATTGCCCAAAATATCAGGGCCAGTGGAAGGGCCTATATCTAAAACTGGCTTTATCTCAGCATTTCGGAACACGACCAAGTGGTTTTGCGTACTACATCTGCCGCGAATTACGTTTCTTCCTCTGATGTGAATAATCGTATATGCTAACATCCATTTCAGCTTTCCCTTGGGCAGTAACAGCAGTTCGGGGAACCCACTACTGTCTCCGCAAAATCGACTACCCCCTAATATGGAAACTCCTCAGAGAAGAAAACATAACGCACTTCAACGCAGCACCAACAGTCAACACTCTCCTGTGTGCCTCCAAAGAAGCCTCAAAACTCGAAAAGCCCGTCCGCGTAACGGTTGCCGCCTCCCCACCAACAGCCCACCTCTTCGAGCAAATGACCAACCTGAACCTCTTCCCAGTCCATGTCTACGGACTGACAGAGACATATGGCCCGATAACGAAAGGATACCATATGCCCGAGTGGGAAGAACTGCCTATCAGGGAAAAGTATGCTCGTATGGCACGCCAAGGACATGGTTTCATCACCGGTCTTCCTATACGGATCGTGAAGCCTGATCAGCCGGAAGGAGTATTGATTGATGTGCAAAAAGACGGCAAGGAGATCGGCGAGATTATCTTCTTCGGTAATATATGCGCCAAGGAGTACTTGAAAGACGAGGAGGCGACGAGGAAGATGTTTGCGGGCGGTTCGCTGCATAGTGGAGATCTGGCGGTTTGGCATGAAGATGGGAGTGCGCAGATTTTGGACCGGGCGAAAGACATTATCATCTCCGGTTCGTTTGCCCCCTTCTCAATCCCCTGTTTTCAGGTACCGGAGAAACATACTAACATTTTCCTAGGCGGAGAAAACATATCCTCTGTAGCCCTAGAATCCATGCTCGTCCAACACCCCGACGTCCTCGAAGCCGGCGTCGTATCAGTCGCCGATTCGCACTGGGGCGAGCGGCCTAAAGCTTTCATCACGGTCCAGTCCGGCAAGTCCCTCAAGGGAGAAGACTTAATCGAGTGGGCGAAACATGAGAGCTCGATCAGCAAGTTTATGGTTCCCAGGGAGGTTGAGGTTGTAGAGGAGCTGCCGAAGACTAGTACGGGAAAGGTGAAGAAAAATGTGTTGAGGAAATGGGCGAAGGGGGATTATAGTGAAAAGTGAGGGCGTCTAGATGCGATATGTGAGTGAGTGTAGAGTGTATAGAATCTGATAGAGAAAATGAGCCTGTTGAGTGAGATCTCTGCGTAACTTTTATGTTTCAAAAGTGTAGAAGATAAAGCATTGCGACCTTTGTGTATACCAAAACGGATGGTATGGAAAGCATGACTCAAGACAGCTTTTGAAGGTAAAGTTCATTGGGCTAGTCTGTAGGGCTCTATGCTGTTGATATTTGGGGAGTTTTCTAGTGAATTAGAGGATATACTATCTGAAGATTGGGTATCTGGCTTGGGCAGAGAGGACCCAGATGTGTTACATAGTCTTTGACTCGTATAGCACAATAAATGAGAAAAATAATAATAATAATCATTAGGCTAGATATGTCGTTCTATTTGCCCAACTTTCATTCTCGAGTGCAAAAGGGGGCGAAGAAGATGGCTCTGGTGGAGTGGAGCTACTGGGGTGGTTGCCGCAGCACTTTACATGCGTGCAAAAGGGGTAAGGATAGGGGTAGGGGCACCTTTTAGGGAGGAGCGGCGTAGGGCGTAGCTCGTGTTGTGATGTTTCCGACGCGACGCGCCACGTCGCAAACCTACAGTACCACAGTGATGGAGTTTTCGGTGCTTCCGTATAACATTGTTCCGTGGACATGACCATATTAACGGACAGCTCAAGTGGGCACTAGGACGGTAATCTGATGCCTTGTCGTTGAAAACCTTCTTTTCAAATCACAAAACTGAGCGGCAGGATGAGCAGTCAAAAAGCACCCGAACAAACTTTCTTCCTTTCTTTCTTCAGCTACATGTTTTCATTTGTCCCGGGCCAGACATCACCTTCAGGTCAGCTCAACCATTCAAGATCGCCTGTCACTTTGCTGTAGCGTATTGTAGATATCATCTACTGTTGAGGAAGTTCCAACATTTCCGAGGACCATGAGCGAGCGCCCAGAAGCCCGAGGAGCCACATTTTTATGATTTCCAGAACCACCCCAATGGCCTCCAACCATGAGGGAATCGTCCTTGCTCTCCGAATCTTTCACGAGAAGACTTCTTGTTGCACTGGTCTGGAAGTCTCCGCATAGAATTGTCGCGTCACCTCTCGACACTGGATTTATTACGACTCCCCTTGATTCCACAGGCGGTACTACATCCTTTCGTGAGCCTTTTCTTGCAGCGTTATCTTGGATCAATATCAGCCGAATTCCTATGATTTAGGATCTAAATATACCATTCGATATTTCTCTTACTACTAGCGATCCATTGCCCTCCTCTGCGTCTGTGAAGAAATCGAATCGACGTTCTTCCTGCAGTAGAGCGTTCTTCGTCTAGTAGGTCAGCTATTGCAACAGACCGAAACATCATTTGTCCACACTTACTCCATGAGACCGATATTTATTAGCCCGTCGAAATCTTCGATTGATTGCATTGACACCTTGATCCATCGAGTTGATTCTAGGAATCAATTCCCCAACACTGTCACGAATGATGCCCAAAGTTTCGGTGTGTGTGAAGCTGATGCAAAGAATAAGTGCACTCTTCTCTCTCTCCAATCTGTCAAAGCACGCTATCATGTGTCTTTCTTCACGGCCTACTAAAGTTTTCCAGAGTCTCTTCTTTCCTGAGCCTTCCGTGTAGTCCACAACCATCCGCTCAAGAATGCGTTGGAGTTTTGCCGCCTCCTCGAGAGTCGCTCGAACGTGACTGCACAATGGGGTTCTGGAGCTCTGATTCTTCTTGTATCAAACACGCTGTTTCGACTAGTTGTTTTATGTGAGCAGTGTGAAGAAGTACTTTCTCCGGTGCATCCTTGACCCGAATATATACATCGTTGATTAGAGAGGTAATCTTCAGGCCAAATTCGAGGAGCTGGCCGATGGAGGCAAGGACCCCAATTGCCTCAATCCCAGACATGCTGAAGGGGGGTGATCAGATCCTTCCAATATGTTGTCACCGTCCCAGCGTAGGGGTGCGAAGGAATGATATGAAGTTGGTATTTCACGCATCCCAATCGGTTCCTCGGCCAAAATCGGCGAATGGGATATTTTCCTGCTATCATTCCAGGCAGACATACTGAGCACACTGGATTGTGATTATCTGGGTCGCACTGCATACATTAATTGCTCTTTATTGGCCTTCACTGTTGGGCTGATAGCGTGGCTGTTGCAGCTTTCTGCCTCACCTTTTTTTTCCCGCCTTAGGGCTTAGTTTACTGCACGGATGGGGAAATTTATTCCCCCCCTTCCCACCCCTATTTGTTTCTGTTTTCGCTCTCGTTCCTCAAAACTCTACAAGACTAAACCTCTTGGCATACAACTGCATTAGATGATGCATGTGGGCTTTTGTCCAACCTACCTTGAAATGCACAGGATGCACAGGATTTAAGACCAACAAGGTTACTGGTCCAAGAGCTACTTGAGTGCCTCATTCTCTATATTTTTAGGCACTATAAAACAGATATTGGGTGGCAACTATGAGACTGGAGGGGAATTGCCTCAATTCAACATGCGGGCATCCAGTTAAAGCATCTAAAGACAGCCTCAAAGGTTGTGAGCACTGCCTTGATGAAGAATAAACGTACTAGCCTCCTCCAAAACATATCATCCGGCAGGTTATACCCTTAGAAATGAAACCTTATTAGCCTCAGGATTTGACCTGAGTTTTGAACGTTACCCCGCATGGTTGTATAGCACCCTCCACGATTAATCTTTTGATTTCTCTCAAGTCCGATGACTGTAACGAACCCCATTCCTTCAGCATGCCAGATGAGGCTCTCGACACCACGTTTTAGTTCTTTATATGAGTCTTGGGCTGTGGCACCCCTATACTTTTGGTGGACTCGGCATACTTTATATTTCCCTACGTTCATCTTGGATCTCAAGTTTTGTGACATTCAGTCCACTGTCACTTAGTCCAAGAACTGTATTTATTCAAATTCCACCGAAAGATTATTGTAATGGAAGTCCCTGACGCCCCTCCACCCACAGAAAGCCTCGCACACAGCCACGATCTCGACGATACGTCCGAAGATGGACAGCACAACGGAACCCAGCAAATAACAGGCGCATCTGCCACTGACGAAGCGGCAATCATTTCAGCAGCGGGAGGCATCGGAACAGTGCAGAACAGCCGCACCAATATAAAACAGGCATTCTTCTTCCTCAAACACTTCAGGTTCTCCGGTTTAGAATCGGCCTTTGGCGATACTGCGGACGATTATTCTGCTCCTTGCACACGTACTGCGTCTCTCGATATAGGCAGAGCCAATATACATCGTACACTTCCTGGGCTATGCCCACCACCTAATAGATCGAGATATTTCGAGAATATTGCCCCGGAAGCATCGGAAAAGTTGGTAGCTACGCAATATGAACGCTTTCACCGATACCTGTGTATTCGGCCCTTCAGCAGTAAGAGGGTCTTACGTATCAGTGTTCTTACATTTGTAATTCTCTGCATTGTTATAGTTCCCTTGGTCTCTGTCCTTTACGCCTCACACGTCTTTCCTGTTACTTCAAAGTCTTCGCTTTCAGCAAAGGATATTTCAGCAAGTTCGTCAGTCCAAACAAGCAGCTCATCTTCCAGAGATAACACACTAATTTCATCTGATCAAACCTCGACCTCGGTCACCACAACGAGTACAAGCAATGGATCTCAACATATCATAAGCAGCACACTAGTCGCTAGTCCTCCAACCACAACAGCTGCAGCTCAGACCTCATTCACATCCAGTCCCCAAGCAGTATCTTCGCTCACATTATCCTCATCCTCATTGCCATCATCGATATCTTCTCCATCCTCCGCAGCATCGCCAACTCCAGCTCCATCAACGCCAACTCCAACACCAATGCCACAGTCCCCAACAACCACAACCCCACAAGTCCCAGTAACTACCCTCCAAAGCAGCACCTGCAATTGGTAAGCCTCTCAGCCCTCTCCCCACTACCGCACATCCAAGCATAGCCTCTCCTCTCCTCTCCTTACTAATACAAGCAGGGGCTGCTACGGCTGGGACTGCGTCCTCCCCTCAACACCGTGCAACAGCTCCTGGCAATGCATCAACGGCTACTGCAAGGGTGCCATAAGTAGCATTACTACTACTTCGATGGCAACAGGGGATGCGGCACGCTGCGCGTGGGGAGGAAGACCGGGAATGGGTTGTGCGGACGATAATGGGTGCTGCGATCCGTATCCTTGTGTTAGCAATATTTGTCAAAACGTGTAAGTACTGTAAGTTTAGCATTCGATAATAAATAAGCATGTGGCGGGTATAGGATCGGAGTATTAGGTTTAGAGGGAGCATTGTCGGGGTGTTTTAGGAGGTGGTAAATATGCTTTTGGCGTTGTGAGGTGGAGGCGGTTGCAACTTATGGCGGAAGGGAGTTTCATATAAGCATTGTGTATTCTGGCACCTTTAAATTACTATTTTCTCGCGCCCTTGTAATGTCCAAGAAGCTAAGGTAACTTACTATGGGGCTATTGAAATGAGAGATGTTGCTGGACATGATTCGTTCGCATTCATGTGGAGAATTGAATTGGTTATTTAACTTCCCAAAGAGCTTTAAAATTTAGGATGTATTCTCTTCGCTCTCTCCGCTCTCCTCGAAGAATTTCTCAGATCCTCGCTCTAGAAACCGAATCGTCCCAGTCTCAGGCGCCATGATAGCGCCAAAGTGCGAACATTCATTCATAATCGGATACGCCCGTACCCAGCCCTTCAGGGTCTCTTCTCTTACCATGGGTTGCTCATCCTCACCCGTCTTACCTGCAGCCTGCTTCCTCTCATGCCGCCGCTGCAGCGCATTCCACTTTTTCTGTACACAACCCATTCGCTCTTCACTTTCCTCAACCCATGCCTCTAGGTCTGGTACCGGAATCTTGCCGTGCTGGCTAGTGTCGTGGTTCGTTTGAACGACGAACGAGGATGATGTTCTGATCTTGGCATCCAAAATATCCTTTTCGATGACTGTTGTCCTCATTGCATCACTGAGGATCATATAGCAAGGAGCTGTGCACTGACTGGAGAGAGTCAGTGTTGAGTCGCTAAGAGGTGGAATGCCATGTCCCGGCCAGCTTGGAAGGATAGTGGAGCGAAGAATCGAGGCAATTGAAGGACGGAAACCGAACAAGACCAGGATTTGATGGATTCGAAGAGATCGAGTTGAGCAATTGTGATTCGGACGGAAGTTCAACGATAGGGATAAATTCTTTCTAATGTCACATGAGCACATGAAAGAAAGGGGGAGACTGACAGCTCACCTGACTCCAGTCAAGACACCTACAAAGCCAGCGTAGGTAATCGTTCGTGCAATAACTTCTTCCGGGGCTTCGGATCCAGATCTGAGGAATTCCAACACAACAATGACACTCCTCAACCCCTCCATCTCCCAGTCCAGCGTGCGAAAATGCATCATCCTGTCATTTTCCTGCCCACGGCCTTGTCCTCCCCGCATTCTCTTCCTACCACCCTTGACCAAAACACCGCCGCTCGTACACCCAAGTAGGCTATCAAGAAGCACATTCAAAGCCACGAGAGTATACAGGGACACGCCACTCGTTCTCGAGATCCCTTTCAACTCGGCTGTTTCTTCAGAAGAATACACGCGTCGAAGGAAGATGGAAGCTAAAAATTCAACGAAAAGTCTTAGAGGACGCCAGACGATGAACGTGGAAAGAACCTCGTCAAAGAGGGGTGTAATGGCCCGCATCTTGGGTGCCAAATCTGTAGCCATGGATTTGTAGCGCTCGGAGGGTGCGAGTGAGAGATCGATACGGTATGTTGGGATAGGTTCATTTTGAGGTGTAACGGGTGTCATGTTGTCAACGAATAGGCTATCTGAGACCAACTTGGTCTATGAGAAGATGAAAAGATGGTGGGGTGCTTGTGTTTGGAGATGACTTGGGGATGAGAATCAATTGCGGCAAAGGCTACTCTTTAGGCAACCTTCAGGTAGCTTTCAAGTAAATGTGGGCATGATTTTGCCGGGATAAATGTACTATATGCAACTGTGCATGTTTGAATGGGTGTCTACTTCTTTCATATCCCCGAATTGCAGATATGTTGAAGAGAAGGAAAGGAATCTTCTTGTTAGACAAATGAAGCTGTAGATTGTCCGCACGTGATTATGAAGAGTGCTTTGCCCGTATTTGAGACAAATTGTTCTTCATCAAGAGGACTGAATATATGTCTCTATTTTCAGGTTAAGAGGGAAGCAACAAATCCTTCCGATTAAATTAAATTTTTAGTATACGTATGAGGAGTATACACGTGACCCAACCCTCGGAGAAATGGGTTTCTTCGCGACAACAACTGTGTACAGGATCCTTCGTTCAGCAACCATCTAATAGCCGTCGTCGTCATACGTTCAATGTAGGACACCCCAGCGCTGGAACTGGTTTGCAAATAATAACTCTAGGCCTTCTATAATAAGGCTCGCGTGATTTGTTTCCTTATTTGCGTGTACTGTACTACGGTGGAATCCGGTTCTCCTACAAGTGTTATGGTGTGTATATCTCAACATGATTGTCTTGTGGGATGTTTCTTCCCATATCTTTGTTTCCTTTGGTTCTTTTGGATAATGCAATATGAGATCGTCAGCGCAAAACTCACTCCAACAGAGATTCTTTCAGTCATTGGCCCTTCCCCGTCGCCTCATATTACCAAATCGGTCTGTCAGCCTTGGCGTTGGCGCAGGCCGATGGAGTAGAAAGCCTTGTGAGATGCCCTATGCAAGAGACTCCAACTGTGCCTCCTTTCTTCGACCCGTTATCAGTAAGGGTTGTAGACTTTCCTCAAGGTTCCTGAAAGTCTGCCAGGATAATCATACGACTATAGACTCCAAGTTCGAAAACTTATACGAACAATGGAACAAGTTGAATTACGGCTTACCTATCACCGGACAAGTTTAAATGATCCGCCACAATGGAGTGATCAGGGACATTGAGTTTGACACTTCTACCCCCGAGTAATCAGTGCAGTATATCCCCAGTCGCGCATACATCATCATCTCAGTCGCGACCTATTCTTGGTTGGAGAAAAGTTGCAATTTTATTTTTAATCATTTTTTATCTTAGCAAAAATCCTCTCACCTGCGAACGCGGAATACAACTCCTAGAACACAGAAAGGCAACTGCCCGCTTCATCCTTCAGCTCCTACATCAAGTTCGACTCCCATATCCATACATTTCGCTTTGCCACTGGCTAGGACAAACAAAGCTATCTGGTGAAAGCTCAAGCCTCGACGAGAGCATATCGAGGCGGTAATAAGAGACTCCCTATTCTGGCGCTTGCGGTTTCGATACTTCCAATCGAATCAGCGCAGGCAAATCTGTCAAACCCGCCCAAAAACCGCAACATCGCAACTCCTGAACTCCATGGTCAGAACATTCCAAAATGTTACACGCTAGCCAAGATCTCTTTTAACAAAAAGAGACGACCCAATCCATGCTCAACACCTCTCATCGATCTTTTGGGATGATCTTGAGAGGACTACTGTGGTTACAGTCTATTTACAAGTGGGTATTGGCATGTCGATCTGGTAAGGATTTTGCATGGATGGTTGTAATCCCTTTTGGCATTGAAGGCTAGTATCACAACCATCATGGCTTGGTTGTCATGACTTAGCGTGTGCGAACTTTGTGAATAGTTAGTAGACGTATTCTTACTTTGGCAACTGGGATCTCACCTTTATTCCGTCACCCGCAAGACGTTTTCAAGATTCCAATTCTGGTTGACCAGGTGAATTCTGGAGCATATCCGCACTACCTTCTGCGCCAGCGCTTCCAGAAGCCTCGGCCGATGGTATGGCTTTCCAGCCCTTCCCCTGCTCAACATCAAGATCGGGCGTCGTAGCGCTGTGAAGACCCAAAAGCTGGCCGACGCTCAATGAGCGCAGTGGAATGTCTTCGTCCTCTTCCACGGCCCCAGCTTCTCTCAACGCTCTCTTCGTCGCATGGTATCTCCACCAGACCGCAAAGGGCGACAGACCGACCAGACTTATAATGAACGCTATGGTGTAGCTAGCAGTATTTGGGTGGGCAACGAAAGCGATATTGAACAGAAATCCAAGGATGATCGCACCCGAGACAATAACCTCTTTGAACATTTTGAGACATACCTTAAACCATTCCTAAAGGATAAATGGACGAAGCGGAATTCATATAGCCAAGAAGGAATGTCATTTTAGTATCCTCTGGCCAGACCAAAATAGAGCCAGAATGAGCGAATTGGGTCACCGGGATGTTTTGACCTAAGGGACGGGACACAGGCGGAGCGCTGCGGATGGCTCAACGCTCCCCAGTTATACGGCGTAAAACGGTAATTATTGTCAGCGGAAGGAGAAGCAATCTCTAAACAAACACATTTTCTACCTGTGATGACTTGTTTCATATATTTTTTCAGAGAAATGGAGCCTGTTAGGCCTGGTACTACGAAGTGTAAGCAATGATTACGACTGCTTTTTCTCGAAACTCGCTATTATATTTGGAACTGTTTCTAACTTGCGGGAGCCGTGGGGTAGTGCCTTTGTATGCGCTGACACTTAAAGAACCAGATCTTTCTCCGCATTTTGAAACCTTACCAAGTTATCCCGCTACAAGATACCCTCTAACTTGCATTGGCTTGGTCTTTCCGGCAATTTTTGAGAAGGGCATATATAATGGATTTATGAGACTCTACTCTCAATTGACTTCAGTTTTAGATAAAGATTAGCAAGCCTTTTGACGTAGAGTAGTAAAGAACTATTCTAAAGATAACTCTTTACAATTCTAAGCCCCCAAAGTAGGATTCAAGGTCATGGCACCGTATAAATTTCCGAATCGAGGTTAGTTCACCATGGGAGCTTTGTTACAACTGATATTTTGGCATGTTTATATATCCAAACCTATTATTATGCAATAAGCTCTCGCATAATTATTTACATGTACGGTTAAATCATCCTTGTCTTCCAAGAAACTTTGCCCCACGGAGTGCATGTCAGCTGAGCTTACTTTACCCCTGGAGTTTCTGGAGTTTCTGGGTTAGTGTGTAAATACTATATGTATACGAGATGCGCAATGCGGAACGCCATGGCAGATCCTTCAGCGCTCCCATATTTCGTATACCACTTGGAGGTATGATTTGAATCGCTTCAAATGGGGCGTTGAAGTCGGAGAAGCTCATTGGTCTGCTCGCACCAAAAGCTCTTACTCACAGCCGAGACAGCCACTCACTTGTGCAAGTAGAGGTTCCGCCGGTGGAGAGCAATCGGTAAGTACGCTAGTATACGTTTCAAGTTTCAAACTCCTTAAGGCTGAGCTGTGTTGTCCGCATTCTCTGGGTTGGTGCTAAGTCCCACGATACCGGTACCGTATATTCTGACTGTCACATCTCAAACACTCTATATCAACAACATGCGAGAAGATTAGAATGTAATTACATAACTATAATGATGGACAATCCAGAACTTTCTAGTAGAAGACTACTTTGAAAGTAGCCCGATTATTTCCTTGGGCTTTATCATTATCACAAGTTTTGAAACTTCCTTACGCATCTCTGAAGAAAGTGTCTGAAAACGGTGGTGGATACTGTACTGTACCGGTATTGCATGTGCCCTCTGGGAGTTGAGCTTATTAGCTGCCAAGCCATCCCGTAATTTTAGGGAAGCGGCACAGTCTTTTACATTATGATACTTTGTTCGTATATCGCATATTTTAGTGGGCCCGAACAATTCTGCGTTGAGGTGGCACGTAGCTTTGTCAAAAATAGACCTGACTTCTGCAAATGGAGTGAAGGAGCTGTATCAAAACACAAGATTCAAAGAGCCATTCACGGTGACTGCATTAGGAAGACTGTTCTAGTTCACGGATCCCACGGACCTACCGCCCTCTGTCCAGTCAAAATTTCGGGCTCGCCATCCTCTTTCACAAGGAGTATATCCTCATGCCTGACACCAAATTTATCAACCAGGTAGATACCTGGCTCAGAAGTGAACGTCATACCCGCTCGGAGCGTCACGTTAAAGTTCCCTTTGTTCAAGTACGGACTCTCGTGGGCTTTGATGCCGATACCATGCCCGACCCTGTGCGTGAAGGCATTGCCGTAGCCTCCATCGCTAATCACTTTCCTTGCAGCAATATCAACACTTGCCGCTGTGTTGCCAGATACTAATGCATGCATGGATTGCGTTTGTGCTTCGAGGACAATGTCCCAGACCTTGAGTTTCTCTTGGACCACTGGAGAGAGCGCGCGAACCTCTGAGTCGTTGGTGGGCTTGGGAAAGAAAGGAGGAAAAAAAGTCCGGCAAATATCAGACGAGTAACCATATAGGTGAGCGCTATAGTGCATCAGTTTCTGTATTCATACTCAAGGGGGGGGGGGGGGGGGGGTTGCTAACCCGACATCAATTAGTACGAAAGTCTCTTTTTCGAGAACTTTGATTCCATTTGTGCCTCCATGAGGATTTGAAGCGTTTTCATCTAGAACAGTGTTAGCACAAGTACGGGAACCGGCCAAATATATCCCAGAAAACAGCTCACCGAATAATACAATATCAAAGAATGGCTCCATTCCAGCAGCCCTGAGGGTATTATCCAGAACATCCATCACCTCATTCTCTGTCAAGCCAGGATACATGCAATCCCTCGTTGCTCGAACCGCAACTACTGTTCCAGTATTGACGGCCCTGACAATTTCAATCTCCCTCGGCGATTTTGTTTGTTTCACTCTCTCAACTTCCCCATCAAGTCCAACAACATCGAATCCATTCGCACTGAGCCCTCTTTGAATGAAGTCTCTCATCTCTTCATCGACCATGACCTTTGGCACGATGTTCTGGACGGTCAAGTCTCCTCCGATTATAAATTCATCCTCCCAAGAGTTTCGCAGCGTATCATACGGGTTCCAATGTTCTTCCCACGGAACAAAAGTCAAGGTTTCTTGGAACGGCATACCCAATAATCTGGCTCTCTCAACTTCAAAGCTCGGTGCTAGGAAAACAGTTGAGGCCTCGATGTCCCCGGTTTTCAAGTTTGTGATAGGTCGGATGACCATTAAAAAGGGCCGCTCTTCGGGCTCCCATACTTCCCAGTCTATTTTTTAGGCTGGTTATTAGAAAGTATACAAAGGGAGCTGGAGCAATGTTCACTACCTTTCTGACTAATATTGGCGTAATACTGGAAAGTGTAACCCGGCTCAACAATGAAAGCGTCTACATTATCGGCGACGAGGGCCTTGGCTAGGTTGTTCCTGCGTTGTACATATTCTTCAACGGGAAGAGGTGCTGCCGATTTTAAAAATGGAAGCCCCGTGGAAAGAAAGTTGGTGATAGAACATTGTTGGAACTGATTGATGCTATGCGGTTGTGACCAAGGCACAGCATGGATCTCCAAGGTATAGTTGTATTTTGATCGCTATTCAAACGTTAGGGACTGCTATACGGAAATTTCCCTCCCTATCTGGACATCTTCATGTCTCTACGGCAGGACGCACTCTAACAACGTTTCCAAGAGCTCCCAGCACCAGTAGCAATGCAGGATAGACTTACGGCAAGAAACCATGCGGAGACAGATAGTACCGCAATAGCTAGACAAAGCTTTACCCTCCTCTGAAAACCCCCAAATTTTTCACCAGGAAGACGATATGCGCGTGTATCGAAGCCTTTCAATAGTGACTTCTCAATTGATGAGGCACCCGGCGGCAAAATCTTATGCGAGAACATCTTAGTATCATAAATCTTCCCCATGACTTATCACTGAATACATATTGTAGAAGTAGAAGTAAAAGTAGAGGAGAGCAGCTGTAATCTATACGAAGTGGTCGGCAATGGTGGGGGAGGCTCTGGTATGTCCATGCTTCTTCCCAAAATAGGCAACCCTTCCGAGAGCTCCAACAGCTTCGGGAGCTGTCTAGTCTAGCACAGCCTCATCACCTCACACGAATTATTGTGGCATAGGGCGACCTCATAACCACGGCGCCGAATACCCAGAGGAAATATGCCATGATGCCTCTTTGAGTGCAGGCTCGAAAACGGTCGCGAACATGGAGGCAAAGGCAGAGACAGAAGGAGAGCAGCCAGGAAACGTGGAGCTATCTGGGAGGATAAGCAAACCACCAGAGACAGGGCCGTTCGTTCTAAGGGCCTTGCTCGAAGATCTGCCATTAGCTGTGGATGGTGATAGAGAGGATATTGAGATAAACTGTGTGGAATTTCTAGGTATTTATCTGCTGGTGACAATGCTGCCATAGACCTGTGCTAATGCCGCTTAGAGCAGAACCTCTACGTTGGAACCTCAGCCTCCGAACTTCTTCATTTCGTACAAATCCCTCCAGACCCTCAAGATGCATCAGGAAAGCCTTCATATATCCTTGCGTCCAGGCTGCTGCCGGCTTACCACGAACCACCGTCTCCAGCACGGCCCGGGGTCCAGCAAATTCTACTTCTTCCAACCGTGAACAAAGCTTGCATCCTGTGCAATTGGACGGTGACATTTTACTCGCTCCCAGAGCTCAGTCCCGTCTTTGGCACAAAACAGATCCGACCATGTAATTGGATTGGAGGGATAGATCTGAATACAGACCTAGCTGGTCGGGGGCAAGATCAAACAGGGCCAGTTACTGTACTGGTCTCTTTAAATAAGAAAATGAGAGTTATTAGGATTGGAGAAGATGATGCTCGCCCCGTCAGAGTATGTTTTGCTCATTAAATTGGTTGGTGCATAGAGCTAATAACTATAGGTAATCGATTTCTCAGGAAGCACTATCTCCGTTCGCCGAGAGTCCTTTGCTTGTGTAGCGAATACTCGATCCTATGCCCTTCTCGATGTCGATCGATTACTAAAATACCCCTCTTTCCCATTTCTTCATTAGATGACTCGCAATCCAGCAGCATAGGAGGCCAAGTGGAAGATATCTCTGGTGGTGCTAGTGGTGGTATCTCACGAAGCACATCTTCAGCCCAAGCAGGTCCTGGAGCTCCAGATGACCGTGGACATGGCCGAAGCACCAGTCTCGGGACATTCATGAGTAGTACCTCTCGTAGGCTCAGTCAACAGGGGCGTACGGGGGAACGTTCCGGACGAGAAACGCCAGAGGGTCTTTTCAGGGAGTCTTCACCAGCACCAGCCGCAAGTCCGTTGAGACACCCTTCTCGTGATATGAGCCCTAGTGCCAACAAACCCCTTCCTCCACCGCCAAATGAAGCGTCTTCAACAGTTCCCCCATCACCTGCCCTCCCACCTGTATACCTTAAACCACACATAGCATCGCCAACTCCACAGGAGTTTCTTTTGGTGACTGGCACAGGGCCGCAAGACTCGGGGGTTGGGATGTTTGTGAATCTAGAAGGTGACATTACGCGACCAACGATAGAATTCGATGTTTATCCAGAAAGTATTGTGGTAGATGGTCGAGGCGTGGGCGTGGACCCAACCCCTATTACCATGAACGATGAAGAAGAAGGGTTCGTGCTTGCTTCAATGGCGCGTCAGTTCCAGGATGAAACTCGGCATGGTCTCGAAATTCAACGTTGGGACGTGAATCCTGGAGAAGGAGGGACCGAAAAAACCTGGTTGGAAGCGCCCCAGTCAGCGGACGGAAAGGATGATAAGAAAGTGTCACGAATTGGGCTTCGGTCCATGATAGACGTAGGAGATGTCTACTTTGATGAAGCCGTTGCAGCGCTCCGGTTGAAGCGTTTCCACCCCTTTACGATTAGATCCACGGGTGGATCTACTCTCTCTTTACATAGCGTTGATTCTAGGACGGCGACGTCACTGGAAAGAGTATCTGGAGAGAAAGAACTTTTCGAGAGTGGTGAAATCCTTCCTAGGGCGTGGGAGGCTCAGCGAGACGCAGAAGAGCAGCAATTTGCCGAGAGGCTCGGCCACACGCGTACTCGAGTCGTCGCATGGTCTGGGAAGAACATATGGTGGGCAGTCCGAAATCCTTTGGCTCTTCGCCTGGATGCTGCTCTTTCGCTTCTAACGAGCGAAGAAGGCCAAAATGAGCCCATATACAGATCACTCGACAGGCAGAAAGTTGTCGAGCTGATCAATTCTCTTCGGGGACGAGAAGCTAAGACCGAGACTGAATTTTTAAGTCTGGGATATGTCAGGCAGCGAGCTGGCCTGTTGATATTTATGAGCATCCTGAGTGACCTCAATGAAGCGTACTCGCAGAACGAGCATCACGCATCAGAAGAAGCACTTCTCGAAGGCGGTCTTGATCCCCGTGTGATTCTATCGATTGTCCCATACCTGCGAAACGAAATCGTTGAGGGAGGGACAGGTATATGGATTCATGGCGGCGTCAAAGCAATTGCCGATGATTTCGTAGCGCGCCTCTTATCTGACAATTCCACGTCTACCAAAGCTGGCGCTCAATCGGATCATGTCCTGCAATATCTGCGGAGATTTCTCGCCGCTTGGCGAAAGAAGAAGGGCTTTGGGAGCATTGCAAATGAGAACGAAGTGTTCCGAAGTGTCGACGCTGCTCTGCTCGTTGTGCTTCTTCAACTCGACAAGGACTCGCCCCGAGGGCCTGTCAAAAGCAAATCCGTCAGATCAGAACTATATGAACTGGTCGATCATGGCGTTGATTGTTTCGAGAGAGCGATTTCCCTTCTCGAATCCCATAATCGCCTCTACGTTCTGAGTCGCCTATATCAAAGCCGCAAAATGACTGCTGAGGTACTGGGAACCTGGCGCCGCATTGTGGAAGGGCATGTGGATGAAGGAGGCGAATTCCGTGATGGCGAGCAAAGGATACGGGAACACCTGTCCAGGATTCGCAATACAGCGCTTGTCCAAGAATATGGTGTTTGGCTGGCTGGCCGAAACCCAAAACTCGGAGTACAGGTTTTTGCTGAAGATCGCAGCCTAGTCAAGTTTGAACCTACCCAAGTCGTTGAGATATTGCGAGAGGGTGCCCCGGGAGCAGTCAAGGATTACCTGGAATACTTGGTCTTCAACAAGAATCATGCCGAGTACATCAATGAGCTCATCGCATACTATTTAGACATAGTCACTAGCAAACTAGGGGAATCCAAGGAGGCCCGAGCAATATTAATCGGAACTTATGAGTCCTATCGAGCATTACGACCGCCCAAACCAACATATCGTCAATTTATTACCGACAATACTATTGATGAAGAATGGTGGCATAGTCGTCTCCGTCTCCTACAGCTTCTAGGAGGAAGTCAGGGCTCAGCATCAAATTACGATGTTGCAGCGATTCTTGAAAGAATAGCTGCCTATACGGAAGAACTTGTACCAGAAGTAATCATACTCGATGGTCGTCAATCTCATCACGAGGAAGCTCTCAGGCTCTTGACGCATGGGCTAGGGGACTATGATACTGCGATCAGCTATTGTCTTCTTGGCGGCTCGAGTATATATCATCCTGTATCTGGAACTGTGGCTCGGGAGAGCTTGCCGACACGGGAACAACAAGCAAAACTGTTCGGATACTTGCTGTCGGAGTTCCTGCGTATTGAGGATGTCAGTAACCGGGTGGAACAGACAAGTAGTTTATTGGAGCGCTTCGGTGGGTGGCTTGATGTTGGATATGTCCTAAGCCTTATTCCTGATACCTGGTCTGTGGAGTTGGTTTCTGGCTTCCTTGTTGGCGCTTTGAGACGCATTGTCAGGGAACGCAGCGAGACCATGGTCGCAAAGGCGTTAAGTGGAGCAGAGAATCTGAAGGTTTCTGGTGATCTTATTGGAGAAATCGATAAAGCTGGGCCCTCTATTGAGGCCTAGGATTTGTAGAAATAGAGAATAATATAGTAAAATATGGACGTGAATCTTCCTAATCACATTTCACTTGCTATTGACCTGTCAATGATCGGTCTTCCTTAGCTGCCTTTTTTTCCCCCATGTAGATGGAACAGGGGGAAGGGGAGGCGAACAAGGCTGATCACAAGGCTGGGCTTGCCTTCATTCGGAAAATCCATATCCGTTTCATGAGCTCCAGCCCTACAGTCTCTTACAACAACAGACCGCAATAACGATTCCACTTGACCAATTTTACGTCACAAACGAGGCAGCACCTTCATCCATCATTCATACCCGCATACATCTGCCACAACACAAGGCCCTCATTCAAGCGCTTGACTTGAGCATACATAATCACCAATCCTTCCTTACTGCAGAACGACCAACCCACAGCACAAAGGCCCTCTCCTCCCCACGTCGCCACAACCTCCTCCAACCCAACTCAAACCACCCATCACACCACAGCACACTATAATGACACCCCGGCATACCCGCCCCCGCGACCAATCCGGCGCGTCCTCCCAACCCCAACCCGCAGCCATCCAACCCTCCGACTACGAATCCGACGTCTACGACGTCCCGCCGCCCACCACACGCAGCAACACGGAACTGAACCTCAGCGTGCTGCGCCGGCACTGCGCGTCCATCAGCACCATCCTCTCGATCGCGCCGTCGGCGCAGATCTATACATATGTGGGTGGGGGTTGGAACAAGACGGATATCGAAGGGACGTTGTTTCTGTGCCAGACTGGCGGTGGTGGTGGTGATGGTGGTGGGGTTGGGTATGTGGTAGTGGTGTTGAATCGGCGGGGACTGGAGAACCTGGTTATCGATCTGGGGATGATTGAGAACGTGGAGGTGACGGAGGAGTTCCTGATGGTTGGGGTTTGCGGGGGGGGGAGGAGGGGGGGAAG